GGGGGGTGTCCAAAAATCGTTCTCTAGGAACATACCAAGTCTTCTTCTTGTATTGCAGTTTATCTCAAAAGTCTTCTAATAAGATCAATTAATAAACAAGAGTTATAACTTACCTTTTTTTCGGACACGCAAACGCAACAAAATTGATTTGCAACAGTTAAAGCTATGAATAGTTTTATAGTCAAATGATTCATTAATTGTAATTTTATATTATTTTCATTTACATTATTTTGGTGACATTAGGTACTTTTTAATTTTTAAAAGTGCGGGTCGGAAGATTATAGTGTGAATCCTTCCGACCTGCATTTTTGCTCTTTAGATGTTTTTTAAACACATATAACATGCATGTTATGTCTAAAGAATGATATGATGATAATAGTGAGAAAAGTGATTTTTTGGAATTTCATCGATTTTAACGATAATCTTATCTCATCTCACAATGTGTTCGGAATCTTAACAAAAATATCGCATTGTGTGCGATTCATAAAGGATGTACATTGTACATTATAAAAGGTTCAAACCTACCATTTCTTATCTTATTTATTTAAATCTACGAATACCAAGCCGAAAATTTTCTAAATCATAAACATATATATAAGGAAAAAGTTTGCATTTACCAAAAATGAATCATGTATTAAAAAGTGGTTTAAAAGTCCAAGAGGTGACTTCATTCAGAAGTTTCCATTTGTCAGCATGCTAAAAGTATCAAAAACGTTTTTCAAGTTGAATACAGATTGCCAGGTTGTAAAATCATAATCATAATAATCTTTAATAAGGATATATTCGCCAAGTATGAAGTCATGGCGCTCTTTGTTTTAGCATTCGTGGAAGAGAGTGGGAGGAAGCTTATTTCAGATATTTCTGGCTCAATCCAAGGAAATATTCTAACAAATCAAGAAAGATTTCCTCTCATGTTCAGGTGTTAAATTAAGTGATAAAGATATTTAAAGGAAGTATGGCAAAAATCGTCATCATAAATACAAAACTAAAAAGATTTTAATGTTCATATATAACGAAAATAAGGAAATAAGCTCTGCTTAGTATTTTCAAATGTATGGATCAGCTGTACCTTTCCTTAGTGATTGAAACCTCAAAATCAAGCAACTAAAATAGCTGATGTCATAAAAAAAAAGAAAACTAGATAAAGATAACAGTATAATTCCTGTCCTGCCAACTCTGAAGAGAAAATCACTAAAGAGAAGAAGTGGATGGACACAAATACACTAATACATTATAACCAATATTAGGTAAATATGAATTCACAACATTTTATTGCCAAAATTGAGAGCTCTTTAATTCAAAATATAAGTGGGAACCTTTTATATGTACACCCTTTATCTAAAATTGCAAACGGTGTTTTGTTTAAATTCCTCTATAATTAATATCCGTATATTCCATTGTCGATAAGACAATCTTATTGGAGCTTATTCCTGGGAGGTTGCTGGTTGCTTCACCTCCTTGTATCAACACAGGAATTTTCAAATGATAATATTTAATTTTATAATTTAAGTGAATATGTACAGTGCACACTACTTCTAGGACGGGAAGTACGGAAAGGTTGATAGAAAAATTACTAAGTTACATTTGAATAATTACACTTTAAAAAGTTACATTAGCTATGACCAATTAAAAGTAATTTCATATGATCAATTTTGATTTAAAAGTCTCTGAGTCTTCTTAATATAAATGAATTTTAAATAAAGTAAAATTTCTAAACTTTAAATTTTTATATTTATTCATTATTTATATATATTATGTTAAAGTAAAATATCTGAACTTAAAATTTTTATATTTATTTAAATAAATTTTATGATAAAGTAAAATTTCTGAACTTAAAATTTTCATATTATAGACGTCAAGAGTCTCGGACATCTAGTCTATTCAAACTCCTATTGTCATGTGTAGCTTCAAAGCTCCGTCCGGAGTATTTTTAAGGGTCGGGAAACGCCCGCATTGGGGGGGGGGGGGGAGCAGATAGATTTTTTTAAAAATTCACCTTTGCGGTTTTTGCAACAAAAGAAGCACAGAATGAACAGCATAATACAGAGAATTAGCACAGTTGAAATAACAATCACCAAAATGTTACTCCTCTCTCCAATATATTCTGAATGAAATTAATAACTTAAAGGGAGTGTTCACGAAAAATAAAAAGGGGTATAGGTTTACGGTGAAAAATATTGATTTTTGAAAATTTGATTATGTTTTTTTTTTAAATAATTTTCGCTGGCGCTGGATTTTCGAACATTCCTGGAAAATATGAAAATGTCGTCTTCATTACCAAAAATCCTTGAAACAGGAATAAATGTTTTAAGATCATGAAAAATACAAAATATTATGAAATATCAACTATTTACGAATGCGTTGAAAAATAATCGATGATTATTGTTTGTAATATCTGAATTATTTGTTTGGAATTAAATTGATTTGTTTACGTTCCGAGTTGAATGTTGCATCTTTCTAAATTTGTATGGACGCTGAGTTCTTTGGTGCGAGTCTTTTTAACAATTTTCTCCTGATAGACGCAACAGATAGAAGTAACATTAGTAGCGATCAAAAGCGCCTATTTTTCGCCGTAAACCTATACCCCCTTTCATTTTTCGTGAACACTCCCTTTAAAGTAACCATACTTCACAAAGTACAAACAACATATTAAAGACAATTGCATGAATTATCTTAACCGACAAAATTGGATTTTATACAAAGTATACAATAAAATACAGTGATAACCAGAAAACTCTGGAATAGGAAGTCGACTTTTGAACTTTAGGACTTTAAATAGTCCAATGAGCACGACACACAGCAATTGTACAGTGTAAACAGACCCAATTCACTTAATAAGTTAATTAATAACTAAGTAGCAACGCTATTTACTTTTTCACAACATAAAATGCACTTCAGTATTGCTTAATGTCGTCTTTCTATTCTACAGTTTTCTGGTGATCGCTGTAGCATATAATCTAAAAGGCATTACTGACCTAAATTTGTAAGATGACATGGTTCACTTTGCCCAACTGTGTTATTAACAAAACAGGAATAAAGGGATAGATCGTTTACATTCTTCAATCTACAATCGTATGCATTTTTATTGCAATTGCAACTTTACAACGTAAATTTACTGTTGACAAAAATCTTAGGCTGTGATTAATATAAAAATATCAAAAGCAACATTCTGTCTAATTTTTTTTTTGAAAACTGCATCAAAATTTATGTTGAATAAAAGTAATTAGGAATAGCGTTTAGCAAGTTTTAGCAACGCCAATTGTCTTTAATACCTGATAAGACTGGCTCCTTCCTCTACTTGTCCTTCAAATGTAATGTTTTTTCTTTGCCACCAAAATACAAAATCCTAAAAATTGCAAAAAACGGAATAAAGCTTATAGGGCCGTCTGAAATCCGGACAAAAAAAAGCATTTCATTTATTACACATATTAGTGCTGAATCGGATAATCTGCTTTTTTGTAAACATTGCTCTCAGGAATTCTTTACATTTTTTTGTTGAGTTGCAATTTATATGGATTTTATAAGTTAAAAAAAAAATTAAAACCGACTTTTGAAATAGTTTTGATGCAAAGTACAGAAATTACCTGTGGATTGCCTTCTGCGGTACACGCTAAGATTTTAGTATTATCTTCAGAATTATCACCACTAAGCGTAACATAACCTTTTTGACATGAATATTATTTTATATTGTTTTAAAATTCTGAATTTAGTTAGTAACCAAATTACAACAAGTTTACAGTTTTAATATATTGAATTTGTTTACTCCCTGTAATTATAAATGTAACTGACATGAGGGCACAAAGTGAACATCTAACTTGACTGTCTCTGAGATTGATCCATATATATTTGTTGCCTCGCAGATATAATCACCAGACATTTCTCTAAACTCCAATTTTGTTAGATCGGATTAAAATAACGGGATAGGTTAAAAGTATACCTGGTAGCAGGACTTAAAAATTCTAGAATATCTTGCTCAGATATAACAGTATTCTCCTTTCTCCATGTAATCTATGAATTTATATGATTTAAATCTTATGCTAAATAAAAAATTAAAATTAGCGGATACACTATAAATACGGTTAAAAATCAAACCTCTAAAATAACAAGTAACTTAAACATAAAATGTGTGTTACTGCTAACCTGTGATGCAGGATAAGCCTGAGAAGAGCAATTTATAGTTTTCAACATGTTTCCTTCCTCACCAACTAGGATCTCAGTGCTAAGTGAAATTTGAAGAGGAGGATCTAAATAAATTTCATGTTGGTAGATTTGGTCGTAATTCGTTAAAAAATTTACGAAACATTTCCAATCGATGGACACCAATTACAGGTTGTTGGAACATTTCATAGAAAGACATTCCTGAGCAGAACATTTCAGAGAAAGGAATTGTCATAGACATGACATTTCAAAGACATGACATTTCAAAGACAGGACATTTCAAAGACAGGTCATTTCAAATTCAGGACGTTTTATAGAAAGGACATCAACTAAATATGTATAGGGCACTTAATTAATAGTGCATTTTTTAAACAGAGAAAACTTTCATAGAGAGAAGATAAACAATTTTTTTAGGTAATCTTAATTTTACTTTACATTTATAATCAATATTTTTCCTCTAAACTAATCAGGGCCGAGCTGTAACTGGGGGCACGTGGACACGTGCCCCCCCCTTATCATCGAAAATAAGTAATCATGTTCAATTATTAGTTTCTATTATCTCATTATTCTAGTTTCTCGTTATTCACAAAGATGTTCGCAGATTTTCTAAAACTGTTATTGAAAAGACGACATTTAGTGTTCTATTTGTTATTATTAATTAATCTATGATAATTATGTTATTAATAAAATGTCCTAACCCCAATTAGAGGTCTGCCTGTAGCACTAAAATTAAGACAATTATGACCTTTAAAACTTTGTCACTTTGGCTTGATTGAATTATCAAATTTCTTATTTTTGTTTTTCAAACATGTTTATTTGATTTCATTACGGTATAAAAAAGGTATTTCCGGTATTTCCTTAATTAGAATAAATCAAATAACTTACGTTCTATGATGAGGGTGGTATTGGCAGAGATTTCATCACCCACGCCATTGGAGTTTGCCAGGCAGGAGAAAGTTGAAAATTGAAATTCATTTAGAACTTCATAAGTCCAATTTCCCATTTTAAATGATAGTGTAGAAATAACTGACGGAAACTGTAAGAATGACAAGATGTTAAAATAAATAAATTTAAAATAACTTTTCGGTGTAAACATAATTGCATTTTGCTTTATTTTTCTTGACGCTTTCCTTATTTTCTTCTACATCTTCAAAATTTTCAGTATGAATGAAAAATAATTCGTCAAATTCTCTCCCAGAATTTTCATAGAAAATATCTTCTGTGATAATTTTGGCAGAACTATCATTATTTTCGTCATTTCCTAAAATAGATTTTATAAATATAAATATAAAAATATCACAACCATGCTTTAGTTTTTACTACCGTTTTTGCTATTTTTTTTAAAATTTTAACAAAAATATATATTTTTTATTCTTTATTGACTCTGCTTTTGAGCTTTTAAGCGGTGTATGCTTCAATTATATATTTAACATATCTTATATACATACATGCATACTACTTCATTGAAATACATCCTACTGTGAATGAAAATAAGAGAAAATCTGGTAACCAGATTTGACCCCCAAACTGCATTAAGGACAGATTTGACCCCCAAACTGCATTAAGCACAGATTTGACCCCCAAACTGCATTAAGGACAGATTTGACCCCCAAACTGCATTTAGGACAGATTTGACCCCCAAACTGCATTAAGGAAAGATTTGACCCCCAAACTGCATTTGCAGAATGATTTCCGAGTCTTGGCATTTGGATTTTTTTAATGTAAAAGTAAAGGAAAGTTTTTTAATGGTTATTTATAAGGGGAAGACGTTGAAAAAAGTTCTTCGTTCATATATCAATATATTTATATGTCTATCTGACTCATACTGCCGGGGAGTGTATAAAACACACAAAAAAATTGTAAAAATGGAAAAATTATCTGTGTTTTAATCATCAGATATTATTAATAAATATGTATGTTAGCTTTGGCTGGTCACTGGCTGAAATTTGTTGAGGAAAAATTTCCAAACTGTTCTTCAAATTCCAGGGGCAACGCCGGGCACTTTAGTTAGTTTGCTAATTTTATGCTGTAGCTGATTAAATCCGAACATATTTTATTTTCTCCTTTCCCCGACTAGAAAGATATCTTTTTGGAAATTAAAGGAAGAGCATTTTTCTGGATGGAAAATATGTTTGCAAGAACTAGAGAATCAAAATTTACCTACCGTAATTTTCCTTTTCAGTTAACTCATATTCTTGAAATAAATTTTGATCTTCTGTCGCATCTTGTCTCATCAAGAAAAGATGCATTACGTCATTTTCTTAATAGATAAGGAAACATGTTAAGAAGTACATACATGTATTTAAAAAATTACTTCGTTCAAAGAACGAGGAGGATTCAGTTAGGCATCTAAGTGGTGTGTATTATTCAAACCTTCAATCTTTTTAGAATTCCAATACCAATCTATAGAGCACAGAGGATAACATTCAACCTGCAATACACTAATGTCATTTTTATTTTTTTTTTAATCTTTCGCTTTATACCTGGCATGTAATATTCAACTGTTGGTTGTCCTTAATGATTATGGTCTCAGAATCAGGCATCCTTAAGAATTCAGGCGGGGCTAAAAAGATTTAGATTTATTAACTTTTCTGACTCTTAGGGCCTGATTCCTGAAAACTTGTGTGCCTCAAAAATCAAAGTAGCAAAGGAATTGAGTGTTTGCCGCAAACTTGAATTTTCCCAATTCAATTCCTTTAGAAAATATTTCCAGATTTGTGTTATAGTTGAACAAGCTAAATAATTTCACCCCTTTATTCGACGATGGATGAAGAAATTAATCTATAATTCTTAATTTTTTAATTATCAAGCAATGCTGAGTTTTCCCATCAGGTAAAACATTGATTGCTAAGCTGTTTTAGATTTAGAAGTTTACAATTTGATTTGTGAAAACCGTACGCCTCACACCACACACCCAAAAAATAGCAAGTTTTCATCTTGCACCACGCATGGCTAGGTGCACCAAAATTTAACATGAAAAAAATCTGAATATTTTACCGTGCACATTGAGGGAGGGGGTGCAGAACCGCCACGAGCCCCGCGAAAATACCTCTTGAGCCTTTGATACATAGTAAGACCTCCAAGTCCCGCAAAACCATCTCCATTCCTCTCACATACGTCTCAAAACCTCTGCCATTCCATGTCTTCGCGGCCTGCATTTTAATCTCCGCTGCTTGGCTTTTATGGCTTAAAAAATCAAAATATTAAAGCCAAAAATTTGTTATTGGAGACCAAAATGTGGGGCATGGAGACAGATTGGCAGAGGCTTGCAGACAAAGTGAGAGGCGAGGAGACAGGTTCACGGGGCATGGGGGTCATTCTGTGCATAAGGAGACTTGGGGGTCATTTTGCGGGGCTCATGGCAGCCCTGTTCCTCCCCCCTCGCGCCTCTGATTATTTTTAATTTTCAAAATTCTCCGGCAGGAAAGCTTAATATACAACTTCGCAAATTAGATCCCCACATTTTTAAAATTTGATTTGTGAAAAAAAATCTAAATTGAGAATAAGCTATCTAGATTTTTTTCATGTTAAGTAATGGTGCGCAGCGCACAGTTTTCAAGAATCAATTACTGAAAAAATATTGAGTTCTGATGAGGAATGTGGTATAATATTCACTTACCCAAAATATCGAGAAAGTATTCTTCCCCAAAATTATTTCCCACAGAATTAATAGCAGAACAGGAAAAATTGGATCTCATTTCCGATGATAGAGAATTTAGATTAAGAATTGGAACTTTCACTCCTGGAATTGTCACCTCATTCCTAAAACATTGTAAATACCTTTTTTGTATTCAGTATCTGGATATTGTATTCAGTATCCGGATATTGTATTCAGTATCCTACACAAATTCAGTTTACCAAGCTTCATAGGTTGATATTTAAGATCTGATTTTAAAATCAATTTTAGTATCACTCTCCCTTCCCAGACCTTAACTTAAAACAGCTTTGTTTTTGTATTTTGGAGGAGAAAGTAATGGGCAATTCCTCAATGCTCATAATCAAAAACAAATATTTTTTTACCTCTAATTCAATCTTAGTTCAATCATACTTCTACTAATACCTTTTCCACTCAAACTCTGAAGCCGATGGATTTCCAAGATCATCGACCTTTAAAAAAACGGAAATTATAAATTGTCTAATCTCTATAGCTTTTTGCAACCTTCATCCCACTTTTAAATAAAACTAAGCTTTTAGGGCGCGTCGGCCACCTTTTTCTAGTTACAATTTTGGTTTTTAATGTTGCTCATCAAGTTGCCATTTTTTCTTCGTCATCATAATTTTAACAGTTTGCTGAATGCGGATTTTCTATGAATGGTAATTTTTTTAATTTACTGGCCATAAGCCTTCCTTTGGCCCTTTGTTCTCATATGAGTTGCCACAGAAAATCAAGGCGTAATTGTTAAAGTCGTTTTGACATTTTTTGGATATAAACAAACCAAATATATATATACTTAGATACATTTTTACATATTTAGACAAAAAATTTAAACATTAGCTCACTAGGAATGAGTTTGAGACAAGTTTTCCGAATTGACACCCAAACAAATTAAAATTAATATTCTTATTGTTTTTTCAAGATATAATGATTATAGAATATATACAAATTCTAATGATCCTATTCGGTTGCTATTGCAATTGAAATAAACATAGAAATGCGGGAAAATTGTTATTTAGTATGCTGAAAACTAAATATCATTTTTTTACGTCTTGAAAAGTAAAATGAAGAAAGAGAATCTTAAAATAATTAAGCATAATTATACTTTTTTCATATTATTTTATGTATTATTATGAAATATTTAGTTTTCAATAATGAATAACAGAATTTGGTTTTTGTTCCCAAACGTATCCAAGATTCGAATTTGTATTATGTAATACCAAAGTAGAAGATCTTACATTATTTTGAAAAAATAGACTAAAAAGATGATCAAACATAAAAAGATCGTTCTAAAAACAACCATTTTTAAAAACGAACTTAAAAACAATCGTTTTTAAAAACGATCGTTTCGTTTTCGAATTTTCGTCGTCGTTTTCATAACGAAACGATCGTTAAAAAATGAAAACGTTAACATCCCTATTTTAAGAGACTGGAGATAGTTATTTTGGAGTACAAGACGTCCATATAAAGTCTAGGATCCGGTTTTAGGTGTTTTAGTCTAGATTTGATTTAATAGAATGTCCCAAAATTCAAGACTAAAGTGTATTTAACCTGTTTGTTGTATGAATGATGATGAGAAGAAACCAACTTACTAATGAACAATCAGAAAGAAAATTGTAACTGTATTTTCTGATGAATAAAATGCGTTCTTTCCTTTAAAAAAATCGTTCACCATAATGTTTTCTTCTTAATTAACAAAGGATAACCTTTTCTTCCTATCCTATATTGTCTGGACACCCGATATTCTTTGTTTATTTACTATCTTTCTATCCAACTAACTCTTTTAAAACGGGTTTACATTTGAAGTATCGACACATACGTGCAACTATAATGACAATAATTTCTCAGTTTTAGATTTAGAAAAGAAATGAAAAATTAAAACAAAGTACGTGTCATGCTTTATAAGTTGTCGTTTAAATGAAATTGGCCCTGGACGCTAGAAAACGTTGATTATAACATAAGTATATCTGCGTCCCCTGGAATGGTGCCATTGTTTATACGTTTATCCATCAGTCAAGATTTAAAATTTGTACCTATACCTGACAAAGTAGAGCTGCTTTTCCATTTTTAACCAGGTAGGTTTCATTTAATTCAACAGAACCTTTGTTCGGAGCATCTAAGACACAAAAGGAATGCTATATTCAAACCATAAACTATAAACATCAATGTCAAGAGTTATAGAACAAATCAAAACGTCAATGACACAAATTCATAGATATACAAGAATAAAGATCGCTATTAGGATTTTTTGTCAATTTTTTTTAATGCATTGGGTAAGGGTAGGGTAAAGGGCGGTAAAAAGTCCGGTCTGTGAAAAAAAAAATCTAAAGCTACAGATCTAAGAATTATATTTTTGAAAGCCCTTGATACATGGATGTAAAAAATGTCATAATTTTATGTCTGTTTACATTTTAATCCTTTTTTGGCCTTTTTATTAACCTTCGCTAGCGCCCACTAACTATTAAAAATATCGGTCTAATTTTTTTCAATGAGCTGGCCTTGAAAATTGGTCTAAGAATATGCATTTTAACCCTATACCCATTCTCATAAGGTCTTTTTCTGGGGGGTGGCTATACATAGATTTAGACCCCCCAGTCGCCACTTAAAATCGTTATGAAATTTGTGTTTCTGGTTTTGATTAAATTGGTACATTTTTAAAAGTAATAAAATGTCGACTTTTTTTATGACCCTTTTAAAAAAAATTTGGTCATTTTTTTGCCAAGTTTTGTAGGTTTTCTTCTCTGTTCTTTTCTCTTGCTGTAAAGAAGATGACATCTTAATATACTGCGGGTTTACAGGATCCATTCAAGGATAAATATATGAACTGGAAAAGTAATTATAAATAATTGAAATCATTATAAATCAATGCTAGCTAGAATTCATACAATGTTTGTAAATAAAAGGATTACTAAAATATATTTTTTTTTCCATTCTGACTATGAAACACAAGACAAATGCATTTTAAAGGAAGTATTTACTATTTAAGGTCTGGAATCTAAAAGTCATCTTCCTGTTCTAGAGTTCTCTGGTTATCACTGTAATATAGACCTCTAATTCACAATCAACTCAGCATACAATTTATAAAATTATAAAATTTTATTACATTAAAAAAATTAGGAATACATAATTATTAAAAAGTAAATCTTATACAGGGTGTCCCAAAAAACATGGGAATTCAGTGACGAATTCGATATCGTCTTTTTTATGAATTAGCATTCCTTTATAAAAAGCTGTTTTTTTTGGTATGCAACAATTTTCATTTAATCCCGCCGGGATATTTTCATTGAAAGATACTTTGAAAATCTACAAAGGCAAAAAAAATCGCAAAATTCGTAAACCCTCGGGTTTATCATTGAATCCCTCGGGGGTTTAAAGGAGTTGAGTTTTTGCAACAAACTCTGATTTTCTAATCTCTATATCTTTGTAATCCAATGTCGTTTCAAACTATGATTTCTATTAGATCAAATAATATAAGTTTGAAATATCAAAGGTTTATGGCATTGGGGTCCAAACATATAGGGATTAGAAAATTTAAGTTTGTGGCAAAAACTCAATTCCTTTCCATTGATTCTAATTTGTCTGAGAGTAAATGATACATTGTAATACCTAATTTCAAAAGACATAATATTATTATGTCTGCTAAAGTTTATTTTATGAAAAGGGTAAAAGACTGTAAAGATGTGTCTACACTGTCTCCGCAAGATGAATAATGAAGACGGACAAGTTTACTCTGTTTGTATACTGCAATTTTCTTGTTTTACTAAGTACAACCGTATGCAGTCAAAACATATACAAACAAAATGTGAACATAGCAGACGAAACTCTTACAGATTACAGCTTTCTCTGTAGATATCACTATACTAAATCAAAGAATTCTTTGAAACACGATATCGAATTCGTCACTGAATTCCCATGTTTATTGGGACACCCAGTATTCACAGGTTGGGAACTTTGTCTCAGTTGTAAAAAGAATAAGTAACAATTTGTTCTAGCCAATCGATTTCTCTATTGAGCACGATAAAAGTTGAAGAGACATCCTGAAATAAAACAAAATTAATGGAAAAAAAAAAATTCAACTACAAATTTCAAAACAAAAATAGATTTTAAAACGAATTGAAAATGGTAAGTGGCGTATGGAAACATCTGATTAAATTTAATAATAACCCCCCCCCCCCCGGCCCACCCTTCCTGGTCTTGAGAAAGAGTGTTAAAGTGTGTTAATTTAATAAAATGGTAATCATAACGAGATTTTCTCTGCTTGTATCTGAACAGTCCATATGTTGACATATATAGAATTCGCCAAAGCGTCGCCATCATCCCAAGAGATTTAATAGTTAGAAAGGTCTTCCAACTTTAATGTGTTCTTTGTGTGTAAGGGGAGTCTGATTGTCATCATTATCACTCACATATCGGTAGCAAGCAGCAACTAATCTTCGTTCTAATCCTTTGAAATTCAACTTACAACTCGTCTGTCTACAATATTTGTAAACAAACCCCCATGCATTTTTTCAGAGTGCAAAGATACTTGCAGCAAATCTTTATATCCAATGTACTGTATCCAGTACCATAGCTAAATTGCCATTTTCAATTTCAACTGTAAAAATCCGGTAGGGTAGGATGAAGACGACATGAGCGATCTACATTCTTGTACATCTACGCACAAGTTACATTCATATTCATTGACACATCAAACAAAATTTTCAGTAAAGTTTCCTATTCTTCAGTATTGTAATTGATGTTAACTACCCTGTATAATAAAGTGAATGTACTGGGATCTCCTCCCCCTTCCTGGTCACACAGTGTGGTCAAATTACTACACAAGAAAGGACTGACAGATGATCTCTCTTACATCTTCGATTGCAAAAACTTACCATCTCCTTCTGGCGAAAAAGGCTGACCAAGTTTTTTACAGGGAATAATTATATCAATGAGAAAGTACAGAAGGCATTCCTGCAAGGCATTAATGGCACTATTGCGCATAACGTCATCCTTGAAGAGATTATAAGCCAAGCAAAGACAAACAAGAAAACGGTCCATGTAACATTTTTCGATTTAGAAGATGCATTCGTTTCAGTGCCGCACTCTCTCATCATAACCAGCTCAAAAGGTTCCTGTAGAAATTCAGCTTTATATCAACACCCTGTATAATAATCAACTTTCTCGTGTATTTATGGACAACTTCTCTACTGATGGGTTTCCCTTTAAAAGATGAGTATTCCAAGGTGACCCGCTTAGTCCAGGGAACAGGAATATAGGGAAAGGAAATGGCGCTGGTCCGGCAGACGCACTGCTTTGCAGACCAGTACAATAAAATTTACAAACACTCCTCTGGTACAGACACACAACATGACTACAGTCAAGGAAATTGTAGAACAATGTCGTCGATTATAATTAAACTTTAATAAGGAGTAGTTTATTGTAAACTTTAATCAAATTATATTCTTTGCATGAAAATTTGGCTTTACAGTGTTGACTTAAATATGTAAATAATATATTACATGTATATCAAACTTATTTCTAGGTAAATAATTAACAATAAAGAAATGTACTCTCCTAGGCTGTACAAATACCGAGATTCTTACGTACTGTATAAACCTACAGTACACACCTTCGGTACTTTAAATTGACACACACTCTTTTGGTACAGACACACACACATGACGTTTCCTCCCCCTGGCTCAGTCCCATCATATTTCTGATGGTTTTCAATCCAATCATTGAATTTCTACAGAGTAAGAAAGAATGATTGTGGATTTAATCTGAATGACGAGAAAATTATTACTCTGTCCTATGTTGAAGAATTTTGCCTGATAACAACAGATCTGAGAAAACATCAAAATATTCAAAATGAAATAAATCCAAGATTGAAAGTACTTCAATTGTTGACTCTGCTTTATTCCGAGCTAAAGCTATACTTAGAAAAGTTGCTTTAAAGAAAGTGGAGAAAAGGGAGATACCAGATCGATTTATAATCTCTATCTCATTTAATTCCCTTTGCCTTGTATCTCCTCCATTATACAGAAACATTGGAGAACCATGGTCCAGGATCCTTGAATGAAGGAGGTTGTTCAAAATCCACCTATGGTTACTATAGGAGAGCTCCTAATCTCAGTGATAAACTCATCCGAGCCAGAATTCCAGATCCCCCTAGAATGAGACCAAAGAGGCTAATACCTGGTAGGAAACTTGTAGATTAAATTGCCCAACTTGTCCCTACAGAGAGCCTGGAACAGTTATACAATCCTCTAATACCAGTAAGAAGATTGAGATTAATGGAACTTTCAACTGTAAGACCAGACAAGTAGTTTACTGTATTACATGTGAGCAGTGTAAACTACAAAATATAGGACGGACAACAAGATCTTTAGATGAAAGAGTTAGAGAACATTTTGGTTACATTAGAAATCTCCATACAAACTAACCTACAGGAGAACATTTTAACCTTCCTGGACATGAACTCTACCATCTAAAAGTTAGCGTTCGAGAGAAGGTTTGGGACCTCGGGAGAAGTTTACTTGAATTACGAGAATTTAAATACATTAGAGATTTTATGACTGAACTCAGAGGAATGAACAGCAAAAAATAGTTTTTATTTAATTGTAAACTGTAATTCAGTATCTTTTTAAAAAAGAGTATTGTTTATGTCCAATTCTTTAAAAGGTTTAAATACCCCTCCTTAAAAAAGCCGCCCCCCCCCCCCCAATTTACATAAAAGTTTGTTAATTAGATCGACCCCCACCACCACTTTAAACACATACATCTAAACAGTTTGTAACAGAAACAATCTCAAGGAATAATAATTGTCTTAAACATTTTTTTTTTAAAAGTGAATATTTGCAAATTATATTTTTTCCATCTCATAATCTGAGTTCGTTTCCCTTAAGTCCAGTTGACAATCCAATTTTTTTCATAATCTTTTTTGTTTGTTAACAATTTTTTATTTTTTTTTATCGATTTTGATGGTTATTATATCGTTTGAACTGACGAGGGTCAACCCAGACCGAAATATATTTTCGAGTAATGTGGATACTTTTTTACTCTACAGAAGTTTGGTCCATCACCACACTCTAAATTAAAAAATCATAATTAAGTGATAAAAAGTTGCCTAATCGGGAGAAAAAGTTGGATGGCACTCGATTAGGCGTCAAAAATCGCTTATTTTTTTTTAAATCGTTTTGTTTCAACAAAAAATTGCTTATATTGCAGAAGAAGTTGGTGACTGCCAAATAAGCGACACAAAATCGTTTATTTTCAACAAAAAATCGCTTATTTTTAACACACAAAACGCTTATTTTTAACGATATCCCTTTTAAAAAAAAACGTTTTAATTCAATCAAAAGATCTCGTATTTAAAAACGACGACATAAAATGTAAAAATATTCTACAATAAACTACAGACGTCATGTTTAGGAACATTTTGAGAAAATAAAAATTAACCTTATCATCGAAAATAAGTAATCATGTTCAATTATTAGTTTCTATTATCTCATTATTCTAGTTTCTCGTTATTCACAAAGATGTTCGCAGATTTTCTATTTTTATCATTGATTTATTGACAAATTTCTTTTGTGAAATATGTTCCTAGCCATCTAATTAGATTACTGTATAATTTTTACTTTATTTTTCGTTGTCGTTATTTAATAATTTAAAAAAAACTAATTCTGAAAGCGTATCCACCCCCAAATCAGGAGTTTTGAACGTCGAATTTGCGCTCAAACTCAGGATTTACAGGTCTTTAAAAAGTGAAATATGTCTCAAATGAATCCTAAAGAAGATTTCGACAATACTGAATACTCAGTTCAATTACCTTACATAGCCGGTCACTCCCTTTAAGTCTTAAAGAAATGACTGGGATCCGGATCCATTTTTTTCTAGTGTGGATCCAGGATCCAGATCCGGATCGCCATGATAATTAAATAGATCCTAAACACTGCCTGAAATCCTACTAAAACAAATATGCTATAATAACCAATGCTTAGGATCCAACAATGCTTAGATCAAATCTGTAAATTATAAATCTTGATTTCCCGCTGATTTCTGCATCAACTTCTGTTTTTTTTTTCAAACATTCACATAGATCACAATTTGTTGCAATTAGAAATGAACAGGTTAACTAACTAAATGTAAAATGAGTAATGGTAATGAGCAAGAATGCTAACCATCAGCTGATTCATAAACTGATTTGAACAGGAGTTTTTGTCTACCTGCTTAAAAATATACGATTTTAAATTGCTTATTAGGCGACTTTCAGTCGTCTAAAATGAAGTTATTTCTAATTCAAAAATCACGATTCAATTAAAGAGCTTTCATCCAAACTTTTTTTTTGGATCTGCTGGTATTGTAAACGCAGACTCTCTTATTCTTGGTTGGCTTGGAAGTCGTCTTTATATTCCCCAGTTTTATTTTCACCAATGTATTTCTTTACTCCGCCTTTTTAAAATCCTCCTATAATTCATGCCTCAAACCTTTTGTAATCAACTTTAAAAGAATTCTTTAATTCGAATTTTTAGCGAATCTTTCTGTAATAAAATCCCCATAAATCAATTTAAGAGTAAAATTAATACATAATACATTACTTTATGCGATAGTATTTCTTTGCCTAAGATTAAACAGAAGACGACATTTAAACAAAATTTATTTACCGTTTATAATGTTGGAAATTTCTGGTTTCCTCTCTTCTTCATCGCCTAAAATCCCATTCCATAGAACCTCAGAAAAAATATTTGACGAAATCTGAAAGTTTTCACTAAAAATTATTGGCTATTTTTGATACAAAAGAGATGCGCAACTTTCACAAATCAGCTATAATTCACCAGACGATCCCCATATCCCACAAATGATTAAATAAATTTTAAAAAACAAATTAATATCATTAATCTTAGTTAACTTTTAACACAAAACATTCACAATTGTGTTAAATAACTAAGGTTTTAATGTCGATCGTTAGACTCTCAAACAACCAAATAACCAATGACGTCAAAATTCGCCTGTACAGGAGTACACAATAGTCGGATCCAACGCCTGTCTTTATAATTAGCAAAGTCTTTGACTGAGCCCAAAATTTAAGACAGGGTATTGTTATGAAAACCAGTTTTGAAACCCGGGTTTCAGGAATAGGGCCAGGCAGTTTTGTGGACATCCATATTTTTGTAATGAAATATTTTTTTATTTAGTTTCTCCATATTCTCCATTTTTGTCGAATCTCTTAAATCAAATCTACAAAATGTTAAAACCCCAAAAAGGAAACTAGGGAGTTTCGTTCAACGATTCTCTTTAAAATTTTGGGCTCTGCAGTCTAAAGGGACAATTCATCAAATATGCAGTACAAATAATAATGGGCTAGCCTAGATTCCTTATCTAGTTTATCTTCTTGCTTCAAATTGCATGCAAGAGCCGAGTTTTGCTGTTAATTATGTGTGTTATAGTTTATCAACACACATCTATTGCTATTCAATAGCAAAGTTTAATCTCATAACGGAGATAGTTCATGGATATAAGATGATTACTGTTACATATACCTTTAATCAGTTAATTAGACTGATCTATCATTATATAAATCAATATGTCAATGTAAAAAGATACAAATAAGTAAAAATGTTTACCATTAAAATATATACATAATTCTTGATTTTACTCTTCTTACTCAATTCTTTGAATTGAGCTTCTGATTAAGCTGCTGATCCGAGTTCATCCTCCGCTAGTAACCAAAGTTGGGGGAAAAATAAGTTAGTGAGTTTAGACACCCCACATGGACCTATCACAAAGTTTTTGAAAAATGTCCGAAAAATAAGGGGAATAATTATTTTTCCTACATTTTGTTGTTGGATTGAAAAACTAGATCACAATTTAGGTCTGCATGCAAAAAATTAGAGAGAATTAGTTATGAAATCATAAGACTTCTTTGGCCTTTAGGAGGTAGAAAATGCGGGATAAGGGGGAAATGGCATAAGGAGAGGGGGAAATGCATTATAGAATCCAGAATTGAGTTTCCCAACCCAATGTTGATGACTGTAGATACCCCACATGGACCTAACACAAAGTAAAAATGTCTGAAAAATGCGGGAAAAATTAAGGAAAACATTTTTCCCCACACTTTGGTTTTTGATTAAAAAACTAGATCACAATTCAGTCCTGCATGCCAAAAATCAGAGAGATATCTCTAAATATGAAAATGGAAATGTGGACATTCCCCTTTAAACCAACTTTGTGTTTGTTCCAGGCGACGCGACTCCATCATCAACAGTAAATGTGTGATGTCTATTATGAGTTTTTAAATAAAAAGTTGAAAACTCATCAACAAATTATCAATCATTCTGTAAAATCTTTACCTTAAAACCCAAAAATACTTACATTGTATATCAAGCCACAGGAAATTTGACTCAACTCCTAATCCTGCAAGATTTATTCCTGCACAAGAATAGTTTCCAGAATCTTGCCTTACTCCAGATATATTTAGCATACACGTCCTGTAATAAAATAATATATATTAAAATTTGGGCGAATTATTCTTTGTTTGAAATTTTGCAGTGCAAATAAGTCTGATGCATTTTTTGTATAAGAAACAATTTGCAGTAAGGAATTGAGTATTTGCCACAAACTAAATTTTTTAATTATGATTGTACTTTTGCAACCTGATGGTGTAGACCTTTGATGATTAGATTATTTGATCTGACAGAATTTTTTTAAGGTGTACAACATTGGGTTGCAAAGATTTAGGGATCAGAAAATCAGAGTTTGTGGCAAAGACTCAATCCTTTGGTGTTTGTACAACGGTAAACAATTCGGCAATGTAGGAAATAATGCGACAACAGAATAAATAATCAAATCTTATGTTTTTAGCTAATCAAACTCTGAGGATTTAGGTTCATTAAACCAGATGTTCTCTCAGCATTATTGTGTGCAGAGCAGGGGGAAGGCAAAAGTGGCTGCTCTCATGGTTTTGGAATTACTCCAAGGGTTTTAGAGTACTCCAGGATTTTTCTTGTCCTCTACCTTGCAATTCAGGTTTAGAGCTTTAAATATTGCGCTAAATCAAAAAATATAGCAAAAATCATCAAATTATTGAGATATCTGAGGAAAACTAAAGAACTTGCGTACATTTTCACTCTATACACTTAAACCTCGTTGGTTTGGAGTTTTCCTCCCCTGAACCGGTAGATCAGACGGCTTATTGTATGTATCCAAGGATCCAGAACGTGGATTTGGTTTGGAACATCGGAAAGAGACGCCATATTTTGGATATGAAGAGGGTAAAAACAAGGTAAATAAAAACTACTCCCTCTCATCTACTTGCCTGGTGAATGTCGGCCAAGTACAAAACATTATTTTGCCTGGCTAGCTCTAGCCACCTTAAGGTGTTTTGCCTTGTCAAAATAAAAAATCTGCCGGCAAGCAAGGCCAGACAAAATTTAAGGTTTAATTTGATTGGTTTATGGGACGTAACAGTTTATAACAAAGCATATTTTTAAACTTATTAAGGAATTATGAAGAAATTGGAGACATATAAGCATCAAGGGCGTATACATGGGGGAAAAGGGGACAGTGCCCCTCCCTAGACCTGTAAAGGGGGGCGTAGCTCCCCCCCCCCTACAACTCAGAGCTTTCACACTTTTCAAGTCTTAAAATAAAAGAGATGTTTTTGTCGTCCCCAGGACATGATCGGGTTGTTACGATCAAATCTCGGAATTTTTTCTATTGCGAAAGTTTGGTGTTGTCTGGGTTTTATGTTGATCTACCAGGGGTTGTAATCTGGCAGCACATTCATCTCATTTCTTTGTCTCATTTCTTTGACATGAATCATATGCTTTGATACAGGAATAGAGGTGTTTTAATGACATTAGGTATCAATTTCGGTACAACTTGTACCTTTCGGTACCTTGTAGGTTCTCGATCTAATTTATCTAGATTTCAATGGGAAAGAAGTTCTGAAGTACTTTTTAAGTCAGGGGTCAGGAAGGGGTAAGGGCGGACACAGGGGGGGGTTGAAATTTTTTAGTTAAAACAAATTCTGAAAATAGTAACAACAAGTTCTGAAAACAAAGGATTTAGGAAAGAAATTAAGAGTCTAAGCAAGTTACAAGTAAGGGAAAAAAAGGAAACATACATATGCGCAAAAAAACGAAAACGAAATTACTAGGAAAGATATATGCATGTAAATAAGGAACAATATTACAATTATGATTAATGAGCCTTATTATATAGATTTACACAAAAATTTATTTTATTTCTTATTCTTATTCTAATTCTTATTCATTTTCTTGATCTTCTTGATTATGCTTAGCAAAGACGGACAGAATAGCTTTTATACGCAAAGATGTCCCAATATGTTGTCTTTTCTATAAATTCAAATGTTTTAAGGAATTTTTAAGCATATCCCTCACCATAAACTTCATGCATAAACTTAAATATTTATACGATATAATTTTTTCATTTCTTTAATCCATTTTTATATGATCCATTTTTTAATTTTTTTTTATTCTTTATCTGATTTATTCGTTTTCCAATTAATTTGTTATTTAATCCATTCGCTATCTGGCTGATTTTCTTATCTGATTTACTGATCCAGATGTTTTATTTTACTTCAGAGGTCCCCATCAACTTAAATCTCGCGAATGTGTGTGCTGTGTTGTGTATAAATAATAATAATAATATTCAAAGATCATGCATACTACAGGGTGCCCCAAAAAACATGGGAATTCAGTGACGAATTCGATATCGTCTTTGTTATGAATTAGCATTGTAATACCTAATTTCAATAGCCATAATATTATTATGTCTGCTAGAGTTTATTTTATGAAAAGGGTAAAAGACTGCAAAGATGTGTCAATAATGTCTCCGCAAGATGAACAGTGAATACGGACAAGGTTACTCTGTTTGTATACTGTAATTTTCTTGTTTTACTAAGTACAACCGGTTGCAGTCAAAACATAAACAAACAAAATGTAAACATAGCAGACGAAACTCTTACAGATTACAGCTTTCTCAGTAGGTATCACTATACTAAATCAAAGAATTATTTGAAACACGATATCGAATTCGTCACTGAATTCCCATGTTTTTTGGGACACCCTGTACCTTGGCTCACAATCTATTGATTCCATAATTTGTTCTGTATCTTGAAACCAAAGGACTGAGGATAGATTTGCTGGATTTCCATCTATGATTGAGCAGACTAGAGTTATTTTATCCTCATTTCCCTCAACCAATGGGATGTTAAAGTCCATGGTTAATTCAACCATTGGCGGATCTAAAAATTCAAATATGCATTAAAAGAAATATTTAAACATATTATTATAAAAGTATTATTATGGACCTCTGAATCTTTAAAAAGATAGTTTAAAATTTTTAACTGTAAATTTTAATTGCAAAAGTACAAAAAAAATTATAAGATTGTCTAAATTTTTTAAAGACTTGTAGGTCCCTGTCTCGTTTTTCTTATCAAATGAAATTTATTTTACCCAGGTAGACATCCAATCTTTAATTATGCATTGAAGCCTAAAACTAACAAGAGCCATTCTATTAGTCATAGTGCAACCCTAATTGTTATACAATCATTGATATCAATTTTGTGATCTTGAGGTCCAAGGAAAATTAAAAATGGTATGAGGAAAGAATTTAACCCAATCCTGGTTGAGCTATTTTGTCAATTTGATATATAATTAGGTGGGGGGGGGGGGGGATTCAGATAAGTGAGTGGTAAACAGGGTAATATCCCACTTTTCAAGGCCTACGTTTTTAGATCGCTAACATTAATATAGTTGAGAAAGTTAAAAAAAATATTCAAAATATTCCTTAGAAAATTGAAATTATTGTTGAAGACTTTGTGTTGAGCGTTCTAGTTTCCAAAGTGCCATTTTTGACCATTTGACTAATTTTTGGCTGTAGATATATCAAAAATATTCATTTAAAAAGTTATTTTTTTAACAAAAGAATTTAACTAAAAAATTATATAGTTTTTATTTTGAAAAATAAACTCACATAAAATGTCAATTAAGACGGTTTCGGATGTTCCAGTGCCCACTTCATTACTCACAAGGCAGTGGTATTCCCCAGCTTGGTTTCTAGTCACGTTACTTAAAACCAACATTTCTCTGTCGTCCATGTTCAAGTCTAAATCTACCATTTCAATTGTAACTTCGTTAGAATTATGAAACCTACATAAAAAGATTATAAAGATGTAAAAGATTTAATAAAGAATGTCAACATTTTAAATTAAAATTATGAAAATACCATCTAATAAATGAAATATTTGTAGGATAAGCATGATAGAAACAACTTAATTCGATCATGTCTCCTTCTTTCACAATCTGGTTTGAGGTGGAAAATCTAACAACTGGAGCATCTAAAATATAAACATAGTTTTGTTTGTGTTCAACTATCCAAATTTCATGGATTAGTATTTACTAGGCCTTAGAATTATTGGTCCAAGATTTTAAATCCCTGAAATATAAATTTAAGACTTTTCCCACACAAACTGCCCCAAACTGAAAAGAATATAAAAATGTGCCTCCAAAATATCCTGAATTGGTAAGGTAGTTTTTTCCTGGTGGAATATAATACACATTTTTCTGCCCCCCCCCCCCCTAGAAATGTTTAGGGCGAAACTATTAGTCCTTTGCTGAATGTCTAGTTGCGAGCCTGCCAAAGATAGAGGGGGGGGGGGGGGTGAAAAGAATTAGGCGGGTTTCGCACACATTTTTAAATTTACCTGTTTCAAAACTTGTAATATATGTCATAATTTGTTCATATAGTAACTAACTAATTCTGCAATTAACCCATTCCATGTTTGATATAACTTTGTCATACCCATAAGTGTGATTTAATATGTATATATATATATATATTAAGTGCTCATAACTTGTAATTACGCTGTAAATAACCAAATTTTGATAAAAAATACGAAATACAGATCAGTTGACTGAAACTCTGCTTTAAATTATGTTATCAGAAGCTTAAGTACGCTTGGAACAGAGCTTTGGTACTACTTGAATTATACAAGTTGAGAAATTACCTGTGTTGCAATTTCAGTAGACTGTGTGTCCTTTAGAACTGGTGATTGCAGCCTGGTTAAGAGTTGGCCTGTGTGTCATTTTGAAGCGGGGAGTTGAGCCTAGTTGATTTGAAAACAAGTAAGACCTGGATAGATACGTCTAGAGTAAATTGTTATCGAGTAGGCGTTTATTACAAAACTGGTGGCAGCACCATGAATCAAGGAACCCAAGATTAGATGTAAATGCCTAGACCTACAAGTACGAAGAATCAAGTTAGTACTTAACATAGTGTTAAGAAAGATGAGACGAGGAGATAGCCTAGAAGACGATACAGCAATAGGAACTCTGGATACTATGGAATCCTTATATTCCTGGGATACCACATAGCAAGGACGGTTCAGAAATAGAGATGAACATGGCAGAAGAAGGGGCAAAATACCCCTAATACAAGGAGTACAAGATCATGGAGGCGGATCAGAAGAGGTTGGAGTTCCTGAATATAAAGGTAATAGATGGAACGGCAAGTGAGAATACCTGGGAAAAATTATTTAAAATTGAAAAGAGATTTGGATTTTATAGAAAAGGCTCCATGATATGCAGGAAATTCAAAAGGAGTGTTTACCTGATATAAACATCTGGAATCACACTTTACAAACCAAGACTGGCATACAATACCAGACAAAGGAATAAAGAAGATCTTGCTAGGTTGTATAATTCTAGAGCAGCTAGGCAAGAGATAGTACTGTTGTAGCAGACTGGAGAAGGGATAGCTTTTGATACAAATAGATTGCCAGAATTCTTTATGGAATTATTAAAGAAATTCTCCAAAGAAAAAGATGAGGAAGGCAGGGTTGTTTCATTCAGAATTTCCGAAAGCGTGATTACAGTTTATGCCTAAAATACTGAGAAATGAAAACAAAATTAAGGAAATATTTGATCACCAGGTGTGAAGCCTAAGAACAATAAACATTGATCCCAAATCAGCTTCTTACTATATGGCAGGATTAACAAGCTCATTTAATTTTAATGAAGAAGAAAGAAACACAAAGATGAACAATATGTGGAGAACAGGACAAGTTCCTATGGAAGTGAACGCGATGCCAGGATTAGTGTTTGACAAATCTGACTATGAAGATGTCAAAGCCATGTTACCTGAGAATAGCTGTTTCTGCTGCAGGAAGCTAGGTCACATGTAAAGAGATTCTAAGGAATTTATAGCATGTGGTACAAGGAAAACAGAGAAGTTTGCCAACTGGAATAAAAAGAATCCCATCAGGAAGTAGGAGAGTGACAGACAGAACAGAAGTAACATCTAAAATAAGAACTCAGGGAATCCTCTGCTATGCTTTATTTGTGACAAGAAAGGACCTTAGGCACAAGATTGTAAAGAAAAAAGAAGAATCCAGAAGGGGGCAGAATAAGAGAGGTGGAGAGAAAGGTGACAGACATAGAGGCTGCAGTGGCCAAGATAGCCTCATTTGTTCTGATGTTACAATATGCCTTTATCTTTGCAACCTGATGTTGTATAACCTTCAATATTTAAACCTATGAAATCTAGGATCAAAGTTTGAAAGTATTACATGTTAATACCATTACCAGGTTGCAAAGATATAGGGATGAGAATATTTGTCCTAGTACCAGTGAACAATTCATAGCTTAGACATTGAATAGAATGCCTGGCTTAAAGAAGAGTTAAGAGGAAGGAGTGAACCTGAAGTTGGGAAGGATGCCAGGGAAAACTTATTAGAAAATGTTCATTCAATGCACGAATCTGACTATCCTACAGAAGAGAGTAAGAGGAAATTTATTTGTGAAAAATTCAAGATAGACAAGAACAAGATAATGAACAAGGATGAGAAATTAAAGGAGGAAGTGATAAAAATATTTCTGGACATTTTTTTGGTTCTGGCATTACATAAGAAAAGATCAAGAACCAGGAACAGTTCCTAAGAGATCCAAGGTGAGACCATTGAACCCAGACCAGAAGAGAAACTTGAAGGATCAGATAGATGAGTGGATAGAGCAAGAGGTCATTGAACATACTAAGAACATACCATTAGTGCCTGTTAAGAAGAAAGATGGAAATACAAGATGGGTGACAGATCTAAGACTTTTAAATTCTTCAACAGTGATGGATCCTTATCATTTAATGAACATTTAAGAGAATTTACAGAAGTTTAAAGGTGCCAAAATATTCATGTCAACTGACACTTGTGGCGCCTGCCACTGTGTTCAAATAGAGGAAGGAAGTAGAGATTGTACAGCATTCTTCAGTTCGTTTGGCACCTTCCGCTACATCCATATTCCGTTTGGCTTAGCCAACGTAGGAAGTGTTTATTCCTGGATGCTGGATCAGATCATCTAGATGAACCAGTGAAGGAAGAGAACGTAGAGTACCAAGTGGATATGAAAAAGGAGTACTTATGATAACTTATGCTACCTGTGTGTAAGCCTGGTTGAGAAATTCACTGTATAACAATTTAATTGGACTGTGTGTCCTTTAGAACTGGGGTTTGCAGCCTTGTTAAGAGTTGGCCTGCGTGTCATTTAGAATCGGGGAGTTAAGCTTGGGTTTAAAACAAGTGAGTCCTGGAAAGATATGTATTGAGTAAATTGTTATGGAGTAGGCATCAATTGACAAATTGTCCATTTTATGATAATTTCTAACATTCTTTGTATTAGACCTTAATCTTAAGTACAATTTTTTCTCAATACTGTTTATAAGTGGGGGTGAACAAGGTCCGCTAGAAGAGAGGTGAACCCAAAAAAATTTCTACAAGACTACGACTCCCCCCCCCCCCCCCCATCTAAACCTCCAGTACGCCCCTGTATTATGACTTATTTACTTACATTTGACAACCAAGATTCTTGTATTTTCTTTGATCTCGTCAAAAGCAGGGTGTTCGATTATGCAACTAAATTAATACATAAATATTATTATTTATTTTATCATCATGGTTAAAGTTAACCATGGTTAAAAAATCTGTCGTCTTAGATCAGTTTACCATGGTTAGAATCTAATTTTACCGTAGTTCAAATGTCTTTAGTTTTAGCCTTAGCTTAGCTCTAGTGTGAGAAAATGTTTTTAAAATCTATTCCTACCTGATTCCGCCTGTACGCAAGAATGCCTTTACTCTATATCTATTACCTAATGACTTAACATCAAACTTCCAATTGTTTACAATAACAACATGGTTAATTTCTACCCCTAATATCAATTAATCAACATTTGGAATTGTTTTGGATTGAATTATATGGACCCCTAAGTTCAATATGTATCATAACTCTAAACGTCATTTACTCTAGACATCATCTGATATATGAGTAATAAATTTTCAAGCTGATCAGTCACCCTGATCAACACAAAACACAAAAAATGATGTTCTATTTAAACAAATTTTCTAGGTTGTAGATCAGTTCTGCAGAGTTTAGAGAAAATGGGCTAATTGTCATTTCAATTTTTTTTATTCTTCTAAGTTTAGGAAGGCCTGTTTTAGGCTAAACGACTGCATTGCAAAAGGGGCCAAGTGTTGCATCTAAAATAGGTTAGGCTGAAAGGCAAAGGGACTGAGCAGTGAGCGCTGTGGTTAGGATAGACTAGTGGGCTAAGATGAATCTTCGTAATTTGCTTTATAGAGCAATTAACATAAAGAAGAACTGACGTATAACTGACGTTTGTGTATGACATGTCAATTATAGGTAATATTACAAGTTAGATTTAAACTAGCACAGAATAAACAAATGTTGCTTTGCATTATGGGCTTTCATGTGGATGGGGGATTGGTTAATTCCAATATTTTTCAAAACTGTTTTGATCTATTGATTTTTTGCTTCAGCTGATTTAACTTATGGATTGACCAGGCGTGCAACTAGGGGGGACGGAGGCAATAGGGGCAAGGCCCTCCTGACGGGGGGGGGGGAGACAAGAAGTTCTTATCAAGTTCCCAAAATTGCAAGATTTCTCAATCTGCACAAATATATTATATAAAGAATTCGCCAAAAATATCCTGTTGATAAGGTCAATTTTTACATGTACAGTTCGAAAACTTGAGAAGAATAAAAGAAATTTGTATTCAGAAAGTATAGATTGATACAAAAAGTATAGAGTACTTTTTTCAGTATTTACTTGCTATGTGATATACTTTTTCTTCATTTTTATCTTTAGACTTTAGCTGCAGGATTTTCATTTCAAAGTTTTGCGAGAATAATTGTCTGTATACCTGATTTTTGAATTATGGTTTTCTGCGGAAGGTAATATCGCCAACCTACTTCTAACTAGATATGTATCGGCCTCTTGTTCCCTTTCCTTGGCAAAAAATCTAATTGATAATCAGATATTGATTCATACAATTTACATTGTCTAGGAACCACCACATTTGATGCGTCAAATCTGTGAACTGCAGTGGCGAGGAGATTAAAACAGAGAATTCATGTGGGGGAGGGGCTAAAAATATTTATTTTAAAGGCAGGAAGGAAAATGGAATGATAATCAACTAAGAAAAAATTCATAACAATTTCTTCAATATTTTCTGTCACAACACACGTTTAAGACCATAAGAAGAGTTTCTTAATGGTTTGGTCCTAGGAGGGAGGGAACCCCCAGACGCCATGAGCCTCTGCCAGGCAGACACCATCCTCCCATATTTGCTAGGCAGACTGAGCCTCCACCATGAAGTAAGGGCCTCTGCTATACAGTAAACAAGCCTCTGCTGTACAGAATAGTTTCCTTAAACAATTGGTTTTTACATGTAGTAATTTTTTTTTCTTCATAGTGGCATTAAAAGAGTTTATTAAAGATCAGAAGTATCAATCAATTATTATAGTTATAATAGTGACTAATTATAACTAGTAAAGTGGTTTATAAAACTTGAAAAAATATTTATGCAAAAAGGAAAACATTTAGAGAAAAAATTTTGAAAGTAATTTTATTTGATATTTTATAACCTTTTTACTTTTTTTAGAAATTTTATCAGGATAAAATAATCAAAAATTAGAAATGTTTTATTGAATAATAAAACAAATAAATAATAAATAATCTTAAAAACCACGTTATGAGTCAATATAAGTCACAAATCATGACAATTAATGTACAACATTAATCTTAAGTAAAATACTTGTGCCACTTTGTTGAAAAAAATGAAAAAATTCTGTTTTTACATGTTATGAACTCTAAGGATGCTTTAATGCACAGAGGAGGCTCGTTTACTTCATGGTGGAGGCTCAGTGTTGAGGAAAAGTATACAAGATAGTCCAGGGACCAAATTGTTTTGCCATATGTGAAGGTTCAGAGTCCAAGGACTGGTGGAATGCTCCTATTGGTTACCGGTGTGGCGTTATTTCTGGGTAAACATTAAATAATGGTAGTAGACTCTACACAGCAAATTTTCCGTGGCATTCACGAACAATTCTGTGAATGTAAACAGTAAATTAAGTGAAAGTATTTCTCATATTTGAGAATCAATCCAGTTTTGCTGAGCGACAGACAGTAAATATCAATTGTTTTAACATTTAGGAATCGATATTACAGCTTAGTTTACGAAAGTTAATTGCAACTTATGAGAGTTTAACCTATAGTTTATTACTTCTGTACTCTCATTACATATCAGCATATAGTGTATATTTTAAGTTTATAAATATAATTTCTAATTTTGAAATTTCAGATAAAATACCAGATTTCTGCTGTGCGCATTGCCGTAAACTGCAAAAATATGCGTGGATGCCGTGGAAAATGTGCTGCGTAGAATCTACTACCATTATTTCTAGGTAAACGTTAAATAATGGTAGTAGACTCTACGCGGCAAATTTTCCTAGTGTAGTTCATTGATTCATATAAAGTATTTTATTGGTCGTATTTATTTTATTTACCGTGTACTCAACAATCTCGTGTTTCATGTTTTCCACTCCTAGCCAGGATATAACTGCTGGAGGTTTACTTTTTTCAGCTCTGCATTCCAGCTCATTTTCTTCTCCGGCTGTTAGCTCAGGAACAAATAGTTCTACTTTCTCTGGGGGAACTGAAAATATACCAAAATTGTGTGCAGTGTCCTTTTTAATTCCAGTATTTTTCCCTAAAGTGGAACACATCGGTTCCCTGCTTTTTAAGATGTCTATGATAAAAGGTAGCAGATTACCGATATTTAAAGAATTATTTTTGAATGTTTATTCCCCATGTTGTGAGAGTCAACATCAATGGTTTTGTCCAACATGGGTTAAATGAAAACAGTGCAAAAATTATTGGATTTAGTCAACCCTGCTCTGAATAAATACTCTTTATCTCTTGGGGATTTTAATATTTCTTCCTTGGCAACCTTTTCTTTCCATGGCTCAAATATTCAATTTTAGGCCAGACATTGTGAAATGCATGGACTTTGTCAGGTGTAAATCAAACTATAATTGAAAATATTGCTGACAGCTTAAAATGCCAGCTGCTGTAGCTGTTCACAGGTTTGTCCTGCCAGCAAGCTGAGGGCTCATGGACCCACTTGAGAGATGATTTTCACAAGTACAAGTATTAGGATAGTTAGAAACAATAAAGTATGGTTTTTCGCAACTTCTTGTTGAAGGAGACGTGAAGGAACTAGCTTTGCATTTGCCTGGAAATGGTGGAATACAGTATACTCCAAATTAACTTCACCCTGAACTTGTAACTAAATAGCTTTATGAAGTTTTAGGGTTACATTATACACCTTTAAACAGATTTTTACATTTTTGCAGTTAGGCTGATCAGTTCCGTCCTGAAGAGATAATGATAATTTAATTCAGAGCAGAGTTGACCAAATCCGTTGTTTAACCATGTAGTCTCGTCATTCTAGATACATTGATGAAATCAATTTCATTCATAATAATCGGGTAATTACCAAGCCTGTGAAAGAAAAAACGTACTGTTTTGCTTTTTTAACAGCAGAACATTTTTACCTATAACATCTACCTCTAGGGATAAATCCACCACAACCTCGTCATCATGTTTTATCCTTAACAGATAAATTTAAAACAGATGCTATTAATTGCACTTTACTCATATTCTTTGTTATTCAATTTTTTTAAAAGTTTGCATGTTGTTTAACTTTGTAAATTTTAAAAGGGTGCATAAAAATAATAAGGTCTAGTCATAATATTTTTATCCTCCAGATATTTCTTTCATTGTATTAAAAAAAATATTCAAAGCAGGTCTAAAACTAACTTTCTTTGCTCATACTGCACACTGTATGCATGCATAGCAGTGACAGTAACTGACCTAATCTGAGTTTGTTTAGGGTAAAAACACAACACAGAGAACAGGGGTTTTCCACTAAGTTTTTGATTGGTGTAGAATGTGGAATGTATAACTTAGAATACAGAATTAAAGATACATTAAATTAAGAATAAAAAAATAAATTGTGAACAAACCTGCAAGACACCTTAAGAGCTAAATCATTTTTGTCCAGATTTAAGATAAATGTACTTGTTGTAGCAAAAAGTTCATTATCTATCTCTGAAGTTTCACTGGCCGTTTCTTGAACAATTTTGTCATCTAAAAACCAAACCACTCCAGCTTGAGGTTTTAACTCGACTGTTTGGCATTTCAGTTCTAATTCTGCACCAATTCTGTACGGGCCTGAAAATATTTCTCAGGAGTCAGTATCTGTAAAGTTTTGTATTGTACTAAAATTGAGTTGTTTCAGTTAAAAAAGTATAGCCTCATATGGTTTGAGGCAGTTGAAAACTATGACTGAGATATTAAACTTACCGACAATCCCATGTGCTGTTCCCATTTCTGTTCCTACTTCTAAAACGATTTCATCACCAACACTGAGCACAACAGAGCGAGGAAAAGCTTAAAATGAAAATATTAAAATTTAACTTTGATTTAAAAGGCTGCGATATTTATGGCAATTATGTCTTTGTCTAGTGATTTACTAAATTTATTTTCAGCACATTTTTCTATAGAATATGAAAAATTTAAATTTTTTTGATAGATAAATGTATATCTGTATCTGAGTTTTAAGTATCAAAAGGCCTTCCAGTCATTTAAATTTCTTTAAACACTCGCACCAGATAAATGGCCAATTAACAGATTTAATACTAGATATTATGTTGAGATTAGATTAAAAAATATACTCCCTGAAAAGATGAATTCTTGTAGATGCATAAAACCATATATGAAGAAAAGTTTTTGATCCCATATCAGAAAAAAACAGAACTTTTTATTTTCAAATAATTTCGGGATGTACTAAAAAGTATCTTAGTTGAAGACAATAATTTTTTGTTTTCCCTTCCACCCACCGTTTCCTTTCATGCACTCAGACCAGTAGTACAAGTTTGATCACTTAAGTAAATGTATTTCTCCCCAAATCAGCTTCAATTAACCGAACCATTTAACCTGATGTCTTTTTTAAGATTTAAGAATGTATTTGACATATTTGATCTTTTTGCTAAAACTACTATTACTGAATGGGAATAGATATCAAGCTGATTTTTCTCTGTTACTCCAGAATTCTTTCTGGAAATTACAATACACAGACAGGACAGGATTTTAAAACCTCAAAAACATTTCAGATTTAAGATGTAAACAAGAAACTCTTAAAACCATGAATTTTTGCATTGATTACAGAAAAATTAGCCTTGTTATTAATGCTTCCAATTCTATCTAAATGTAACCTGTTATAGCTATTGAGTAATGGTACACTGTTTGGCAGGAGGCTGAAACGTCCATGTATGTGATTTCACATCTTAAAATTACAGTATCTGAACTTAGTGCCAAGATTATTACACAGCATTTCCCCCTTTTTATTGTCTTCTCACAATCCTTTGTAAAAATATTATGATTAACAAAACATTTTAATTAAATTTTGAGAGAAATTTTAATTTCCCATTTTTAATCACTACGTCATGATCTTAGATATTAAAAGTTTCTTATGTTACCATGGCAAAGCAGGTTTCTTTTTATATTTCGTGGATTTTTATCATACATTTTTATGGAACTTGATTTGACTAAATTTATATTATAATTATAAAGATTTATTCACACACAAAGATATATATATTTATAAATGGTGTAGTTTAAATTTGTTTAAATTTTTAAATATATAGTTTTACAAAAGAAAAATGAAAAAATATGCAAAATTATGCACAAATAGGCGACATTGATCATTACTCATTACATAACATATATATCATTTCAGTTATTACATAATCATCGAATCCTTCAACAAAAAATAATTTGTTCCTCTGTATTTAAAAGTTTGTGTAAAACAGAAACTTTCCATGCATGGTCCAATGGGACATCAAAATATTTCATTTGTTTCTTAACAACATTTTACTAAGATCAGAAAGATTTACAGAACAATCATTTGCAATTGAAAATAAATTTTTGCCAAGAACTGTGTTAAGGTCATTTTTGCATAAATTAGAAAGAAATCTAATGCAAAGTTTAGAACTTGCTTTAATACTCTCATAGAAAGACACACATCTACTAGCTAACATAGTTTTTACATGTAAACATTGTGAAATACTTTCAATCAAGTACCTATGCGTATCTTTAGGTACATCATTAAAAAGAATTCTAAGAGCAGTATTCTATGCTGTATACAATTTTGAAACACATTGGGCCGGAACTTAAGTCCCAAATACTAGATCCATAAAAACTACAACAATAAATATAATACAGTTTCAAAATATAATGTGGACTGTTAAAATAAAATTCTTGGTGAAGGGAATGAAGATATTTTTTTTGAAATGAAAATAGCTCATTTTTTATTGCAATCTATGGTCATTGAATTATCACTTTGAAGAATATTTTCGAAACGTTTCAAGTCAATGACAAATGGTAAAGGTAATTCATAAAGTAAAATTGGGATTATTTCATTTTCTTTAGAAAAAATAAGGCATTTAGTTTTACATTTTTCAATTCAAATATTTGTACTAAATTTCAGTTTAGTAGCTTTGACAAAATGTTGGCAAATTTTCACTCTTTCCTGAAGACCTGTTCTGCTATGAGAAAGCAGACTAATACAGACTAATATCATCTGCATATTCTCAGATGCCCATATAGACACCCTGGATTTGGCATCTAATCGTTGAACAGCGTAATAACTTGAAAACTTTGTCAATGTATATACAGAATAGCACAGAGGAAGAAACTGCTCCTTGTCTGACTCCATTTTGTACATTGAAGGTATTTGAGAAAGCATTTCCCCATCTAACATTACATTTTTGATTTGAGTAAATGAACATTTAACACCTTAATGGTAGAGGTGGAACACTCCTCTCCAATAACTCTGAGAAGAGCACTTCCCATGACAAGATCAAATGCCTTACTCATTTCCATTAGACAAGCTTAAACTGCTCTACCAGATCTGTTGTAATAATCCACAATAGAGTTGACCCCCCAGCTGCACATTGTAGTTAGGGCTGGGCGCGTTCCTGGTGGAACAATCGTTCTTTCCCGAGAACGAACGGAAAGATCAAGAACGTTCCCATTGTTCCGAGAAAAAAACAAAAGCTTAGAACGCATTATTAAAAATATTGGAACAATTAGTAAAAGAATGGAACAGAACAGAATGAAATGAGAATTGCTTGAAAAGAAAGGTTAAAATCGTTAACTCGTTCTTATTATCAAGAAAGCGTTCTAAGTTGGGAACTCATTTTAAATCAGGAATTTGTTCTAAATCGTCTAGAAAAGTTTAAACCCGCCATCCCCCCCTTCCCCGGTCTTTGCTACACTGACAACACTCAGACAACACAGCAGGTTTCAGTTTAACTTCTGTATATCGTACATATTAAGGATATTAGGTTGATCCTGCTGAAGGCCCTCGTTCTAGAACGGAACAGAACGATTTCAAAAAAGTCGGAACGTGCCCAGCCCTAATTGTTGTTACTGGTTAGCTTCTGAAAACCAAACTGAAGTTCATTAGTGGTCAGCTTATCAGAGTTTAGAATTAATATCAACCAGTCAAATCATTTAAGAATCAAGCTTCCAATGGCAATTGCCCTGTAATTGTCACTGATAGCAATGTCATCTAAGTTGTCCTTCACTAAGGGCACTAAGGGCACAGTAGTAAAAAAGCAGGAATTTTGCCTGTAGCCAGAAACCATTTAAATAAGGTGGTCACATGATCTATGAACTTGTTAGATGCATTCATTAAGCAGTCTGAGCTGAAGTCAAGTACTGCATCATTGCTTTCATTTTGTTTAGTGCATCTTTGACTGACTGGGTAATAACTTTATTTATATCATCCTGTAATCCATGATGAACTCTTTCTTGTATATTTTGCTGCACTTTATCAAAATCTTCTCCTAGAGTATGCTGGGAATACAGATTTTCATGGTTTTCTAAAAAGTGATCTGCAATATTCTGAGCCTAAACTTCTCCATCTGTACAATTTGAAATTGTTGTGCTTTGTCCACGGAGTTTCTTAATTTCTTTAAATATATATCACCTCCACGTTGGAAATAAAAATTTTTGTGTAAAATTATCTTGATGTATTTGACTTTTGGCTCTCTTTCATCTTCTTATAGAATATTTATATTGCATATGAACATTTCGCTGCAAAATAAACAGTTCTCCCTCTCTTTGCCTCCCAGCTGCTTGCCAAACAACAAACCAGAACTTACTTTCGGCCTGATATGGTTTTACATATTCATTCCAACCTAAGATCCCTTTTGATTTTTCATTTGCCACTACTCCTGATTTTGGTAGACACAACTTTGCTGCATTATCTATAGCTTCACATATCATATTCATCAATACTGGCATTATAATTCTGACAATGAAGAGTCTTGTATCTAAATTATTTCTTTAATTTACTTGCTGCTTTAAAGATGCTTTACTCCAGCTAGGTTTTGGTGTGCTGGTGTGCTGGTGTGCTGGCTCTCTACATTCAAATTAAGCTGATCCATATCAAACTTACAGAATATAGGAAGATGTCCAGACATATTATCTGGATGAATTATCACACCAGCTTTGGTAACTGAACTATAAAATTTTACATTACTGAGGAAATGATCAATTGTGGAAGTGTGAGTTATATTGTTCACTGTATTTCTGTATCTGTAACTAACTTCTTCAATTCGATCATTATCTGACAGATTCCAGAAAATATATAAGCCTTTCTCCTCTGCAAATGTTCTAATACTTTGCACAAAATGTGTAGGTCTAGAAAAATCACAATAGTAGTTCCAGATCATTCATGTTCTTATTTTCGGAATCCACCATAAAGTATAAATTTAATACTAACAATTCAGCATTGGGAAAGTTAAATTTTGTAGCTTGGATTCTGAAGATATCACACTTGATTTTACTGACATATTTTGTGAGTCCTTTCTTCCACACTGTAGCAAGACCCCCTTTACCCCGTCCAGGCTTGACCATTGTATCCTCTTTGAATGCAGGTACAATTTACATATCATGAGTTTCTATTAGTATTGCTGTGTTCTTAATTAGAAAACTATATGTTTTGTTGCAAGGTTTACTTTTTGTATGCTTTCGGTTTATTATATTTATTTTAACAAAAAAGCTAAAATCACGGCAAAACCCATGTCGTTTTGTCCCACATGATAACAAAACTCACAAGGCATGTGCATAAATAGATATTTTATCCTTACAATATTTATTTGTTACCTGTAATTTCCATTGTCAGTTAGTAAAAGGTCATTGATGATGAGGTCAGAACTTGATTCTGACTCAATCACAGTGGATCTAAATTCATCTTGAATATTGTCATTGAATACAGAGAATAAAACAAATTTGTATAATTTTTGCGGTTATATTACGTTCTATTGTTTGCGTCTAAAACGGCAAAACCACAAAAATAGTAAAGTCAGTGTTTTTCTTGCAATTGCACTTGATAGAACGTTTTTGAACAAATCATTTATAAGTAAATCATAAAAAATTGCATTTGTTTCTAAATTGTAAGAATTCTAAATCCTAACTTTTAATTAATACTTGCCTGTCTTTAATTGTCCCTTCTGAATTTCTAAAATCAGAAAATGGGCTGTAAACGAAAAGCCTGTCTGTGTTCCGATACCATTTGATTGAATGGATTTCCCCACATTCTGGAAAAATAGATTTTTTTGTAGATCGAATAAGAATGTTCAATGTGATTAGATTTCTTTTAAAAATTTAAAGTAATTGAGTAAATCAAACCTACTAAATCATGCGGACAAACTAAACTTAGAGATCCATCAACTGTACCCTGAATATCTTCCGTTTTTCCTAAATGTATCGTGCATTTAATCCGCTTTGATTAGCTGCATATTTTACTGTGGCCTACAGGGCTACAGGGTTACCCACATAGGATGAAACTTTAGAGATGAATGTACGGAATTTATTCAGTCATTAATCTTTAACATTCCATAAGGTTTTATGCAGTTTTAAACTTTCTTTCTTAGCAAAATCATTTATTATGCCATAGAAAGATTACATTTCAGACAAAACTCCGATTTTTATCTTCAGGTTGTCATTAAAATATCATCCTTTGTCGGTAACATTGTACATGCTTTTTTTCCTTGAACAATCTTGCACTAGGAGAAAAAAATAATGATAAAAAGATTAAATTGATATATTTGTTGAGGCTAAGCAAGGATAAAAATAGATGTATAGCAAATATTTCTACTCGATAAATACAAACCTGGGATGGCTAAAGCAATCAGGCAAAGCAAAGGAAGGTTCATCATTTTTTTAAGTCTTGATGTTAACAACACATTTTATTCTAGAATTTGCAATGATTATTCTTTTTGAGTAAAAAATCCCCTTTAAAAGATCAAATAATTTTTACTGAAACAGACATTTATTCTTAAGTAAAACATTCAAATCAAATAACGATTGGAAAACCGAATATATTCATAGGAAAGATATCAAACAGAGATAAAGGGTGAACCTAAAAGAACCACACAAAACTGATTTTTTGGATTATTAATATGAAAAACCATATAATATGGATAAAAATTCGCAAAACTATTATTTTGGGACCAGTTGATAGTGAATCTACCAAGAAAAAATGGATAAAAAGCTTAAATCCATCTTGAAATCACAGATAGAGACCTATCTCCAGAAAAAGCCACATGCCAGTGATGGTAAAATAATAACGTGACTGTCTTGGTGCAGTTCCCGGTCCAGACACTGTCAATACAATCAAAAAAGAAAGCCTGAGAAGCTTTGTTGTCTACCAGAAGAAGAAGTTTGCAATGCATGGGTTCTGTGCTGATCACCTAGAGGGGAACGGACGACCCTCTGTTTCAGGAAGAAAGATTGCCCAGGTGAAGAGACTGATGAACAATTAGGAACGCAGGAGCCCCCGGCCTGTTTCTAAAAGAGTTGGAGTCTCTCAAACATCAGTTGTAAGAATCATGAAAAAATATGGATATAAGGCATACCACAAGTGTAAGGTACAGAAAATGTCAGATTAGCAAAGGAGAGGCGTGTGGAGTGTGCAAGGATGTTCCTTAGTGTTTATGGGAGAAGAGTGAGGAATGACAGAAAGTGGGGAAAGATCATAAATACTGATTTCAGTGCCAAAATCACTACTTATGGCCAATAGAAAATGTTTGGAGTATTCTTAAGGGAAAGGTTGCTGAAAAAGAATGCTCTAATGACCAACAGCTGAAGAGAGCCATCATTGCAGCATGGAGAGAGATTGATGATGATAGGGCTCTATGTAGACATTTGATGGCATCTCTGCCCCACCGACTACAAGCTGTTATAGACAAAGAAGGCCGTCAAATCCAGAAGGAAGACTACTAAAAGTTTCAAAATGCTCAAATATATATGTAGCCACTAAAATATATCCAATAAAACTGTTTGAATCATAATGCATTAAACAATTAGAGAAGATTTTGTATTATGTGTGGTTTCTTTAGGTTCACCCTTTAAGATTTATAAGATTATATTAATTTGTCTCAAGGTGTAGTGAGGGACAAAATAAAGTTTCAGGTTATCAACTGCAGGACATTTGTTGGAATATTTTTAGAGCAAAAACAAGTTTCTGGTCATTTAAATAAATGAAACTTAGAAAGCGATGCATTTTTTTCGAAATGGATAATTATTCAAAAAAGTTTCAATCCTACACTATAAGATACATTTTCTTTACTGTTTGCAGTTCAATATGAGACACTTTAACACTTGTGTAGGAGATATATTTCTTTTTTAGAGATAAATCCTTATGAAATACTTCACATGATTCTTCTCAGATTCGTTTACACTGAAACGAAAGGTTGCGAGCATAGATTAAATAAAATAACAGATAGGACACTAGATGTCGTCTTTTAAGATTTCGATGAAACTCGTTCACAATAACCCTGGAGGAGTTTCGCGCAGTCCGGCAGTCGGGGTAGAATTACAAGACAGAGAGAGCCTGTTCTATGACAAATGCGGGAAACTCCTCTGGGCTTCTGCCTCAGAGATATTGTGAAAGAGTTTCATCGAAATCTTGAAAAGACGACATCTAGTGTCCTATTTGTTATTTTAATTAATTTATGATTGCGAGATTCTGAAGAAATATAGTATATACATTTTGTTCAGGCCCATAGCTAGGGTGCAAGGGTACAGCTGTGCAGCCCCTTTTTTCCTAAATGGGGGGTGCAACGACAAATTTGCCCCCCTTTTCAAAAGAAGATGAAGATATTAGCATTTAATATTGTTTTAAAATGTAACCATTCTGTATTTAGCGGCCGAAAAAATTGATAGTTAATGGTGTAGGAGGGAGCGAAGGCACACCATACCATTTTTTCGTCCGACCGCAAATGACGTCAAAATTCACCATGTTCATCCGACCACACCTTTTGTTCGTCCAGTATACTTTAAACTACAATATTCAATATTTGAATATAATGGTTTATGCTATTTTATCCTGTTTTTTTAAAGAAAAACATCTTATGAAGGTACAGTAGGCTTAAAACAATGTAAGGGCATTTCATAATCCCTCAAGCAAATCCAAACCAATTGCTCTGTTCCATACTATAAAAATGTAAATATTTAGTTGTAGAATCTAAAACTCCTAGCCCAATATAACCTGAAAGTTGCAGGATAGGAGTAAAATAAGAAAACAACAGAAAAGTGCTCTAGTCCGGACAAAAACAGGTGAGGCGCACACATGTTTTCCGTTCTTTCCTCAATTGGGCTTGAATACCGTTCACTTTTCAAACAATATGCATTTCAAACAAAATGCATTTCAAACAATATGCATTTCAAACAATATGCATTTCAAACAATATTCATTTCAAACAAAATCAACCCATATTGAATAACATGACGTTGCCTAAATTACAAAAAATATAAGGCATAACAAAATACATTTGAAATCACAGAAGCAACCTTCGGACGAAAAAATGTGTCGTCGGAAGAAGTAATGGTGAGTTGTGACGCCATTTGTGGTACTGACGAAAAACTGTTGTGATGTGCCTTTCCTCCCTCGCCGTACTCTCACCCCTTCCAAACTATTTGTTCTGAAATAAAAGAAGTAGCTAAAACTCAAGTGTACTCTACTCTCATTGTTATTCTTTCATGTATATATATGCTATATATATACAATATAAATACAATATATATGATATATATACAATATAAATGATATTTATAAACAATACAATATATATGTTCTAGTAACAAAATGCAATTCTTCAACTTTTGCAAAAAGTTTTGACTTAATTTCAATATTTGTTTAAACATATTGAAATTGTATGCAGTGAACATTGATATTATGGGTCAAAAAGATTGATTTCTTAGTTCTATACTTAAAATCCAAACGAATCGGATTTGCGCAACTGCTCAGGATTCATTTTATTGCATCATAGTGGGGAGAGGGGGAATGTAGCAAAAAAAATTTTAACTTATTGTCTAGTCTGCTGGGTGTCCCCAGAAAAAACTTTGCAGTAGGGGTTTTAGTATAAAATAACCAGCAATGGAATTATTTGAAGAACAATATTTCACGGAGCAGTATTTCAGAACGACAAGGATTTAAGTAGGAGACTAAACTTTTAAATTGCTCTCTACATAACTCACGCACACCGCATGTACTAGCTGACATCACAATTAACCCACAAAAACAATAAGTATATGGAATATCAATCAACAATCTGTGTAGAATTAATTTATATCTATTAAGTTGAGAAATGTCGTCGTATGCGCTATCTATCTGTATCTATGGTTAAAATATTGATCGTTTGAACTACAGGGTGTCATAAAAAACATGGGAAAGCACTGAGAAAGCTGTAATCTGTAAGAGTTTCGTCTGCTACGTTCACATTTTGTTTGTTTATGTTTTGACTGCACGGTTGTTCTTTATAGTAAAACAAGAAAATTGCAGTATATAAACTGAGTAAACTTTTACGTCTTCACTGTTCATCTTGCGGAGACAGTGTAGACACATCTTTACAGTCTTTTACCCTTTTCATAAAATAAACTCTAGCAAACATGATAATATGATGGCTTTTGAAATTAGGTATTACAATGCCAATTCATAACAAAGACGATATCGAATTCGTCACTGAATTCCCTTGTTTTTGGGACACCCTGTACTCAAATGCTAACAGGTACGTGTATTTATAATTAACATTTGAATCATTTGAATGATTTGAACTATTTTTAAGAAGCTAAATATGGACAATAAAAGTTAAAAATATAACCAACTAAAGTTAAAATATATATCCAAAATAGCTTAAAATATGAACAATTTGGATATAAAAAAGTGGTTCAAATAAACATGAAAATAGTTCAAATAAATAAATATTATAACTTTTTTGTCATAGATGTGTCTGCTAGGAGAAAATTCCAGTCAAAACGAGAAGAGTTTTTGTATGGCAGAGTTTCCTTTCAAGAGGACAAAAAGAACGACATTACTGATCCTCATACGAAAAAATCTATTTTTAGTGTTACATGTTTATTTTTTTGTTTATAAATCTAACTGAGCCTTGACTTGTTTAAAGTATAAACAAATTGAGAACTTTGAGACATTTTTGTTTTATTTACTCCTTCATATGTTTTATTTACTCCTTCATATGTTTTATTTACTCCTTCATATGTTTTATTTACTCCTTCATATGTTTTATTTACTCCTTCATATGTTTTCGACTCAACATATTATGTTCTTAAAGTTTATGATTAAAATAAATTAATTTATGCGATTGAAAAGTTAACATTTCTTAATATCGTCAACAAACAAATATAGATACATCTAGTTTAGAACAAGGATACCGCTTATTATTTTTGCTCAACAGGTGTTCCACTCCTCCATCTACTAAACTTGCTGCGACTATAGATGAAATACCCAAATTCCATTTTTCAAAAAGAAATGTACATTTTTGTCTCCTGAATTTAAAGCTCCCAAAATAAACGCAACAATCGACTTTATAACTTTATAAACTTGTTCAGAGTCATAGATTAAATAAAATAACAGATAGGACACTAGATGTCATCTTTTCAAGATTTCTGTGTATCTCGTTTACAATAATACTACGGCATATGCCCAAAGAAGTTACAACAAAACTCACAAAGGAAAATATTATTGCAAGTAATTTGTAAGAACATTTCAAATTTCGTATTGTTTTGTAGAAAACATTCACAAGTAGCACTTTTTTGATTAAGTATTTTTTTAAAGAATTAAGTATATTTCAATTTAATTGAGTGCATAAATTTACTTCTCCTGTTTAATTAGGTTCGGAAACAGGAGAACATTCAAATAAAAAATTATCTAAGTGTTAGGAAATGCAAACATTTTAATATTTTTAGAGACAAAATATATTTTACTCTTTAAAGAAAATTAAAATTTTTTTATGCTAATTGGCCTCCACTATTTTCTGCAATATCTTTTCCATAATTGTGAATTATAGAAAAACTTGTTTGGCTAAAAATAGGAACAATTTTCATGAAGAATCGATTCTTATCAAACTAGTTAATATGTGTACTATAACTTTTTATAGAGGTGTATGCTTTTTAAAAGCTTTAGCAGTAAAGTTGACAACGGAAGAAGCTGAAACCTAATGTTTGCACATCTTAATGTATAATGATATTTTATTGAAATTTTTCCAGAACAGTTTTTAACGACTAAGAAATACTACATATTGACCAAATTCATACTGTGAAATACCAATAAGACCAGAAATGTATCACATGTAGAACATCAAATTCGGAAATTTGCAACATTTTTATTTTTTATGATGAACGAAAAAACGATTGCGATAAATTTTACCCTTTAAAGTTAAAATCGTTTCTTGAAAGATGGACACTCAGTGACCTAGCTTTCCTCCTATACACAATTCTATGTATATAAGAATCCAAAAAATCTTGATTTAATCAAATATTTATTAATTAATTGTAGTTGACTTTCCATTTTTAGCGCGCTATAAACGATTCAAAGCTTTAAAATTCTTTTTGACAGTTTTTGGTATTCGCATTTTATTCGGATTCAAGAAATTGAAACCCAAGCAATTCCTAGAAACCGAATCATGAATTCAGGTCTGGATTTGTGCAAAATGTTAAGAATGGAAAATAACATAATATTAAACCTTATATAAAGATTGGTTTGGTTTTAAATTGATTAAAAATTCTTTATATTGTCCTTTCTTTAAATATTTTAATTCGGCTATAGGTATATTCTGAAACTAAAACACTGTTGCTTAAATACTTTGCAAGAAAAAAGGATAACACAAGCAGCTGAAGCTGGTCAAATTACTGAATGAGATCGGCCGGCAATACTTGCTTTCTCTGTCTGTCTATCCAACTTTCTTTATTAACTGATCTCACTCTCTTTATATCTACCGAGTATTTGTCCTTTCTTTTGATATTTAACTCATGTTGATGATATCATTTCTATAAATAGGAGTCAAATCAATGTTCATAAATAGCACTAGAAAGGCGACTTTAAGGCATCTTCACTCTTCAGTCATTACGTAGAAATATGTCCACTTCTAAATTCTTGTTTTCTCGTTCAAATAAATGTTTGTACAGTTTTATTCATCTTACAAATAAGTCTTGTTTGATTTATCCCCAAAATTATAATCACACTAGCTTGGGAAACCAGCGTTGCCCAGGTTACTCATAGTTAATTCCGCCGTTTACCCGCACTTGGTCGTAAATTACGATTTTAGTGATTTTTCCCTATAAAAGTGGACCCACTCAATTAAGAATCCTAAAACCAATCTAAGAACATTTCTGTGTTTTTAACTCAAAGTTTGAGGCCAATCGGTCAAGGGGTTATAGTCGGACATACAAAAAGAAACAAGCAGAGATTACAACTTTATATATACTGATTTAATTACAGAAAATTCCAATGGCTATATTTTTCTACTTAAAAATAAACATTTAAAAATAATTATGAATGCATTGCATTTTTATTTTTTAATCTAATTTATTTATTTCTTATATACGCTTTTTATTTACCAAATTATATTTTGTTTAACTTCTTAAGTAATCCATCTGGAGAAGTTGCCATGTATTTTTCAGATCTATAAAGGAAAAAAAACTAAGATCTAAGATTTTGGGAATTAGACCTTACAGCTTTATGTATGTGGAAGGATTGGGCATATAACCAATTAATTCAGAAGTATATGCTGAAAGCTAATCACTTTAGCTCTCGATCGCGACCTATGAAAGTTATATCTGATGTTCCTATCTCGAGAAATTGATTTACAACTTTGTCAAATTTATACGAAAATTAATATATATACAATTTTGTATAAAAGTAGAGGGTTTAAATAGATCAAATTCAGCAAATAAGCAACCAATCTGAAAACTATGATATCGCAGAGAAAGCTAATTCTAACTTAGGTTTACTCCAATTCTAAATTTATATTTGTTATTTCTATTTTTAATAGATTTAATTCATAATATTATTTATACTTCCGTGTTACTTGACCAGAAGTTCCACCAATGGCAGTGCAGTAAAGTGGTCACGTGATACAGGCGGAGACACGTGACCAGTATACTGCTCTGTTATTGGTGATAGTTCTGGTCACGTGATTTAAGTTTAAGATTTTCTAAATTTTACATATATGAACTTTCGTATAATTTTAACACAGTTTTATATCAATTTCTCGAGACAGGAAAATCAGATAAAACTTTCATGGGTCACGATCAAGAGCTAAAGTGATTAGCTTTCAGCTTATACCCCCTTTCATTTTTCCCTTACAGTCCCTTTAAATGAAAGAAGATGATTAAGAACACAGAAGAATCATGAGATGAAATAGAAGAATTCTTGTAAACTATAATGATATATATATACAAAAGATAGATTTTATGAATTGGTTTGGATCTGGAAAGACCCATTTGTGTTAGCAGTTGTGAATTGTGGTTTTCCAGTTATTGTGTATGGGTTTAGAAGCAAGTAATGAAATCTCTCCTTGTTCTGAATTATAAAAGGGGGAGCATATGCAGGATCCTGTAAAAACACATGGTTATGTTCTTTTTGTATTTCTAAATTATTATTAAACTTTTAATTCTAGTATAAGTTGTAATTAAGTACCTGACTTAGACTTATTTCGGATGTGTTTCTAAATCTGGAAAGGTCAAAGTATACTCCTTCTTTAATTAACTTCCGAATATAACTTACGTCGGTTTTACCAGGAAAATCACCAAATCTGAACAAATTAATAACGTTTTATTATATCCATATTTTTTGTGTAGTTCAAAAGCTAATGTAAGCGAGAAAAAAATCGTAAAATTCCCTTGAACACTAATACAGAAAAAACGCTTCTAGTTTGCTACTGTATATTTTTTGCTGGATCAAAAAGAATTTTTGATTAAAAAAAGTTTCACTCTTCCTTTATCTTTAATTTATTTTGATGACTGGAGACAGAAATAAAATGGCAAACCCAAGTTAAGCATAAACACATAAGAAAATTAAGAAATGGAAGGAAATTGAAGAGGGATGCCTAAATTAACCTAGAGAACAGAGGTTTTTACCTCTCTGGGTTTATGCTTGCTATGGAAAAGCTCCTTAAAAACAGGTCTGGTGAACCAGTTTTTAAGTAAAAATACCCTTTGGATAGAAGTAAATATCAGCCTTCTTTAAAATTGTTTTTCTAAAAGTTAAAGTTAAAACCAAAAGTTACGAGTGGAAACAAAGGTTGAAGGTTAAGTTATGTAAAATGTCAATACCTCGGATAATCAGATTTGGGAGCATCAATAAGTTTTTGTCTGAAAATATTTATATTTATGTATTTATTTTCAATTTTTCATTTGCCAATTTTACTGGAGACAAATAACGAATGATGTTTTCATCATAACTAATTAGCTTGGATGAATGTTGAAATATTGATAGTTATATTTTTATGTTTATGTTTCATCCAAGGGTGTAATGCAAGGAAAGTTAATTGCGGTCGTGTATTACTCTGCGTACACATTGAAACCAATTCTCTTTGGGCGGAATTTGTAAACAAGAATAGATGCATAATGGTTTGTTTAGTATCCGAGAAGGTTAAAAGCATTAAATTTTGATAATTTTGATAATTCACATAATAGTATCCTATGACCAGAATATTTCATTGATTTTTTTATGTGAAAGATGGATCCCATGTCAGGCTTTGACATCCGTCTTGTGTTTGCATTACCGCCCAGAGACAGTACACTGCAGTACAAAAGATGCGTACACTTCTGAAATAACTTTCCTTGCATTACATCCTTGGTTTCATCCATGTTAACAATATAAACATAAAAGGGATATTCTAAATCCGGAAAATCCTCGTATGCTTCCATTATCTACCTGATTCCTTGCGGTGTAAAACACCAGCTGCAATGCCATCCGCCATTTATTACATTAAGTGGACCGATTTCTTTCTTCTGTTTCTTGTATAATTCAACCTTAGTCGTTTGTACCAGGTAGTTTGCAGAACGTATCTTTAATAAAAAGCATGAACTTATGAGGTGAACAAAAAAATACAGGAATAGTGTTTTAAATCATTAAAATCTTGTTCAAAAGACTCAAAGTTGTGCGCTTTTACATAGCATTTTTTCGGAATGAATCATTTAAGTAATTTTGTTGACAGATAACAGCAACACGCTAGATAAATCCGGATAATAGGCCGGTTAGGATTTTGAAAGGGGTGTTTATTATCCCCAGACGATTCTTTCCCGAAGGCCGAACAATACACACACAACAGAGTAACCCCGTCACAGAAATTCGATAACAAAATCTTTATTTCCTAAAAAATGAATTTGCGGGCTGAAAATTTGGTTTGGCTGTCTCCGACAGGAGATTCCAGTATAAGACGACATTTTATAGAGGTTTTGAAATTAATGGTTAACAAATTTGTTCTCGTCAAAAACTCCTAATTGAGGTAAGATTTTGTCGAATATTCGAAAATCTCTCAACTTCGAACAATTAATGATTAAAAAGGGTTTGCATACCTTGGATTTCTGAAAGCCACATAAGAAAAAATCTAATGTTTCATAGCTTAAATTCGCCTTTTTTGGAATACATTTGGTGTTCTATAGTATACAGAGAGATTTTAGAATATTCGACACACTTTTACAACAAATAGAAGCATCGGGCGACTAAAAGTTAATAAAGACCTTTTTCCAAAATTAAAAGCTGAGGCTCACAAAAAAGATTAAGATGAGGTTCACAACTGTTAATGACAAAAAATATCACAATATTCCTAAATCCTAGAAAGTAAAATTCAAAGAGTCTGAAAATTAATCAAAATAGCTAAACGCAATAAACTAAGCAAATCTTCTTTCGATCATTTAAAATCCAACAAAAAATACAAAACTAACGAAACAATAAAGAAGTAAAAATAGTAAATACATAAATTTACTTTTAATGGATAAAAACAGACTGATAATAGACCATGAAAAGGCTGTAAAATATCTTCTTGGCAAGAGTTTTTGGAAACTTTTACCAAAATATCTTTTCAGTGGGGATTCTATGTAGGAAATTAGTTAAAATATTTTTGTCAAAATCTTGATAAACTGTTGGTTTATATGTTAAAAGTCTTTTTTTAACCTGAGATGCATCGCAGTTGTAGAAATCTCTAAAAAACTGCATCGTCAAAACAGCAGGCTCGAAGTGCTTTTGATGTGGGAAAACAAATTCCTGCACAATTTTATTTTTCTTTTAAACAGTAACTTCGTTATCCATTAAATTCAAGCAAACCAGTAATGGAATTGAGTTTTTTTCACATCCTCTGATTTTCTATCCCCCTAATATCATTCACCTTTGATCAAATAGTCTAAGTTTGAAATATCAAAGTTGTACACTATAAGGTTTCAAAGATTTAGGAAAAAAGAAAATTTGAGTTTGTGGTAAAGACTCAGTTCCTTAATTGTTTAGAAATTTAGAATTAAAGGACGCTTACGTAATATTTAAATTCAAAAGAGAAAACTTTTAATTTGTTAATTTTGCCAAAATGGTCTGAAACCTTTTTATTTCATGTAAGATATCATTTTTCACTGGGATTAAACCATTTTTTCTCGTAATTATGTTCATGAAACTTAATCTCCCAATATGTTCATGAAACTTAATCTCCCAATATGTTCATGAAACTTAATCTTCCAATATGTTCATGAAACTTAATCTCCCAATATGTTCATGAAACTTAATCTCCCAATATGTTCATGAAACTTAATCTCCCAATATGTTTGGGACTAAAAAAGATTGTCAAAAATATCTTTTCTTCTTGTCTGGTATAAAACCGAAAATGTTACTAAACTTGAAAATTATTCAAGAAGATGAAAATTGGTTTCATTATTAGAAAGTTTGGTGATTAAAACAATGAGCTTATTTTATGGGATAAGATTCAGTATTACAGGGTGATTTATTTGTAAAAACTGTATTATCAGGCTGATTTATTTGTAAAAACTGTATTACAGGGTGATTCATTTGTAAAAACTGTAGATCTTTAAATTAAGAAAGTCGACAAAATATTCTATTGAGCTGTATTTGAAACCTGGAATATTTCAATCACGAGAGGTTATTTTTATCATAACGAGGGTCGAGGGGGGGGGGAGGGTTATGAAGAAATACAAGAGGACGAGGCCGAAAGATTAATGAACACCAAAGATTTTTTCTGTTATTTTTTACATACCCCGGTCAACCTCTTGGATTTTAAAGGAATTCACCTTTAAAGATGAGAAAATAGGCTGTACAACGTGTACACAGACCCGGACTAAAGGAGAATAGGATTGCAACCCCTTTCATGGCCGAATTTGACAATTTTCATCTACAAATTCAGTTCAGCTTGAGTATTGTTTTCCTGAATTGTGTAAATGGCGGCGTCAGGGCAAGAAATGAATAAATTTTCACTGAACTATCCTCCTGCCCTTGGAAAGGTTTAATGAAAATGATAGAAAAAATGGCGGCACCCTCTTAATTAACAGTTTACTTTATGAAATTCATTATAAACACAGCTTTCTAACAATACCAAATTTGATCATATGGCTTTTTCTAGATTCGGGTTTATAACAGACACTCTCTGTACATAAATAACCAGCACATGGCAGTTGTTTAAACATGTACAATTATTAAAAAAAGTATTACCTGTATGCGCCAAAAAAAACCGTAGATAGCCCAGATGTACTTGATAGCGATAATATTTGGAATTCCGTCATAAAGCTTTAGAAATAAAAGGATCTCACTCGAAATTAGCTCATCTCCATCGTTATAAATGAAAAGGTCATCTAAAATAGAATTAATTAAACGTAATCTTAACTTTTCAATAAGATAAGAAGAATTGCGGATACCGAGGGGATAGTTGCTTTAGACTGCAAAGTTAATTGGTACCAAACATATTTTATTACGAATTATTTTGATATTGACTGTTGCAGAGCAAAAAATCTTAGTCTGTCTGTCTGTTCGTCAAACTTATTAGCAACCTAGATATGTTGGCTTACACAGATTACGGCGTTATTAGTAAACTTGATTGTTAAGAAAAGTGATTGATTTTTTACATCATTATAATTACTATTATTTTATCAATTTACTTTATTCTTTATTTCAACTTATTTTTCTGGACGCTAGTGTGAAATTTAAAAAAATTTCTAGACCCGATTTTGAATTCTTTTACTAAAAACTTTAGGAAAACCCAAACATTTTAGAGTCTAAATCATTAGAGAAAATCATTTTAATAAATAAGCCATTAAGTAGGAAGAAGAATTCTAAGTTTCAAATATTTTGATTCACATATTTCCAACGTTGCTACATAGATAGTTTAAAATGAGTTAAATATCGTTTTAGTAAAAAGAAGGGAGGAAATTTGACGAGAAAATGTTTTATTAAACCTTAATTTGACTTAACAACTGCCTAGTTTTATTTCATGAACTAAACATAAAATCTTTTTGTTAGAGGAATAGAAACAAACCTTTTTCAATGCCTGGAACGAGATTAAGACCTTCTCTGCTAATGAAGCGTCTCATATCAGCATCTGCTAAAACCCCGTTTCTTCACACATATTAATTATTATTGTTCTTGCTACTCTGTAAATTGCCAATCAGCCAAGCATGATTTTTATTCTACATAATCCTTAAGATATTGATTCTTTTTAACTTTAATAATAATTTATTTTTGGATAAGGATTGTGGGCACAAGCTCACGCATACAAATAAAAACGAAATATCAATAAATCTATTTCCAGTTTGTTATCAAAGTCTTTCTATTATTTTGTTCTGCTCAAGATTAGTTAAAAGTCATACACCCCAACGTTTTGTGTTGCGCCATTGTCTTAAAAACTTGACTATGGGTAACCCTGTAAACCATAGTGAACACTTATTTTGCGCGGGCTGATCTTGCTTCCTTAGATATTGATTCTTAATTTAACAAAAGAATTTGACTTTTATTTTCAAAACTTAGGATATGGATTATGAAACTAGAAATTCCTTGCTTTATTTTTTATTTTTTATTCTATAAACTTACTCAAATCCCTCTGTTGGTGTATCGTTTCTGAAGATGTAGATGAGCTTGTCCTGTATTTGCAACCATATATCGAATAATTAAGTGAAATTAAAACCAACAAAAAAGGACATTCAAAACTTACTGGTTCACTTTTTTCATAATAGTCATTTGTTTACACTACATAATACATAAATATAAATTTATATTTTAATTTTAATTCCAACTCAAATGATTTCTGTTGTCCATGCTGTGGTGCGAAATAATTAGCAAAAATATTAGAAATAAAGTTTTCCTGAAACTGGTTCAGCCAGCCGCACTGTAGTTTCTCCAACAATAGAAGAGGCTTGTTACCTAGGATTTCAAATTAATATTATTCTTTCATGTGCTAACTTTAAATTTTGAATCTGAATCTAATAGAAAAACATATATGCTAATCAAAACTTCTGAAACAATATTCATTCTTAATGAATTATTCTATTTTTGAATAAAAAATTCAATAATTTTGATTTGCATGCATTCCTAGCTATTAAAAAATGTTTTCGACAAAGCAGTTTAAAAACCCCTGGCATTGTGAATACAATGTTGGATTCCAAATTTTTGATTAAAATGTAATTTAAATCGAAATATTTCTAGTTGCTTAGTTAGGAACAAAATAATTCAAATTTTTATGTAATTAATCAAATAAAAGTGGTGAAATTGCCGTTTTGCGCGATTTGGAATATTATCTTTAAAGGAGTTGAGTCTTTGCAACAAACTCGAATTTTCTAATCCCTATATCTGTCCAACCTGATGACGAAAACCTTAGACATTTCAAACTTAGATTATTTGATCTAACAGAATTTATAGTTTGAAATATATAAGGTCTACGACACTGGATGGCAAAGATATTAGGATTAGAACATCAGAGTTTGTGGCAAAAAAATCAATTCCTTTCCAGTATTTCCTAATAAATTTTTAAATACAAATTTGCTAATACTTACGAAAAATTAAGATAGAAAACTCACCTCCAGAGTTTGAAAAACTTGATTCTTGAACAAAAAATATGTCGACGATGTGATAATGCATATTCAATCGGGTCTCAAAAAGATCAAATTCATGATTGATTGGAAAGGCAGAGATAAGGCGTCGAGGACTATATTTACAGGAAGAAATGGCCAGGGTTAGGTTTTCTTAATTTAAACAACATTTAAGAAGAAAAACGTAATTTAACCTTTTCTAACTAACTAAATATAACAAACTATACCTCAGTAAGTCTAAATAGATATTAAGAAGAAGTTTTAAAAAATGTTTAAATTTCTGTCCCATGCAAAAAAAACGATAAACAGAGCTGAAGTGGAAAGATGGAAAGAGTTTTTTTTAGTTCAACAAAAACCAGTATGAAGAAGAAAATGATAATAGCTGCTCAGATGAATAAAGATCTGGTTCAGCCACAAAGTATATTTCAGGATGAGACTATGAAAACTAAATTTCGTTCAATTTAACTAAAGTATCATGGCTGCTGTTGGGTCATTACTAAACATAAAAACATCATTATACTTGATCTAAAGTAGGAAAGGGTATAAGTTTGTCCTTATAAATCTTAATACTTACAGGAGAAACAGAAAATGAGGCTAAAAAGAGGAAAAGGGGCCACAAAGGAACCATTATTCAGCTGAGACAAGAAAGTATTCAAGGTGTTCACGTTCACAACCAGTGACAGCATGGTTAGGAGCCAGACTACATCCAGAAATTCAATACGGTCAGATCCGGACTCAACAAGACAACCATTTTGCAAATTGAAATTTTTTTTGTTTTGAATTGTATGTTTAAGTTTTTTTTATGGCGGCCCTCCAAAAAACTGCTGTTTTTCTTCTTATCAGTTCTACATAAAACTAAGCAAAATCTGAATTATTTTAAATTTAGAACCAATAAACAATGTTTAATCATTAATAGATTGTTAACCATGGAGGTCGGAACGTTTGTATAATTAATCCTTCCATGAAGTACTAATCAATATATCATGCAGTCCTACGGATAAAAATAGGTTTACCAAAGGAATTGAGTCTTTGCCACATACTCTGATTTTCTAATCACTGTAAAGGAATTGAGTCTTTGCCACAAACTCTGATTTTCTAATCCCTGTAAAGGAATTGAGTCGTTGCCACATACTCTGATTTTCTAATCACTGTAAAGGAATTGAGTCGTTGCCACATACTCTGATTTTCTTTTCACTGTAAAGGAATTGAGTCGTTGCCACATACTCTGATTTTCTAATCACTGTAAAGGAATTGAGTCTTTGCCACAAACTCTGATTTTCTAATCACTGTAAAGGAGTTGAGTCTTTGCCACATACTCTGATTTTCTAATCACTGTAAAGGATTTGAGTCTTTGCCACAAACTCTGATTTTCTAATCACTGTAAACTTTGCCACAAACTCTGATTTTCTAATCACTGTAAAGGAGTTGAGTCTTTGCCACATACTCTGATTTTCTAATCACTGTAAAGGATTTGAGTCTTTGCCACAAACTCTGATTTTCTAATCACTGTAAAGGAATTGAGTCTTTGCCACATACTCTGATTTTCTAATCACTGTAAAGGAGTTGAGTCTTTGCCACAAACTCTGATTTTCTAATCACTGTAAAGAAGTTGAGTCGTTGCCACATACTCTGATTTTCTAATCACTGTAAAAAAGTTGAGTCGTTGCCACATACTCTGATTTTCTAATCACTGTAAAGGATTTGAGTCTTTGCCAAAAACTCTGATTTGCTAATCCCTATATCTTTTAAATACAATGTCATAGACCTTAGATATTTCAAACTATGAATTATGTTGATTCAAATAATAAAAGTTTGAAATGTCTGGTCGCAGAGATAAAGGGATTAGAAAATTTGTGTTTGTGGCAAAAACTCAATTCCTTTGCAACCCAATGTCACATACCTTAGATATTTCAAACTATAAATCATTTTATGTAAAATAATTCAAGTTTGAAATATCAAAGGTTTACAAGCTCCGGTTGCTAAGATATATAGGGATTAGAAAACTTGAGTTTATGGCAGAGACTCAATTCCTTTGCTCTTGGCCAATGAGAGATCGCGAAGCTACGATAATTTTTGATGATTTTTACACAAATTATCAAACACTGAATCAATAAAAAAATATTTCAAAAGTTTTATAAACTAGAAAACAATTCATTCTTTCACAAGCCTCATGTAAATCAGTCCTCAAAAAGGGTTTTGAGAGAATCCAACCAATTGTCGTATTTCAAACAGAGGATAAAACTTGAATTTGTTAAAAGTTTGGTTTTTGCAAAAAAAAATCAAAACGACCATATCTTAGCCATTGAACAACTTATTTTTTTCTAAAACAGTATGCTTAGGATTATCTATATTAAAATAATTTTTTTATTGAAGGTGTTTTTTTTTCACCCAGGTGAGTAAAAGTAAAAAACGACGATTTTTGCAGGAAACCTCTCAATACATTTTTTAGATTTTATTTTTTTGGGTTTAATGCACTTTTACACGTAGACATTGTTCTCTAGTTTCCAAAATATAATTACAAAAATTAAAAATCGAAGAATATTTGACAAAACAAAAACATTTTCCGAGAATCGTCCAAAATCACCGAACAATCCCGTTTTCAATTGTGTTAGTTGTGAATAAGTATAACTTCTCAAAAGAAAAGTAGCATCTGTGAGCAATTACTGGAGGCCTGGCCTAATGTTTATGTATTATACACACAGGGGCGTACGAGAGCATTTGTGTAGAGGGGAGGGGGCACTTTAGTCCCCCCCTTAAAAAATCTTTTTTGAAAAAATATTGATACCTTTTTAACTATGTAAACTCTTCGGTCATATAAACACTTCCATATAACAAGTGTTAATAAATTGTTAACCTTATTTTTTTAAGTGGACTCAGCAGACACTTCTTAATATTGTGATGTATGCTTCAATGGTTGAAAAATAGAGATGGAAACGTTTCCTTAAAAATGTCTATATTATTTTCATAGAAACAATACATATTGTATAATTATAAATAATGATATCAAAGATATATTTACACTGAAGGCAGTATTGATTAAAGCTTTTTAATGAAACTTTTTTAGTTAAGGGCAAAAGTAAGATTTTTAAGTTTTTTATATGGATTCCCCGCCTCAGGGGAGGCACGCGAGGAGGGGAGGGGGGCGGAGGCCCTCCTCGTGCCCCCCTGCATACATATATAGGAGACAACGCAACACCCTGCACGGCATCCAAACAACGTAAAATTAAATCTCTCTATATTCTACAGTAATACTATAAATACTATGATTATAAATAGTTCTTTTTACTCCAGTTGTAAACAAACCACCCTGCGAGTGAATATTTATCTTTGCAGTACCAATTGTTTTCAGATGTACACAAAAGCATGCATGACATTAAGCAAATTCAAGAAATTTAATGATTTTCATCATTTCTTAAATAGTTTTTTTGTTCATTAAAAACACTAAATAGCAGTCCAATGCGCTGTAAGATGAAGGACTAGGCTGTTTTCTTCATGATAATAACTTTTTATTAAAAAAGTTTGTTTTTAGAAAGAGGTTAGGAAATAAAATGGCATTTACTGAAAGGCTGTTTCTTATTTTTCTCATAAACAAGTTTGAAGCAGGAAACATAGCTATTGGTTTTGATTTGCTTGAGGGATTGTGAAATCAAATTTTCAATGATTTTTTCAATTTTTACTGCACCTTAATTTTAAATAAAATACAGGGTAAAAAATTCTGAACCATAATAAGCATCATGAAGTGACCCAAAACTAGATTATAATGTTTTAAAGTACATTTAAACAAAATCTAAATATACAATGTAGTAATATAATTTCTGGCCATTTTCCTTTTTCGTTGGGAGTATTTGATTCGATCAATTGCCGTAGTAGAGTTGTAAATCAATTCTGGAATCCCGCAATCTCTAAATAATGTGTCACTTAAATATTGACTAGTTGAATTTAGTAAAGGAAATGGATCTGTTTACACACTGCACAATTTTTGTGTCTCATGTTCATTGGGGTCATTATAACTTGAGTCTACAAGTCGTCTTCAGGTTCTTACTGTAGCTATCATTAGTAGGGTTCAGGGAACATTTTAAAACCAAGGGGAGAAAACCTGACCCCTAATGTTACCGTGTTAAAGTATATACAGCTGTATACAGCAGTTCTAGAGAGTCTAACCGAATCTCGGTGTTTGTGTCTTACAGTCTAGGAAGATACCGACAAAAACGACTTTTATTTCCCCCCAACTTTTTATGACTGTACTGTACACAAGGTTGTGATATATCTAAATATGTGCATCTTCAACGTAAGTCCACACTTTTAATATATTCTTATAAGTGCGTTCTTTTAAAAGAAAGTAGCGTTAATTATTTAGTTTTGTAGTAAAACTTACTTGCCAAAAAAATTAGGTTTGCAACAACAGCGCTGCTGCTTTTTTGACATCTGCACAGACGTTCCTTGTCTAAAGCAACTGTAATTACCAACTCTTGTAAAGTAGCTGCTCATAGACGCCTTTACCTATAAAAAAGTATTGGGAAACTTTTGGTCAAAGACTGTTGAATATAACGTTCAGTGCGGACTTTTCGTTTTTTTATTTTCCGTTTCTATCACATAAAAAATAAATTTCAAAATAAATTGCTTCTAGAAATTAAAGCCAAATAAAATTTTAGGTAATAACATGATTGGAATTTTAAATTGGCGTAGATTCCTCTAAATTAACATTGAAGCCAAGAAGGCAAAATTCGAACGTTTTGCTCATCCCTGGAAATGTTATTATTTCTAAAAAACGTCCAAAATATGTAATTTAAAAATATGTTGTACCTTGAGCTTGAAAACTTTGGATTTGTCTACGTTGTTGACAAACATGTGTCTAGGGTTCTCTAGATTAAATTGGTAGGTGCCAAACAGTAGATGTGTAATCAAAACTAAAAAAGTAATAGGTTTTGGGATATTTAATGGAAAGACATTTCACGGCTGAACAATTCATAAATTATTTAAATAAATAAAATGAAAATTAATAATTATAAAACGTGATAAACAGTTATCTGAAATGTTTTCAAATGTCCTATCCATGTGAAATGTCTCTTCGAAACTAATGAGCCACAAAAACAAGAATACTCCTCTGCATGGGTAAACTTGAGATAAATCGTGTATCAAAATTGTTAGCAAAGTAGAACACAATTTTGGATTTAAATAAAAGTGTGTAAGATCGATGCATTTTGGCATGAAGCGCATCGCAATCTTTTTTCTTGCTCTCCATACATTCTAAATGCTCCCCCTAGAGATGAATATAAATTGATTTGGGGAGAACATTGTAGGACTAGGGAGTACTACGGGGAGTATATTGTAGGACTAGGCAGTACTACGGGAAGAATATTGTAGGACTAGGGAGTACTACGGGGAGAATATTGTAGGACTAGGGAGTACTACGGGGAGAATATTGTAGGACTAGGGAGTACTACGGGGAGAAAATTGTAGGACTAGGGAGTACTACGGGGAGAATATTGTAGGACTAGGGAGTACTACGGGGAGAACATTGTAGGACTAGGGAGTACTACGGGGAGAACATTGTAGGACTAGGAAGTACTACGGGGAGAATATTGTAGGACTAGGAAGTACTAAGGGGAGAATATTGTAGGACTAGGGAGTACTACGTGGAGAATATTGTAGGACTAGGGAGTACTACGGGGAGAATATTGTAGGACTAGGGAGTACTACAGGGAGAATATTGTAGGACTAGGGAATACTACGGGGAGAATATTGTAGGACTAGGGAGTACTACGGGGAGAATATTGTAGGACTAGGGAGTACTACGAGGAGAATATTGTAGGACTAGGGAGTACTACGTGTTTTTTCAACAAGTTTTTCTTCTTTCTTTTAGTAATTCAGCCCAAAGAAATCTAGTTAATTAATTAAATTGAATTAAACTGGATTTCTCTAAATGTGCGCATTGAAAAGGATGTTGGAAGAACAAGAGAAACCGCTAGACACTATTAAAACGTGTTTTGGGGTACAGACTGTAGGAGTAAAAGTAATTTAACACATCACATATCATCTCATATAAGCAAATTAAAAGCTAAAAGCTAATATTAAAATGATCATACTCCATCATGAATAATTTGATAATAAAATCTATAATTGGTACAATGTGAGTTAAAAAGGGGGAATTAGTTTCGTCTCCTTCAAAACATTTTTTTTGTGAAATTCTCATATATTATATTGTTCTGTTTGTTTAAAAAATGTATATATATATTTGTAACTCACATGGCCCAAAATAACACGAAATAGATTATTTGTTATATACCACGTACCTGAGCATATTGCCATAATAAATAGAGTAGTGAAAAGAATCCATAACAGTTTAGCAGAATAATTATTGATCTCGGATGAAACCATTATATAAAAAATTACATTTGTGGCGTCAAGAAACCAAGAAACATGACACACTTTTATTACTTTTAAATTCTATCCCAAAAGTCCATTGGATACATTAAAAGGTGTTCAAGGGCTCTCGATCCGTAAAATCTGTAAAAAAAATACTTTATTATTTTAAATATCTAAGGGAAAAATTTTTACTTGCTTTTTAATTTAAAATTTCTCAAAAGTTTCACATTTTTTGTAATTTTTAAAATATTCTTTTGTAATTTTTGGTATTCAACAGAATAACTGTCCGTTTTTGGTACCATGGATATTATAACCACCTTTTCAAGAATTTTACAATCGTAGCTGACCATTCTTGATCGTCTCAAACTAGTTAAACTAGGATTTAAGTTCAAACATTACCCAAAATGTAAGACGAAAATAAATTGTGTGTACCAAGAAATACACATTGACTAGGAACCGCCGCCAATCACCAGCTGACTGAACAATATGTTTATTTTGAGAATAGAAAAAAAAACTTGAATTACAACCAAACATACTTTAAGATGCCGATGAATTAAAAAGGATATCTATGATGCTGTGAGATTATTTAAATGCATTCAACAAAAGTTCACCAGCCAGGTCAGGTGATGTTATTTAAAGCATGCATGTCTTTGCCACAAACTCTAAATTTCAAATTCCTATATCTGAAACCTAATGTCGTAGACCGTAGATATTTCAATCTAAGAATTCTGTTAAATCAAATAATCAAAGGTTTTAATAAATTAGGTTACAAAGATATAGGGATTAGAACATTTGAGTTCGAGCAAAGACTCAATTCCTTTGATAATATATATATAGGAAAGCGATTTGAAAATTAAACGGTTTGAAAATTGATAATATATAGAGTGATAACCATATAACCCAGGAATAGGAAGACGACATTTAGACTCAAGTTATGACTTTAAATAGTCCATTGAATACAAGGATGATTAAATATATGGATATGGGATAAACGTATAATTTTGAGGTCTTGTGAATAATTGAAAGCATGACATTTCATTTTCTGGAGGGCTGCTTATTTATCACTTTGTTTATGCGTGATAACACCAAAGGGCAGTAGGGGGAGGAAGGAAAATAGAAAGTAATTAATATGCTATAGATGTCTCTTGTTTTAATTATTCGTAGAGGTACAAATATAAATTTTCTACTACAAGCAAGTTAGTCACGAGGTTTCTACCTGGCCGCATATCTAGAGTATATGTATTATCTTTAATTGAATATCACAGCAGTTTTGCAGTGTAAACAGGCCCATTTTAAATAATAAGTGATAAGATACTATAGTAAAACTATTTGCTTTGTAAAGCCATAAATTACACTTAATTATTGCTTAAATGTCGTCTTCCTATTCCACAGTTTTCTGGTTCTAACTGTATGTAATATATATGTAGTGGAGCGGTTTAAAATATTGTTGTTTCTCACAGACTACTCAATGATTGACTACGGATGAAAGGTTTTGAAGCAGGTTAGGTGTACTCTTGGATTACGGAAACTTGGACTGAGAAAGACGAATCAACAGCGTTTAATCCTGTCTGCTATGTTGTCTTCATTTCAGCACTCAGAAGAACAGACACAAAGGGGAAGTAATATGCAAGGCAGATAAATTATAAATTAACTTGTTTAGCAGTTCTCTTTTGTGTAAAAGTAAATTTTTTAATTCCAATATTTTATTATTTATTATTTTTACATTTCAATCTCAAGATAATGAACGACTGCAGTGCAATATCAGTGTATTACTTTATTCAGTTGGAGATTGGAGGGCATCTTAGAAAACATTAAATCGGAAACTTCTATAATAATGTTATTTTGATGCTTTATATATATCAAAAACTTCTTTCTACTTTACAATAAAAAGAAGAGTAAAGGTAGAATATTAATAACCAGAGACCGGAGAAAATAAGTAGAGCGTGAATATCTATCCAGTGTTTTACGTGTAGTAGACTATCTAACAGCTAATTCTAGGATATCGGAATTTGAAAAAATGTTATGATTAATACTAGCAAAGGCTTAGTATACAATAAATCACTGATAGCCATCGCATAAAACAACATGGAAACGGTCCCATTAAAACTTTTGCTTCATTGTTTATCTATTCAAAGCTTTAGCATTCTTATCACTGAAACCCAATTTTCTAATTCGAAGCATCAGACCTCTGCTAGCAATCAGATTCAAAATGAAAGTGATAATTTAATTCAAAGAAACTTGTCCAACATAAGTGATTCCAGCTATCCTTTTCCTTCAAATGTAATGAACCATAAAATCAAACCAATTGCAGACTTCCATCCTTGGTGGAGTATATACAAGGTTCATAAAGAGCAAGTTACTAACCAAAATGTAGAAACAAAAATTGTCAATCCCCTGCTTGTTGAAAGAAGGCAAGGGCGGTTTATTGATTTAAATGAAGAGAGTATTCGAAAAGATGTATCTGCAGGGATCAACTATGAAGATTTCATGGCACAAAATAAGAGAGCTGAACCCAGAATAATTAGTATTTTTTCCGTTATATCATTCTCCGACTTTGCCTGTCAAGGTATTGTCCCATTTATTAAATTTCACTGTTATTGTTAATATAATCAAAATTTCAGTACTTAATTTAACATGGTTTTTACACATTAATTCATACAGGCTGATTATCTACAAATGTTATTTTTTAATTTCTCGAATTTCAGTGATAACAATCAAATATGCTTGTAATCAATATACTTTCACTTAGATTGTGGAACATTTACGTGTTATGCATAATCTTCATACTAACAAGTCTTTTGAAAGTTTTTAAAAAGGGCCCATATTTAGATGGGCAGGTTCTGGCAAGCTATAAAATGTAATTAACGTATTTCCTAATCAGTAAAAACAGAAAAGTCGTCATTCTATTTCATTATTTTCTTAAGAGGGGGGCACAATGTTGCCAAGAGAGGGGGGGGGGGCACACAATCAGGCAATCCCTCTTAATACTGTGGTGTAAGCTTCAAGGGATGAAAAATATAGATGGAAACGTTTCTAAAAAAATATCCATATTTTCATAGGATTGATACATATTGTATTATAAATTATGATATCAAATACATATTTACACTGAAGGCAGTACTGATTAAAGCTTTTTTAGTTACGGGCAAAAGTGAGATTTTAAAGTATTTTTTTATACGATGTAATTATACTTAAATGGAATACATGCGTAATTTCAAGTGACCCTCCATTTATAGAGTGGCATGTCCGATGTAACTTTGAAACCTTAATTTCTCCATCGTTTCTGAAGCAAGAAATACGCGAGTCACTTTTGTAGAGAAACCACAAATAAAAATATTCAGTTTTCAAAATGAGAAACATGAATGTTTAATGCAATACTTGATCAGAAAAAGCTTTGAAGGGCATTGTTGTGAATCCTATTATATTTAATTTCTTTTGTTAATCTTATAGTTTGGGTGATCTAGTGCAATGCAATGCAATGTAGAATGTAGATTGCCTGAGGAAGGGAAATGCAAGCAGATGTAATATTAAAAGAGCCTCCCCCATGAGTTCCCTCCTCCGGGGAGGCCCCCCTCGTACGCCCCTGTAAACCATTTACCATTAACCATTTACCATTAACCATTTACCATAAACCATTTACCATTAACCATTTACCATTAACCATTTACCATTAACCATTTATACCATTACCATCAGACCATAAAAAGTACTGCTGCAGTGTGCAGTAGCCAATTACTAAATGTATATATCCTCTTCTCTTTTTATTAGATAAATATACTTTATCTGTAGATTATAAAAATCCTAATTGCTGAGAAATATTCTTGACTAAAAGAGGCTTTTGATGATTTCATCTTTTTTAATGTACATAATATTTAGAATTAATATATCGCGTTTGTTGGGAAAATTACGCTTAAAGTATACTTTACTTGTAAATGGAGCATTTATAAATGAATATATTAAATACATTCCAGAACAGAGTCCAAATTTAATGAATTTGAGCCATGTCGTATATTCGCCAAAAACCGGTTTCAATTGAGCGCCGGCTTAAATCTTGAAACATTGAATACAATTTTAAGTTGAACCCACCGTATTTGAGCCGCGGCGCGGCTCAAATTCTTTAAATTCGGCCACTGTTCTACTCCTATAAAAATTGGACCCAATACTTACAGCGGACAAATACAAACTTATAGATATCATGTTTTCAACAAATTGCATATGAATAGAAGTTTTAAAAAACCGTTGATATGCGTTTATCGATTTATGCCATTTTTTTTGGCGGATGTTCTTTAGAAACAATTCCGCATGTATGACTATGTTTTGAAATTATTATTTCATTAAATTGCTATTGATAATCGCAATTAGGATATAGTACAAGCAGATGGGGACAGTGTAGAGCGTACGCAAAGTGTTATCTAGATGGAGGATATGGAGACGGACCATGTGCTGACGGATATGGAGTATGTTGTCTTTTCCAGACAGGTATTTTCTACAGTGAGAACCAGAAAACTGTGGAGAAGGAAGACGATGTTAAAGCAATATTTGAAGTGTTCATGGTTGATTTACTACACAGTGAGAACAAGAAAAAAACTCCGAAATAGAAATACGATTTTTAATAATAATAATAATAATAGTAATAATTTGATGTTGTTACAAAGCAAATTTGTATGCTAGTAATTTATTATTACACAATTGCTGTGTCTCATGTTCATGGGACTATTTAAACTAACAACTTAATTCTAAAAAGTCGTCTTCCTAATTTTATAAAGTGAAATGTAAATTCATGTAAATTTGACTATTTAAAGTGACAGCTTCAGTCTAAGAGTCGTCTTCTTAAAGGGACTGTAAAGGAAAAATGAAAGGGGGTATAGGCTGAAAGCTAATCACTTTAGCTCTTGATCGTGACCCATGAAAGTTTTATCTGATGTTCCTGTCTCGAGAAATTTATATAAAACTGTGTTAAAGTTATACGAAAGTTCATATATGTAAAATTTAGAAAATCTCAAACTTAAATCACATGACCAGAACTATCACCAATGGCAGAGCAGTATACTGGTCACGTGTCCACTTTACTGCACTGCCATTAGTGGAATTTCTGGTCAAGCAATACGGACATATAAATAATATTATGAATTAAATCTATAAAAAATAGAAATAACAAATATAAAATTAGAATTGGAGTAAACCTAAGTTACAATTAGCTTTCTCTGGGATATCATCGTTTTCAGATTGGTTGCATATTTGCTGAATTTGATCTTTTTAAACCCACTACTTTTATACACAATTGTATATATTGTGGAAGACGATGCCTGGCCGCGTTAAACTAGTTCCACAAGATTCAACAGAATGAGATAGAACGGATACGGGCATAGTACTGATAAATCATCTACAGTCTACATGTGCTATATCGATATTGACTCTAGTTCTGAACCCTCTAGTAATAAGTTATAAGAAATATATATACTGGAAGTTATTTATGCGTTTTTATTAGAGTCTGACTCACGTCCTCTATAATTTATTAATTTTCGTATAAATTTGACAAAGTTGTAAATCAATTTCTCGAGATAGGAACATCAGATATAACTTTCATGGGTCACGATCTAGAGCTAAAGTGATTAGCTTTCAGCCTGTACCCCCTTTCATTTTTCCTTTACAGTCCCTTCAATACAAAGTTTTCTGGGTCTCACAATATTTCGTAGATCGGTTAACTGTCAAAAACAAATCTTTAATTGTTGGTCCGTTTGAACATCCAGAAAAAATAAACAACAGACAAGAATTGAGTACGTGAAACAACGGTGATGATAGTGACATTTTTTAAACCTATTGTACACAGAATGCACAAGTTATAAACACAATGCGCTGTACTATAACATGCCAAAGGGATAATTACATATAACATCAGAATATATCGACATTTTTTACGATTCATTTTTTGTTCTATTTGTTGAATTTTTTCTTTCAACGTAAAGGAAAAAGAAAAAGATAGGATTTTTAGTAAAATGTTTTTATTTTATTTTTATTTTTCATTCTTTAGGTCTAGATTTAGTTTTTTAATGAAATCAATAGTAAATATTTAGATACGTGTGGTTCCGAACTGAAACAGAACATTTCTTATGTGTTGAATCCTGGTAACTATTGTTTTCAAAATTATAAAGTTTAACCATCTAATTATTGGATCATTAAGGGATTGGATAAGAAAGTTATCTGAACCCTGACATTGAGTATAGAGCCATTAATTCTTTAAGAGTAGCAAACTGTACATTTTTGTAGATTGTTATTTTACACAATGCGAGTTATCTTTAAAAAATAATATTTGTAAAAAAGTCTTTGTAACAAGTTTGACTGACCCCATCATTCCCGTAAAACTCATTATCATTATCATTTTTTAATTATTATTATTACTAGGCTTTTAGGGCGCTTCGCCCCATCTTCTAATTCAACTTTTAATTTTGGCTCTATCTGTGAGCATCTTCTCTTTGTACACTATAAAACAATAACAAAAATAAATTCGCGGATTTACTAATAGTTTTCTTCGCGAGTTTTCAAACTTTCACAAAAAGAAAAAAACTTTTGGACCACATTTTTGTAATTTTAAGCCTCCATAAACCTTCTCTTGGATCATGTGAGCCCCACACAAAATTTGGCCCGTTCAATCGTTTTGACGTTTATTGGACACAAACAGACAAACAAACAAAGAGACAGACAAGCAAAGTATATAGATAGATTATCGTTATCATTATTATTAATATTATTAATGATATTATTTGTATTGCCGCTGTATCAGCAACAGAATTGGTGCTTTCATTTAAAGTAGCCTTTTTGATGCTTTTATCAAGCTGAATTGTATATTTAAGATATTTCTAAATGTTGGGTTATATTAGGCTAGACATAGCATCAAAAATAAAAATTTGATTTACTGGAGTCACGAAAAATTCGAATTCGAATTCGATCACTACTAATTTTACTTCTAACTGTTGCGTCTTTAAGGAGATTGATTCGGTTCATTCGAATGTATAATTTTATACTATTTTTTATTTTATATGATACGACTCCAATTAAAATTGTTGCACATAAATCTGCATGGCACTGTATCCAAGCGTAATGTCATCTTTCTACCATTCACCTTTGTATCGGGTCTCTGACAGAGATCAGCATTGATTGTGATTTTTTATGATACAAAGTCAATTTAAATGGGCTCTACGCCTTTTGGCATTAAGCATGTTCAACCATTTTCTCAGAAGGTAATGATTGTCCAGAAGAGCAAAAATGTCTTAAGCATTATCTTTAATTCTTTACTTTATTTGTAATCTGATATTAAATTAACCAAACTAAAGATGTGAATGCAAAGATAAATTTATCTTTTACTTTTTACAATTTGTTTTTTTAATTTTAAAAATGCTAAATTTGAAATTGTTTTAATTCAATTCATTTTATTAATGGTATCCAATTCATCGATGGGAAATGTTTAACAGATTTTTATTATAATGAAATTCCCACAGCAAACCTTTCAGGTTATCCATCTGGATATTCTACAACAAACACTAACTGTGAATACACAATAAAGAAATGTGATGATTCTGTTTGTCAAATAAGGTAAGAAAAACATTTCTAAATGGTTTCCGTAGTTCTCAAACAAGATCCTAAACATATTTATGTATCCTAAGTATTTTTATGTAATAATCATATATTTTGTAAATCTCCAAACGCCCCTTCCTGCCCCCAGCATATAAAGGGTTAAGTAATTAGGTTGGATTTTGAAACATTGACCCTGATTGATCCAGTGAGATCCTCAATAGCAGCACCTGCTGCTGGAACTTGTGTCACAGGTATAAATTAAGCTTCCCCAGAGGCATTCTCAGTTAATATATTCACAATTGTAAACTTATGGGTTCCTCTCTTCGAGTGCTACGAAGTAGTACAGATTTTTTCTTATTATTTAATTGTTGCTGCAATTTATGAAAATAAAAGTTGCAAGAGTGCAAATGTAAAAATTACATAGACTAACAACTGATACATTTTTAAAGGTTCAATTTTAATTCGCTCTTTGCATTAATTTAAAAGGTCCATTCTAAACTTTCTTTGAGAATGCAATGTATAAAAAGGGCTGAGAATAAACTATAAAGCTCGTAAGAATGTATTGGTGTAAACTGCTCAAAATGAAAATGAGGGTTATGTCACGTTTCAACCCCGTTTCTCTGGGACTTGCAAGGTTGAACTGCATTAAAAAAAGACCAAACCATATAATTTAAGTCTTTTTTTGCGTCTTTTCCCCTTTTTTAAAACTTTACAAACCTTTACCTTAAACCTTTCCTAGTTATTAACCATCAGCAACAGGCTCACAGTGATCCAAAAGTTGTTGGATCATACGAAAAAATTTACGAAAATTCAGCAGATTGATTCTTAAATTTCTATAAACAAGTGGTTTTTATTTCTAAAACGTACATGTCTAGAGCTACAAAAAAATTAAGTGAGACGGTGATACTAATTTTCATCATCCTTTTCTCTAAACCTTTTCTTATATTTTACTCCTAATTCTTTCCGTAATCTCTACTCTTAATTTTTCATCTTCGTTTTCTATCTCCTTTACTCCTGGCCACCCTTTCCTATCCTGCACCTTTTACTTTACTTTAAACCTATCAATATCCTTTAACCTAAACAAATCCAACCCATCTAAACCCGGTAAAGGTTAAGTAAAGGTTAAGATTAAAACGAATTAAAACGTCTAGAGTAAAGATAGGGAAAGATCTTCTTGGCCTTTAAGCAAATCTAGGAAATACAACATCACAATAACTGAAAATCTGTAAAACTGTATATACAAACATTGAAATTAAAAGTAATTGAGTTTTTTGAAACAAACGCAAGTATTATAATTCTTGTATATTTACAACCTGATGGTGTGAACCTTTCATATATTTAGAATTTCAACTATTTAATCTAACAAAATTTTTAGTTCAAATACCAAATGTATACACCATTGGGTTGCAAAGATATAGCCAAAAGATCAGAATTTGTCGCATAAACACAATTCCTTTGGCATTAGTAATAGATGTAAAAAGTAAAAAAATCAAATTATATCATCAACTGATCAAACTCATTTTACAACTAAATACTAATATTTTTCCATTGCTTTTCAAAGTAAGTTTCTCTATTAAAGAGCTGAAAAAGTAAATGAAACATTACTTTGCAAATATGCAAATTGCAGAAAAAGTCGTCACAGGAAAATGAGCTAACTTATCGCAAAATGGTTGTCTTGATGGGATCTATTAAAATATCAAAAAAAAACGTTTCATGGGATTTTCTTACAGGGTGTTGCTAAAAACCACACAAAATGAAATTTTTTATTTATCTGGGCTAAAAATGGTAAATTCAAAGATTGACCAATCTAATGGTTTGCATATGACTTTGATGTGTTTATATCACTCATTAGTCTCCTTTGTCGATCTGACTCCCATTTTTATCTAAAACGAACTGTATACAGTTTACTGGTTTCTATTCTAACTACATGTAGTTAGAATAGAAACCAGTAAACACCTCATAAACAATTTATCTTGGTAACTTTATCATTGAATACTTTCTCCAGGCAGACATGTCCTTAAGAATCATCAGAAAGCTCTGAAAGCCAAACATTTGCCATTCATGGTGGTTGGAAGACCGTGATTCAGCAAGGAGCATTTAAGGAGATTTCAGCTCCTTACAATGCAGCTTAATCATCCTAGGCCACTATATTCGATTTAATTTTGTCCATCTGTACCTTTTTGTTCCCATTACTTTAAAATCAAGAGTTGTTTGAAAAAAAGAAAAGTCGAAAAAAAGTCGTAATTTTTTTCGATGTGGTTCACGTCTACGACTAGCGCCCGCGCAGAAATAAATCAAAATGATTTGAAAATTTTCAAGAATTTTTTGAAAATGTTAAAAGTCGCTAAAAACAGATTTGAATCATATGGTCTATTTTTTCAATGTGGTTCAAGTCTGCAACTCTGATTGCCTGTCATGAATTCCGCAGTTCATTTCAGCATAAGCATTAATAAAAATCAATTTGATGTTTTATTTAGTAAAAAACATATTTTTACTTTGAGGTAATCAATCAGTAAAACCAATCTTTTTGAAATACAGAAGATCCCAAATTTTATAAAAAATGGGGAGGAGGAAGGTAAAATGTTATTACTCCCCCCCCCCTGGCTTAATCCTAGAATCCCCTTGCTAGAGTCGTCTTCTAATTGTTTTGATTTTTAGTACAGCCAGTATGTGTTCTGCATTGATCTACAAAAATCATCCAAAATTTAAGAAAATATTTATTGTCAAAATTAAAACCCTTAAATTACTTTTTGTTTGTTTTTGTTTTACAACGACATACAAAAAGCAAATGTTCACACTTAAAATGGGCGCAAAGTGCCCTAAAACTAAAAGCCTAAAAAATTTATTAAAAACAAAATATTAATTGCAGAATACAAAAGACTGAAGCAAAAAAGATCAACAATTCTGTAGGTATTCACTTTAAACAACGATTTTTACATTTTAATGATTTTAATTCACTTAGCAAATACACACATTTAAAGTTATTTAACTAATTTATAAAACAAAGAAATTGGAATGGATATGTCCAGGGATCATACTGTATAAGTGTAATGTACTGCGTATAATTTGTGAACATTTACACGAATTGTACACTTTGAACTCCCTTTCATGCATGAAGGGACTGACAAAATTCGTATCAAGGGATTAGCTAAATTCCCCTCTAATATAGTCTATCCTCTTTGGTTGAAACATGACATTATCCCCCTTTTTAATTCAGGGACAGTTTACATCTATAGCGTAGAAATGGATACGAAAGCATTAAAACAAAGCCTAATGATAAATTGGTCCTGTGCAATACGCTTTCATGAAATATCCCTTAACTTTCACTAGAGAATCACTTTTTTTTGGTCGAGTTTCGACCAAAAAAGGATGACGACTGGGTATCAGTTTTAAAGCTTTTTTTTGCAATTAGAAGTCAATCTGAGACTCATTGTATGATGTCAATTTATGAATGGGGTCCTTTTTCACATTACTATCTAAAGCCTAAATTCTCTTTTGAAGAGGGTCAAAATATCAGAATTATGATTGTTCTCAATTTGACATAATCAGTCCATGATTGGTGCATAAAATCAAGATTAAAAATTCCTATCATTAAGCTTAAAAAGGCTTCGACTCCTCTAATCACTCCATTTTGAGACACCCTGGATAACATATTTGTTTAACGTGATTTTGTTTTAGACCAACTCAGTTTTTCCACAACAAGCGGAGACAAGTTTGGTAGCATTTGTGGGACCGAATCTTATAGCCAACATTTATACTTGGATACAGGGGTGGAATCAGGAGATAGTTTAACAATATCTTTCAGCATAAATAATGCTCCAACTTCAGCTTCGAACAGATACTGGAGTATAAGAGTTATTCAGGTGACGAATTTTGTATCATGGTAATCCCCTCATCCTTTATAGAACTAGGAGTCTATGACAAACGTAGGACAAAATCAGTAAGACATGGGACAATCCAATACAACTATGGGACAAACCAATACAACTATGGTACAATCCAATACAACTATGGGACAATCCAATACAACTATGGGACAATCCAATACAACTATGGGACAATCCAATACAACTATGGGACAATCCAATACAACTATGGGACAATCCAATCCAACTATGGGACAATCCAATACAACTATGGGGCAATCCAATACAACTATGGAAAAGTGTACAACCTCAAAAGTCACGCGAATAAAAAGATACTAGGCAACCAGTCAGGCAAGAATTCAGGAATTTGTCCAGGGCGAGTTTGATTTTTTTCTTTCCAGGGGACTGCAACTTTTATGAGGCTCCAAAAAGATCTAAGTTGTAAAAGCTCTTTTAAATTTGTATTTAAGCTAGGTTTGCTTTTATTTCAATAAACACAATTTTTACTCTGGAAAAAGATATTAATTAAAAAGATTGGTAAAATCGTTTTGGTAAATATGCTCGGTCAGAAAAAAAAATTGCTTAATTTAATAAAAGCAAACTTCTAGAAAAATCGGATTTTGCAATGTGCTAAACATTTTAGATTCTTTTATGGCACCTCTAAAGCCAAAATAAAACTTGAATGTGTAAAAACGGACCTCTAAATGATTGCCCATCCCTAGCTAAAAAGCCCTTAGGAAACCACGGATTTCACTAATCCAGGGTGAGGCCCACCTTATTATAGAAAAGGTAGTACTGGGCACGTTCAGACATTTTTCAGACAGTTCTTAAACGGTTAGTAAAAATAACATAAAAGATCAAATATTCAGGCATCCGGCCGTTTGTTTTTAGTTAAGAACTGAACGTTCCGGTCAGTTAACGGGTTTTCCCGTTATTTCTTCTAATGCCGTGTATTTCCTCCAAAGAGAATAGAATATATATTAGAGTGGAATTTACTAGAAAAAAGTGTAAGACGGCCATTTTGTTGTACTGTTTCCATACTGCAGGTGTACTTCACATATTTGTGCTATATAACCTTTTGGGCACTGGAACATCATTTTACAGAAAATCTAAAATTAATAATAAAAGAAACCCAAATTATGAAGTAGGCTGGTTTCATTATTGACCGATGATCATTTCACATAGACTCTATGCCTTTCACTTTACAAACGATAATTTTCCGTTATAACAATAAATCAAATGATGTTTTTTATTCACCTAATTCATTTTATAAAGTTTATTTATCAGCTTTAAAAATTCGAAATTGAAATGGATAGTCAAGGGAACATACCGTATTAAAGTACTTTACTGCATATAATTTGTGAGCATTTACATGATTTGTACTCTTTGAACTCCTTTTTAGGCTGAAAGGGACTGAACAAATTCAAACCGAAGGATTGTCTAAATTCCATTCTAATATATATTCTATTCTCTATGATTTCCTCACAAATTCATTTCGTTATTTATTTTCATTCGTTAACGCAACTTCCGTTAATTTTTAAACTTCCCGTTCATTACACGAGAAGCATAAATATACAAGAATATAGATCGCAAATGTAGACTGTAAAGCTGAAAATTAGCTCAGATGTACACAACAGACCTCCCTATTAATTAATTAATAGAGTGGTCGGTTGTATACATCACGATATGTTTACGTAACTAACGCTGTACACTTGTATATTGAGTTATCGTATTTCTAGGGGATGGTTTTATGGATAGATATTTGAATATTAGTATTGATAATTAGATAGACACTCAATATGGATTGTAAACACAGGATTGTATACTGCAGTACATTCAAGTTCAGTTGTTTGTTTATTTTAATACAAGTATGACTAAATATTGCATCGTGAAAAAGTGCAAAAACAATTCTTCTTGTAAAAATGTAAGTTTTTTTCAAAATACCAAAACAATTGTGCATGGCTAGACCTTTTAAGGTTGGGAGACTTCAGAGAATATCCTTCAAAAGTTGCATTTGCTCAAACCATTTTAAAGAAGGAGATATAGTCAGGGAAAAAAACCAAGTTTGAAGAAAAATGCAACACCATTGCTCTGAACTTTAGGTGCGTATTGTTGTTTATAAAGGCTGGGGGTCTGAACTATGTATAGACTGGGGGTGTCTCACGCCCCCCCCCCCTTAGAAAAAGGCCTTAGCGAATAGGGTTTAAATGCATGTTCATAGCGAAATTTTTCAAGGCCAGCTCATTGAAATAAAATTAGATCGATAACTTTTATAGTGCTAGGGAGGGTCGGAAAAAAATGCAATAAAAAGGTCGAAAAAATGTAAAAAATATTTTTTGTTTGTTTAAAACAAATATCAAAGTTTGACACATGTTTCTAAATCCAGTTTTTCAGCGTTAAGAGCTCCAGATCGTCATCGTTGTTTTACCCATTGTGGGTAACCCTGCATACACTGTCATGTTTATGATAAAGAATTGAAGAGAAGAAACAATAAAAATGTTTGAAATAAGAATGTTTTAAGTTAAATTCATGCCCTAGAAACTTAATATTTTTGACATAACTTTTATAGCTAATAAATTTAAAAACCTACAAATTTGAAAATTGTCAAATGTTTGCAATGTCAACATCATCGAATTCTCTTTAAATAAAGAAGATCTAAAAATTGGTCAATTCCATAAAATCCCCCTTAGAAATACGATCACTTCATATACAAGTATACAGCGTTAGATACGTAAACATATCGTGAAGTACACAACCGACGCCGACCACTCTATTAATTAATTAATAGGGATCAAGGTCGGTTGTGTACATCTGAGCTAAGCTTCACCTCTTCGTTTTATTACTCTATGTGAAAATTGTACAACCCCTTGTACATCATGAACTCGACGTCATCTAAAAAGGTCATTGAATACGTTTTTCTTCTCGGGGTCAATCTGTAGAGTATTTTTTACTAATTTATTCAAAGAAATAATAAAACTAATAAAAACTAGGCCTCACCCATTAACTATTTTAGCTTTTAACCATGAACAGGCTGGGCAGGCCCTATAGTTTTTTTTTTGACCTACCACTTTCATTTTTGTCACTATCACCTTGAAATTTTGTGACTTTTTATGAATAGTAATTTAAAGGATTTTTTGTCAATTTTTTTCATGCATAGGGCGGTAGAAAGTCCGGTCTGTGTAAAAAAAAGTCTAAAATGGACTATAACTTTTTTGTGACTAAATCTAAAAAATTATATTTTTAAAAGACCTTGAAAAATGGATGTAGAAACATGGGTCACAAATTGATATCTGTTTTAAAAAAACAAAAAATTACATTTTTTTCAACCTTCCCAGCGCCAAAACTATTGAAGATATCGGTTTAATTTTTTTTCAATGATCTGGCCTTGAAAATTTGGTCTACGGATATGCATTTTAACCCTATTCCTATTCTCTAAGGGTTTTCTCTATACATAGATTCAGACCCCCCCAGTCATTACAGGGTTAACTGTTGCCTTGAAAGTCGCCACAAAAAATGGTTCTGAAATTTGTTTTTTTGTTCATTTTTAAAAGTAATAAATGTCGAGTTTTATTCATGACCCTTTTAAAAATTAAAATATCTAAAAGAGATTCTATAAGTGAAAATTTCAAGTCCAAACATACAAACACAGAGGTAGACAAAAGACAAATGTGTAAATGAAAGTATAGTTTAAAATATCTCGTTATTGATGAGCAAACAAAATTAATTTGGACAATTTTTTGCGAAGTTTGGTTGTTTTTTCTTCTCTTTTTCTTTCTCTTGCTGTAACAAAGACGACATTTAAATATATTGCGGGTTTACAGGATCCATTCAAGGATAAATATATGAACAGAGCTGAAAATGGTGGATATCAGGATTAATGCTTAATCCACTCTTTTTCTTAATCTCGAGATTAAATATTGCTTGTTCTCCTCTCATTTTTAATCTCCAGAGCTGAAAACTTTAGAATGGTGGATATCAGGATTAAGGCTTAAACCACTCTTTTTCTTAATATCCAGTTTAAATATTGCTTGTTCTCCACATGAATTTAAACTCCAGAGAAGCAACGTTATCTTCCAATTGGATATTTCATTCTAAAGTTTTCAGCTCCGAGCTGAAAACTTTAGAATGAAATATCCAGATATCCGATCGATTAGCTTCTCTGGAGTTTAAATTCATGTGGAGAACAAGCATTACTTAAACTGGATATTAAGAAAAAGAGTGGTTTAAGCCTTAATCCTGATATCCACCATTCTAAAGTTTTCAGCTCAGATTAATTATCCGATCAGGATTAAGGATATCCCATTCTAAAGTTTTCAGCTCTGGAAAAGTAATTATAAATTGAAATCATCATAAATCAATGCAAGCTAAAATTCATACAATATTTATAAATGAAAAGATTTTCAGATTATATTCATTTTGTCCATTCTCACCATGAAACACAACACAAATGCAGTTTAGAGGTGTACTGTGAAAAAAACCAGTCACCCCACCCCGTGACCCACTAAAATACCCCACCGTGTCCCCCCTCTTTCTCCCATTAAAAGATGGAGTTAAGACTAAACTATTTTTATTTGTCTACTTAGTAATAAATAACAACCACTATAAAGCAGTAGTTAATTGCATTAGATGTTATAATTAAGCAAATAGTTTTATTAGTAACTTACTAAGTCAATTAATAAGTCAAATTGGTCTGTTTACACAGAACAATTGCTGTGTTTTATGATCATGTGACTATTTAAGGTCATAACTGGAGTCTTAAAATTTTAACAATTAACTTACGTAAACTAAGCTGTATTATAGATCCCTAATGTTAAAACAATTGATTTTTACTGTCTGTCGCTCAGCAAAACTTGATTGATTCTCAAATATAAGAAATACTTTCACTTAATTTACTGTTTACATTCACAGAATTGTGCACGAATGCCGTGAAAAAAAATGCTGCGTAGAGTCTACTACCATTATTTAACGTTTACCCAGAAATAACGCCACACCTGTATGGTGAAGACGACACGAGCGATCTATATTCTTGTATCTACGACGAGAAAACATACTTCCTGGATTAATTAATTATCCCAAAATTGTGTAGGTTCCGTGCAATACAAATTGGACGGCTGATTTTAACTGTCGTCAGTGGTTGACTGGTGTCTCAGGAACAATTCAAAGCTTTAATTTTGCAAACTCTTTAACATCTCAGTTGATTCAAGGTAAGAGTATACAACATCAACAACACTTTCTCATCTCGGTATTTTCTATTTTAAATTGTCAAAGCGTAAAAAAAATATGTGAAAGTCGATTTTTTTGGCTTTTTACAATTGTACTTAATGTACTAAAAAAGATAAAATAAACTGCCGGAAAACGAAAAGGATTGTATACTGAATTGGTCTTTTGGTTGACATAATTATTCGGCACCCTGCGCTGGTGGAGCTGGTGTCGTGCATCAGTTTAACATTTCAGCACAATGTTAGACATCAAAAGTAATTGTCCTACACATGCCGATGTTTTTTTAATGTGTTTTGATTGAAAAAAAACACATAAGAAATTATCCATATCCAGTTCCTTTGCTGTAAAAAATTACGCCGTTGTCTTTAAAAACAAACAAATACACAGCTAAAGCTTTAAAGATATCAAATTCAGTCTGGAGACCCAAAAACAGAGGTTATAGAGACCTCCAGATTCCGGATGTTTTCATTTCTCTGAAATGTTTACAGATGCGCTAATTTTCTTTAAAATCTGAGAGGGTCACTTTAATAATTGCTCATTTTCGACTGACTTGTGAAGGATGACTTTTAAATGGCTTGAATTTTGCCATAAATCATGATATAATGTGATTAATTAATTTTAATATGACAGGAAGATATCCTATTTGTGTGAGACGGGAGACCGGGTATTGCCATATATGCTGGAAACAAACGACTGAGTCAAACTCGTTTAATCTGGACACAGGATCTGCTTTGGGTGCATCAACTACAAGTAGTTGTCCTGATACTATTTCCAGGTTTTTTTCATAAAAGAATTCATCAAACTCGATTAAAAAATGATTTCATATGGGTCCAAAATTTTTTAATTATTCAAATGGTATTTATTGAAAATAGGGGCGTAAATAAGGATTCTGTAGGGGGGGGGTAATTTTTTTTTTACCCCCCTAGAATTTTTTTTACCCCCCTCCCTAGAAAAATATCATGATGTAAATCAAATTATTGGGTTTAGTTGGGTTTGATTTGCATTTTCCACTCATTTCGGGCATTTACAAACTCCATCAAATAAAAGCTTCATTTCCTACCTTTCAGATTTCACCTTGTTTTATATCCTTCATTTGACATAAACACAAACATCTGTAAAAAAAACTTAATTTATTCTAAGTAACATAAAAAATAGTTTTATTCTAAGAAGAAAAAGATACGTTTTTATGTATGTTGGGGTTGTTTAGTAAAAAAAACTTTTGTTGTTTCAAAAGTTCTTTAAAAAATTGTTCATTCTGCAAAAAACTTAAGTTTTTTTCTCATTCGTTTGAAAGGAGGATTTAAAATATTGTTCATTAATGGTCTGACCGATTTTTAATGATTTTAAATCTTAAGTTTCTTGTTTGAAATTTTTAAAACATTTCTCTGAAAGATCTAATTTGGTCGTTAATCGTTAATTTTTCCAAATGACACTATAGTTCAAGAAAAATTGTACTACATGAAGAAGAAGAGATTTAATAACTTGATGATTGGCTACAACAACGAAAAATTTCGTCTGGTTTGGAATATTTTGTTCATTCACGCGTATTGAGTTTTGTGAGCTCCAATTTAATTTATATCCAAAGTTGGGATGGCAATAGCTTTATAGTTGAAAAAAATATCTAGGATTCCACATGCACGCTTTGTGAATATAAATAAACTTATTATAATATCGAGTCTAAATATTTTAGAGTGTTCATTCCTGGGAGTAACGTTGGCGGGGCAGTTGGTTTAACTCCAACAATAGATGTCTACTGTGGAAAAGCTCTTCTGCCCGAATATGTTTGTACTATTTCAGATAACAGGTAAACAGAAACTCACTAGATTTGTTAAAAACACAAAAAATAATTACCTGAAATTCTATTAACTACTACTCTTAATTAAATTAAACTTGGTTTTTAAACTTTTTCAGCGGAAAGCGTTTTAAATTTAAAGTTTAATAATTTCTTACTTTGACTGTAAATCCCCAAATTTGTCAAATTCTAGTCTTAAAGGTGCATTTTTTATGGAGATTTGACATGATCGAGAAAAGTTTGTCCTCTTTAAAGTCACTTTCGCACCATATAAATTTGAACTCACAGAGGGGAGGATGCGTCCGTATGCCCCCCTCCCAAAGTTACGGCCCTGCCCCCTAGGGCCCAGAGACAAGCTAGAAAGATCGATTAAGATATTATTTGTCAAAATTTTTATGAAATTAAAGACTATTTTATACATAAACACCCTTGGATTAAAACTGAATCAACTTTTTATTGAATTTTCAGGGTTATAGTTGATTTTACATCTCCCGCCACAGGTCCTTCAGGAGGTACTGGCGACACAATGAGGGGGTTTCAACTCCAGTACAGACAACTTCCTTGCAGTTCTTAACTCTTTAAGCACCTAATTAAATATATACATACAGAAGGAAACATACTTTCATTTCATTTCAAGAGGACGATAAAACCTGAAAAATGGCAAAAAAAATCATAGTGAATTCCCATTTAGACCAAAGAAATAAAAGTTAATGGTGTGAAAATAAAAATAGGTTTGAAAAATATATTAATTAATGTACATCATATGTATGTAGTATGACTGTCTTTTTCTGAAATCTGCATTATCATTGAAATCTGGTGATAATTTTTATGGAATTTAATAAAATTTGAAAAAGAAATCAAATTAAATTTTTTTTTAATTCATCGTCACCCCCAGGTTACCCACAATTTTGGTTCAGTGGTTTGGCCAGCTAAGGCTAACATTTATATGTATGCGCAGAGAGTTGTATTTTATAGATATTATTTTTATTGAAACCGAAGAACATCTCCAGTGAATGTATGTGTTCTTTGACTGTTGTTAATTTAAGAAATGATTAACACTATCAAGAAATCTTTACAATAGAGGCTGATAAAGTAGCGAATGGACTGTCTTCCACAAACCACACTTTCTTCGTGCACTGATAGCTTCAAAAAGACACCATGACATAATTAAGAAGCTTAAAAGCTTCAAAATCCAGAAATTGACAAGTTGTCCGAGCACTCGCAAGTTCTCAACAGTTAAGTCCGTCTAAATTCCTTGATAAAGATATATGCAGGGCTATATATTCTAATAAAGTACACCCCCCCCCCCCACAAGCCAATATATTATAGTTGAATCTTGTATGCAAAGAATGTTTGTGTCTATAGTTTAACCCATAACTTTTGAAACATCGAAAGAATAACTAAAATGTCGTTTTCTTAACCTACTGATAATGGAATGCTGCAGATATTTAGTTATTAAATGTAATAGTTATATGGAGCTCTTTTGAACTGTTCCCGCATATTTCATTACTATCTATTTCTTTTACAATTACTGAGATTTAAGTATAATAGTAAAAACTCCATTTAAAAATTGTCAAGACGACATTATATAATTCAAAATCCAAAATTCTGGGTTAATTTTAAATTCTTTCATCATCAAAAAAAACCTTATATTCAAATTTGCTTACAACAACCTGGTAAATATTAGGAAAATCATTGCATTTTTTCTCAGAATTTTTTTCAGTAAGAAGTACTCCTGAAAATGTAGAATGAAATTTTCCCATTTTTCCATTAATCAAAAATAAGAAATCATTACTTGCCGCCCTACTACAAAATACAATGGCATCAAAAACTTGGGAGTATACATTAAAAAAAATATATGTCCATTGTCCAACAAGGCGGGATATAGAGATCGGAGCCGACGGAGGTCTCTAAATAGGGATATCAGTAATCTATCAGTACTTAATATCCTCCGCCTGGTCCTAAGTAGTTATTTAAGTAACAGCTAGCAATACCATTAATATTCACAAAGTTAAAACAAAATGTCTAACTTACAATAGGGTCATAAAAAATCATTAAAATTAAGATTTAGTTATGGAAATTAACATTTATTGGAATACATGAATAAAAATTGAGAGCATTTCTAGTGATGTTTGGTGTCTCCATTGGTGAGTTGCTGAACAGGTGTAAGGAACTTCTCTAACACATGCGCATCTGCCGGTTCTATTCTCTATAAAATAAGATAAGATTATAGCACAGGCCCATTAAAAGGAGAAAAAATGTTCTTTATAAAATGTAAGTATGATAAGAATATTTTAAAAATTCCTCCACTGTGACAACAGATCTAAAAAATTTCCATGAGAAGGGTGATCAAATATTAGATCTGATGAATACACTCTATTTTGAGAAATCGGTACCAGTACAAACGTCTGACCAGGATAAACGTCGGACTGGTACAAACGTCGGACTGGTACAAACGTCGGACCAGTAAAAACGTCAGACCAGTAAAAACGGCGGACAAAGGAATTTTTTTTTTTAAATTAAGATATTTCCATTTATCGACTGGTCTAATTAAAATCTATCCAAAGGAACTGAGTTCTTGCCACCAACTCAAATATTCCCATCCTTTGCAACCTGGTAATGGTATTAACATTTAATACTTTCAAACTTCTGTATGATCTTATAGATTTCATACGCTGAAATATTAAAGGTTATATGACGTCGGGTTGCTAAGATATAGGCATAGTGAAGCATCAGAGTTTTATGACAATTGAACCCAAATCCTTTTTTGTCTGTCGGTTTATACAGCGCTACCTTCAAAGGATGAGATTTGTCTTTGATTTTTATCACAATAAGTGAGTGATTTTTAATTTATTTCTTTTAGCAGTGGTCTTTTCTTTCAAACTCAACCAAAGTCAGACGTTTTTTTCTTATAAATGTACCCACCCTACGTTTGTAACAGTCCGTCAATTGAACCAGTCCCGACGTTTTTCCGATTGTGGGTCCGACGTTTGTACTGGTACTGAGAAATCAGCTGGGATAAATATAGTGATCTTTAAAAAAAAAATACATAGCTGAGACGTCTTAAAGTATCTCTAAAAAATCAAGCAAAACTTAATAAACACGTATAAGCAAAATAATTTGTACTTAATTATAAACAAACTAAGCACTTTACCTTGTAATATTGTTCTTTTGTTTCCACTATGCTAAACCCAAACTTTTTGTAGAACTCGATTGCGCTATCGTTATTAACCTAGAAAAAAAAAATCAACCATGGTAAATTATGACCCAGTTTATATATGTATATATATTATCCAATTATTCCTATCAACATTTTTAGCTTTGAACTCTGAAATTCGCCATTTTTGATATTTCTCAAATAGAATACGAGTAGGACAGGTTGTTTCCTATTATTGCAATTGTTCAAAGAAAGTCAAAATAAATAGATAGCTAAATAGCTTACTCGCTAAATTCTAGTTGTACCGATATATTGACAGGTTTTAACTAATTATGTGTAAACTTCAAGGGTCCAAGGATAATGTATGCTAATCTTTTAACAATGTATAGGCCGATAGCTATACCACCCGGACCCATTTCGTTGTTTTTTAGCCGTTTTCAGAATTGTCGTTCATTATCCATCTATTTCGTTCGTTTTCTAACTGAACAATCGTTTGATTAAATTGTTTTTTCGAAACAATCGTTTGTTAAGTAAAAATAGTATGTTTTCTTTGAAAAATTGTTGGTTCCTGAAATAACAATAGTTTTATTAATGAGTTGAATCTGATATATGTAATAAATGTAGTAACACCCTGAATATATATTTATGATTCTTTCTAGTTCCCTGACCGTGTTATCGGTCAGTTTAATTTTTACCTGTACCTTTAGACCAAAATATAAAGAGTTTAATATAGACTCTGATTAATGACGGTAAGATAAACCGTTGATCGGTAGAGAGGATAGAGTCAGAGAGCTTTATATGATGGTTAGATAAATACTTAGAAAGATTTTTTGGAGTAGGCATTTGTTACAAAAGTGGTGGCTGCAATAAAACCTATGAATCTAATCTAAACGCCACAAACTCCAAAGAAGAGTAAAGTGAGAACCCGGTTTATGGGAATAGCAAGAAAAACCTTGGAAGAAAAAACAGTGGAGAGATTTAGAGGGTACCCGAGTTTACCTAGTGACAAATCAGAAAATAAACCGGATATGACAGAAACCGGAGCACTAGGAGGAAACCCTCAATTCACACCACTACCGGTAATAATGCAGAAAATGGAGCATATGGAGTTACAGGCTTGGGCAGAGAGAGATGCAGAAAGGGAAGCATTGCATAAAGAATTTCAAGCAGTGCTATGCTCAAATGTGGGAAACTCATGACCCCATTGCAAGAGTTACAGCGATGCTGGAGCAGGGTAAGCAAACAGATGGGACGCAAGGATACATGGATATGCTGCATGGAGAGATTACAGCTGGGAGAGCTAACCTGAATACATATGCCAAGCTAAACAAGGCCAAGGGTGGTTACAAGAAGAGAATGCTAGAATTTGTCAAGACCGCTCCAAAATATGATGGAAACCCAGAAAAAGTGTTTGAATGGTGTGAACATTTGGAAACACATTTGTAAAACCATGAATGGGAAACTATCCCAAATGAGACAGTGAAAAGGATGTCCTGTATCACGGGAGCAGCCAGGCAAAAGATAGTGCTGTTGCATCCTACAGGGTTAGCATATGATAATTATGGGACTGACGGTTAGATTTACCATTGATGGTAGAGAGGATAGAGTGAAAGAGCTTTAAGTGTTTAATATGTTTTAGAATCTCACTATATATATATATATATTATGTATTGTATAGCAGACCAAATATTTTAGTGGTCTAAAACCAAAAACGAAAAAAGTAAAAATCCCGGCCAAAAAAACATATTATTCCGCATGATTATGGCTGGACACGTTCCGAATTTTCAAAAATCGTTCCGTTCTAGAGCGAGGACCTTCAGCTAGATCGTTCCGTTCTCGTTCCTTTTTTTCAAATCGTTCCATTCTCACTGTTCCGATCTGGTGTCCAAGACAAAAGTTTTGTAGAAAAGAGGTTGTTAAAAAATAAAAAATGACGATTTTATAATAAAAAGTTCCTCACAGCCTAGAATATACTTTAAATTATTTGTTTTAAATTCAGGGTTAAATGGATAATAATCAGGAAAATTACCCAAAATATTCTTTTGATATTTGAATTTGGGAAGTTATTAGTTAACAGTATCAAAGTTAATAATGGAAGAAGACAAAAAATTTTTTAAATATTTTCTTTAAATTTGAATTTATTCAAGAGTACTATATTTTGTATTTTGTGCAGTTTTCAGGTATTTTTGCATTATTTTTGTGTTTATATGACAAGGTTTTCAGAATCTATATCAGCAAACCTAATAATGGGAATAAAAGACAAAAGGGAACAGATACGATTTCAATAAAACATGATTTGAGAAAGCCTAACATGGAACAATTGTCCGTTTTTTCATTGATATTTTTCTAACCTCTAACCCCATTTGAGAACACTGTGAACATGTTAACAATGGTTTAGTGGAGAGAAAACCTTCGATTTTTTTTTAAATCTCTGACTAGTAAGTTTTAGGAAAAAATAAAGATTTTTTGAAAAAGTATAAAAAGTAAAAAGTTTGTTTTTGATCTTTGTGAAGAAACAATCTCAAGAACTGACGAGGGTCAACCCAGACCGAAAAATATTTTCAATAAATGTGGAACTAACATCTACTTTTTTACTCTACAGAGGTTTGGTCCATCACCATCACCGAATTTTAAATATAAAAAGTATTGCAAGTGTCCCATTCTTCAAAAATATACAGTTCACACCCCTGTAGTCTTCTTTACCACACCATTTACAAATATACGTAAATTACCTGTACGTGTAGAAAGATTGATGTAAAATTTCCCTCTTTTTGAACGATGTTGAGGACGTGCTCTAACATATGCGTTCCAATACCAAGTCGACGATATGGAGCCAGACAACCAAGTGTCATGATGTACAACTACAATAAATATAAGTAAAAAATAGCAGCCTTTTCTGGTGAAATAACTTTTCAATATATCATTAATTAAAATACTGATTGATTTAAGTAATGGGTAAATATTTGTATTTAATGTACTGCTGCTACTTTACGGTGGTGATGAATCGTAATCTACTAATTATTGTTTTAAACAGTACCTAGGATTCATTTAATTTTGATGCGGATCCGGATCCTGGATCCGCACTCAAAAAAATGGATCCAAATTATTTCCATTTTACTGAATTTTTTTTTAAAAGCAGAATTTTAAAATTTGTTGTGTCATTTTTTCGGCTTATTTTTATTTTAAAACTTTATGAACCATTAAGAAATCAGGAAATTCTTATAATCTCTCTTATTTCAATATTTCGGATTTAGGGTTTGAGAGGAAAATAGATTTTTGCAGTTTTTGTTGATATTTTGCCCCTTGGATCCGGATCCCTGGATCCGCATATTTTTGCGGATCCGGATCCAGATCCAGGAAGCCAAAATCTTGCGGATCCAATGGATCCGGATCCTAAGCACTGGTTTTAAACATACCTTTTTTGTACCAGCTGACATGTCGACCCTACAACAAACAGCTCCAACAACAATATCATTAAAATAAACCATTTTAGCCAACTCTCCAGCCTCTAAAACATCCTAAATTAATTAATAAGGTTAAAAGAAATTAGTTAGCCAAAGAGAGGGGCGCCCCAGTCGCTATGTTCCTCCACAATACAGTACCGAGCCTCCTGGATTTGCCAGACAATACCATACGAGACTCTGCTTTGAATATTTCATACGGGTCATTCTTTAATCTTTATGAGCTCAGCCAGTTTTTGGAAATCATGGAAGTCATAGATTACCGGGGTATAGCCTCCTGAAGTTCCGTCCTCAAGGCAATTTTCGGCACAACTTCGCATGCTTTAAAGTTTAATTGGCCACAACTTTTATGATAATTAAGATATCAAGCTAATTTTAATTCCATTTTTTTAATTAGTTATTACAAGATTAAAATTTATATTTTTCAAAATTACATATGCTTCAAAATTTTGGTTTATTTTGTAGAGATTTCCCATGGTTTGATAAAACTTTAAATGATTATGCAAATTTTCATCTTGGGAGTTTTCTTTTTGTTGTAGCTACAGCTTTTAAACCTTGTTTTTATTTTGAATATTTGCTTTAGCAAAGATGACTTCTTTAACAAAAAAGACGACTGTAGTAAAATATTAAAATGTTAATAAAATGTACTAAAATTATGGTTAATAAGTATTAGCTTCAAGTAGAGTTTCAACAAAATAAAACTTTGCATAATCATTAAAAAGGAAATCTCTTCAAAAAATTGCGAAAATGGGAGGATGGATTTATTGAAAAAAATCGAATAAATAAATTAGATGGCTGTGGCTGACTTGTTAATGAATAACCCATACAGAGTACCGAGTCTTTACCTTACAGCACCACGTACCGTATACCGTATGGCAAATCTGTAAACCATAGCAACACACAAATAAAATATATATACATCTTTATTATTTCTGCCGCTCTGCTACTATGTATAAATATTCAGCAACCAAAAAATACATAAGAAACCCATCAAGTAAACACAAAATTTTGACTTGTACACTTCGAGCACTTCGAACTGGGTTTCCATTCGCAAAACTTTTGCGCAAAACAAAAAAAATAGCACTTTGCGTAATTATTCGCAAACTTTTAGCGTTACTCTATTTGCACAATTTTTCAGAACAAATTGTCATGAAAAGGTGTAAACTGTAGTATATAAAGTAATCGAGTTTTTGCCACAAACTCTGATTTTCTAATCCTTTCATCTTTATGTCGTAGACCTTTGACATTTCAAACTATGAATTAAATTAGATTAAATCAATTTAAGTTTAAAATATTATACTTAAAACAGCCATTCCGGAATACCATTTGGAAAAAATAGAGAGATATTTCTGATGGCCTTCGGTTTAAGGATTGATATTTTTGAAAAAATCTGTACTCTTTAATGTGCGGTATAAACTCATAGTCTTTGTATTTATCTTGTAGAAAAAATATGTTATGAAAAAGAATTGTTTATAAAACCAATTAAAATACCTTGTAGAACTTGTCGTGGTATGAAACAGGAAAAACTACTGTATTCACTTTTCTAAATATATATATACTGAACACGGAACAGCAAGGTCTACAGTAATTTGCGAATATTTCCCTTACTGTTAAAATTAGATTAAGATCTTGTCTAGGCCGAGTGCTGTGGTTTTTAAATATTTTCAATAATCATGAGGAAAATGTTGTGACGGGTTCGAGGATGCATTGTTGAAATAATACTAGACAAATAAGACAAAAAGACATGTTAAGAAATTTGAGGAATGGGTCCACGGCATCTTTCCTCATAATACCAAAATTTTCCAAATTAAGATTTATAACATTCGATTGTAAAAAAATCAGAACAGTAAAAGTATGATATTTTTTTCAAATAGGACGTTTAATTTCTTTAAGTAAATGTAAAAATTTAGAACTTTGTTGGGCCAATGAATTAAATTGTCAGATATACGAGTACATAAAAACATTTTAGGTATCTATGTAGACAGTAAATATTTATATTCCTTAGCAGCTTAATGTTGTGAGGAGTTACATCCCCTAAGTCAATTCTTCCGAAATCAGCACTGGGCATTTTTTTCTGGAAAAGATGTATTTGTAATATTTATTTTAAACTTTGTTAAGTGATAAACTTTTAAATGGAAAGCGCTCACAATTGAATAGAAGATTATGAATTTAGGTTTATCTTAATGCTTGAGTGTGTAAATAAAAATATGAATATCAAACGATCTAAAATTGGTATGCTGATTGTGTAGTGGAACTTCTGAACTGTTGAAATGATGATTCATTAAACTTGAGAATTTATTCTGCAACTCAATTTTGGCAGTGGAATCACGGTCTTCATAGCTCACTAACAACTGAAAAATAAACAAATACAAATGATATCAAGTTAGGGCCTGTTCATGATGTAACAAAAACTTATCTAAACCAATACATAAGGTTTTAAGTTGAAAAAATTGTCCCCTTCACAAGTACCGAACTGGACTTAAAGTATATTTTTGTCGGATCCTAAAGTAAAAAAAACGAACAGCATCCCAGGAACATTTTTTGGTGGACACATCTAGCGTCCCATTAAAACAGAAGAAGAAATCCGGATAAAACCTGGCGTTTCTATCAGAACAACCCCCCCCCCCCCTTAATAGCTAAGTCAGAATATCTAGAGTGCGTTTAAAAGTTTGTTGCGATAGAACAAGGAAAAACAGTCTCTTTATTATTATCAGGTGTGAGTATTTTAGTACTAGACTTTTAGGGCCCTTCAGCTTTTTACTGTTGCTCTGAAATTGCCATTTTTATCCTCAAATTTTCGCATTTTTTTAGTTTAAAATTTTTAAAATACTAAATGTGAACATTTTTTCCGGTAAAATTCTTTATTTTTACGTCCAAAAATGTGATTTGCCACAAAAATTTGGGCTTGATACGTTTAGCTATTTTTACGTTTATTGAAGACAGACAAACAAAATATTAGGCTTTCTAGTAACTATTTAAGCTGTTAACTGTTGCTCTTCAAACTCTCATCTTCCTTTGAAAATCATAAGTCATACCAATTTTTAAGTGTCCTGCTATAGTTTCTGTCAAATGTTATTGTTTTAAAAGCGGATTTTTATAAACTTAATCTAAAAAATATGTTTGTTGTGTGTGTACTTATTGTTTATTTACTTACTAGAAATTCAAGGCGCTTCGCGCCCTTCTTTCTAGCCTTAGAGGGCGCTTCGCGCCCATCTCCTAAATTAATTGTGAACATGTTCTCTTTGTGTACATCGTAAAACAAAACAAAAATAATTCGCGGATTTTCACAAAAAATTTCGCGGATTTTCAAAATTTTGAAAAATTTAATGACGATCGAATTTTGATGGAGACAAATATTTGAAATTTTGATGATTCATAAACCTTCCCTGGAGTCCCTAGATGTCCACCAAAAAATTTGGGCCCGATCGGTTCAGCCGTTTTGACGTTTATTGGATACAAACACACAGACAAACAGACAGACAAACAAGCCAAATTTATAAATAGATTATTACTTGTATTATGTGGAATTTTGAATTAAAATACGAAGGACATTAATAATTATGAAGGTTCTGTCAAGAAAAGAGAACTTTTAGTTTAAATGGTTGGGCATGATCCCTCTAAAGCATTGTTAATGCTTCCCCCCCTCCCCCCTATGAAAAGTTGAGAAAAGGAAAAATATAAAAATTCCAAATTAATTAAATTAAGAAAATTAAGGGCCAGGAGAATGCTTCCTTTTAATAAATTTCTGTTTCGCTTAATATTTAATATAAATTAGGCCAACCTGGGTTGTTGAATTACTCAGTTCTAACAAAGTATTCACCAAGTCTTCTAAAAACAAATTGCAAATTTTTTTCTCTGTAACATAAAATAGAAACCTCTATTACGGAGTAAGAAAGGTAAGAAAGAAATAAGAAAAACTAGAAACCTTCATTAAATACCAAAACGTTAAAATAAATCTAAAAATATGAATGAAAAGAGATAAATGCATATTGCATACACAGTGGCGGCTCAAAGGGGGGGAGGGGGGACGTCCCCCCAGGAAAAATTTAAGGGCTCAACTAGGGGGGGGGGGGTCCCTTTCTTGACCCTTTATTGCGATTTTTATTAATGATTGAATCAATTCAATTGGATTCATTTTAATGGATTTATTTATAAATAATTTGTTCCTCCAGGGAAAATTCGAAAACGGGGCAGGTCATATCCCATCCAAGACTTATTTCTGGGGGATGAAAACTAGGGTGGATTTTTTACAGTGTACATTGTTAACGGAGAACGAGTGCTTAATTTCCCGCTCCTGAGGCGGCTTACAAATTTAAGATTTCTTCATACACATTTCTTTATTTTAAAAACTTTTGTTCATAAATTACAAATTAAACTTGAGAAAACATTTAATAAATTTTTAAATTGTTAAGATTTACACTAAAGCAGTTCTTTACATAAGTATTACAAAAAAAGACCAAGAAATTGTGCATTTCCTATGGATTCCGTGTAGTAAACACAGTCTGCAACAAGTAAAAAGTCAACTTTTATTCCCTGCAATATTTCCTAAAAAAACATGATTTATTGTAAAACATAATTAACTTTTACAATTTTCCTATAAACAAAAGCAAGAATTTTAAATGTATATCAAAGTCCAGAAATAATGACAGTTTAAACTTTCACTGGAAATTTTTTTCCCCAACATTTGGATTCACATTTTACTGAATAATTTTCAGAGTTCCTTCAAAAATAATACTGCCCAAGCATTCCTTAATATATTTGCAGAGAAAAATATTTTTGATTAAGAGGTAGGACAGGAATGATTTATAAATACAAACAAGCTAAAGAGCCCGGCGTTGACCATGGAGAAAAAAATAGATTTTTTTAAGCCCAAGTTTTTTTATTTTTTGTTAGCATATGTTACCCCTGGGTTCCCTCAAAAAAAATGTCAGCCCATTCAGATGGATCGAATTAGCTGACATTTTTTAAGAAAACCCTTGGAGCAACATAACTTTAAAAAATTTAAAATTCGAAAGAAGAAGGAAAAGTGAACGGAAGGTGAATGGAAAATTGGTGGAGTAAAGTAGATAAGATAGGAAATTTGCAATGCAGTTCCACTTCAGCACTATTGCACACATGACTTAATAGGTTCCAGAGAGGGTGGTTTTTTTTTGCCAGGGACAATTTTGAGGCGCTTTGCTAGTGCTATCTCAATTATCCCAAGACTGAAAAACAAATCCAAAATATGGGAGGGAGGCGACGAGGGTAGGGAGAATACAAATGGAATTGATTGCAACCCCAAAATATTAACACTTTTTTATCAAGTTTATCATTAGTAATTATCATTACCTGTACTGCTTTTCTGTCACCCCATTTTAAAACCTTTGCCTTTATTTTCTCACAAACTGCCTGCACAAGCACATATGTTTTACACTATTCATTCATAGACTTTTAACTTGATTTAATCATTAATACAGCACAGATACAGTGGAAAACTTATTTATATATTACACTTACAGAGAAAAAGAAATAATAATAAAAAAATAACCCAGGGACACTTCTCGTTATTCACCAAAAAACGAGGTTTTTTTATGATATTAAACATCAACTTTCGATTTTTACATTTTCTTTCTATTATAATATTTTGAGCCACATTCTCTTCAGATTTACTATACAGCCAAATTATCAATGATTCATGATATTGTACTGCTGATTATCGATCAGATCAGATCAGATCAAATCAAATCAGATCAGATCAGATCAGATCAGATCAGATCAGATCAGATCAGATCAGATTAAATCGAGCTGTTAGGGACATCTTACTCCTACACGCCAATCTTGATGTGACTATACAAAATTAAGAATGAGGTGACCTGAAGATTGAATTTAAATATTAGGCTATTTCCAGGCTTACCAACATTGATCGTGTTAATTTGGCAACTAATTAAACAGAACCGTTGAATATTTTTTAAAAAACATTTTATTTCCTAGTGAGATTTTTGATGCTTTGGGTGGAAAAATTTAAAATTTAACATCATAAGGCAAGTTTGATACTATTTATCCAAAAATTCATGAAATCCCTAAAATTCATTCATTTTCCCCAACTCCGCAAATAAACCTTTAAAAAATTTAGAGCTCTGTGGAAACATGCCTTACATCTGGAGGAAATTATTTTCAGAACTATGAGGAATGATATTTGGCATTAAAGCTTATTTTGCAACATATGTGTTCCTTGTTTTTGTTTATATTATGGTTTAAGAGATCCAGATTTTCCTCTAAATCTGATAAAATCACACTTCCTCCTAATTTATTTCTAAGTATACAATAAACATATTTCAATCACCTTTGGAATAATTGTATACCTAATAAACGGGGGTGTATAAAATCCAGAAATCAAAGACCCAAGAAGAGGGGATGGAAAGAAGTAAAGGAAGAGGAAAGAAAAAGGGAGAGGGAAAATGGGAAGGGTAGGGAAAGTTAGAGGTATGGAAGAGGAAAGGAAGGAAAGAGGATTGGTAGGAAAGAGGAAAGGTAGGAAAGAGGAAAGGCAGGGAAGGAAGGAGAAGGTTTGGAGGGAAAGAGGAAGGTATGGTCGGCTAGAGGAAGGCAGGGATGGGAATGGGAATGTAGGAAAGGGAGAATTAGAGAAGGGAAGGTGAATTTCATTACACATTTAGTGCTCTATGAACTAAACAGATATGATATCAAACAATTTTCTGTAAACATATGAGATTGATTAATTGTATAAATTGCATATACTTTTTTATTCCTAACGCTGCTGCTGCTAAACCAACGAATCCCGTCCCACTACCCAACTCCACAACAGTCTTACCAGAAACATCACACAACTCTAAAAAGATATCACGGGTATACACGGGTATACACGGGTATACAGTATACACGGGTATACAGTATACACGGGTATACAGTATACACGGGTATACCCGGGTATCGAAGTTGAAAAATGTTGCCGGGAAAAAATGTAAGATACCTAGTTCTTGAAGATAACAGGGGAGTATACAGGATTTTTTCAAAAGGGGACTTCAAACACTTTTTTTCTAGGGGGATGGGGCTCAGAACCCTTTGGGGTTTGAAACCCCTTAAGATTTCACTTATCCAGGGGAGGGGGGCTGAGTAATGTTATGAAGGGGGAAGGGGGATGGGGGGTAATTGCGCCCCCCCCTCTTTTAGGCCTTCGTGTGTCAAGATATTTAAACTACAAACAAAATGTTTTCAACGTTTAACTATAGAAATCTTTACTTTTAATAGAAAATTATAAACTTTGCTAAGTTCCGGAGCGGTCGATATCGGACATTTTAAAATCCCGTGTTGACGAAGCGGTCGATATCGACCGCTGTCCCTATCTCTAAAACTATGCATTGAATGAAAAAAAAATAAAAATATTTCTGCTCCTCAGGAAAAATTTCTATAAAAAAATTGAAAATTTGAAAAAAATATTTTGAAAAATATGAAGTTCGGACATAGACGGTTAATAATCATTCCTACGCTTTCTCCAGGAGAAGTAGGTAATACTGAGGCCGAATTAAAAAAATTTGAATTGCGGCTTAAATTTAAGCCGGCGCTCAATTGAAACCGGTTTTTGGGGGATTTGAGACGCGGTTTGAATTCATTAAATTGAATTCATTAAATTGCGTATAAAGAGGGGGAAGGCTTATTTTTTTCTACGGGGCAGGGATAGCTCAGCTCCCGGTTTGGCCTCAAACCCCCTAGCAACAATAGATTTAATGGATCCAGGAGATGGCCTTGTTTATTTATTCTTAGTCTGATTCATTTATCAATCTTCCGGTTTAAAATTACGTGTATTTTAGCAGTAATGGGTGTGTATATAAAAAAACGAACAATTTATGTCTAACGAGGCTTGAGATATAAGATTTTTTCTTACGATATTTTTTTCATGTGAAAAAAAAAACAACACAAGAAAGCTATATTTTATCGCTCCGTTTTGACGTTAACGTGTATTGGAGTCATTATGAGTGTTATTAAAAAGAGCTATTAATGTTGAATAATGCCAGAGATTTTAAAATATCGGTGCTCCAGGAAGAGATATCGCCAATCTAACTTTATTTCCTGCTTCTAGTTACAGGTACTAGGTAGTTGTATATAAAATTATTTTAAATATAAGAACCAGCTATCAACTATATTTAAATGGAAATGAATTCATCTAAACATTTTTTAACCACCCTGCAGCCCATAAAAAAAATATTTTCTAGTTTTTACTTTTTTACGTCGTGTTTTGACATTTTAAAATTTTATTAACCAATTTTTTATTTTTACGTATTTTCATTGAAAGTGTATATTTAAAAAATGGACTATTTATGTCTTACGCCTGAGGCCAGAGATTAAAAAAATCGGAGCCAATGGAGATTACTTTTCACTTCTCAGAGACATATTGGTAATCTGACTTCAAATCCTATGACAATGAGTCCCAGGTTTTTAATCTTTGTGAAGAAACAATCTCAAGAACTGACGAGGGTCAACCCAGACCGAAATATATTTTCAATAAATGTGGAACTAACATCTACTTTTTTACTCTACAGAGGTTTGGTCCATCACCATCACCGAATTTTAAATCCCAGGTTATTTTTAGCATCAAAAGCTCAAATTGTCTTAGAATTTTTAATTGTGGTCTATCGTTTCGGTTAAACCTAATTATTTAAATGCTACAATGCGGTTTCTGCTACATGCGATTTTCTTCTGCACATTACTGAATTACATGAATTTAAAATATTTACATGCGATATACAAATTACAATGTCCTATAGTGTGTTTCTTAGTATTCTCCAAAAATATCGTCCTAAATATTAAGTATAGAAATTTCGAAATGTTTTTTATTATAAGCATTTTCGATATTCTTACTCATAGTAGAAAATTAGCATGTCTTAAAAAATATCAACATGCGATACTCTTCCTCATATTATAAATTATCATGTCTCTAAATATGTTACTATAACATGCAATTTGTTTTTTATAATATGTTTCTTAGTTTTCTCCAAAAATGTCGTCCTAAATATTAAGTATAGAATTTTCGGAATGTTTTTTATTATAAGCATTTTTGATATTCTTAATCATAGTAGAAAATTAGCGTGTCTTAAAAAATATCAACATGCGATACTCTTCCTCATATTACAAATTATCATGTCTCTAAATATGTTTCTATAACATGCAATTTGCTTTTTTATAATATGTTTCTTAGTATTCTCCAAAAATGTCGTCCTAAATATAAAGTATAGAATTATCGGAATGTCTTTTATTATAAGCTATTCTTACTCATAGTGAATATTAGCGTGTTTTAAAAAAATATCCAAATATTACAAATTATCATGTCTCTAAATATCTTTCTGTAACATGCAATTTGTTTTTTTAAGTATTCCTAAGAAATGTCGTCCTAAACATAATTTGTAGATTTTTCCAAACGTTTTTTTATATAAGTTCTTTTCTACCCGAACTTAATATTAAATTGTTATCTTCTATATAATAAAATAAGACATTCGTATATATATATGTTGCGAATAGCGGGCCAAACGGCTGGACCGATTGGGCTGAATTTTTTTTGTGGACACTCACGGGTGGCCGGGGGTGTCATATTTTTTTAATTTAAAAAAAAAATGTTTCCATTTTTTCCCTGGGCAACGCCGGGCCCTTCAGCTAGTTTCACATAAAATATTAAAAACCCATTTCCGTAACTCACCGAAGTGATATATGCAATATATATTATGTAACACAATTGTTAACATGTAAAAGAAACGGAAAAATAAATATTTAGTTTTAAGAAGTTTATGAATCCTTTAGTTAAACAAAATAACAATGAAACCAAGAATGACTAGATATTGAGTTTGAATACAAGTTAAAACTTCAAACCTAAATATTTAGCAAGAACAAGAGCTGCATCCCAGACTACTACACCAGTATCTCCCTCAAGTTTCTAAAAATAAAACTTAATTTAATCAAGTAATCACGTTAACAATAATAAAATGGAATGGATTGAAATTTTTCCCTCAAGAGCAATTCCAAAATGCAGATCTTTAAAGTTTGTGTCCTTAGTTTTTTGTGTGAAATGATTCTGCATGGCAACGTTTTATTTTGGGAATTCAAGTCAGAGCCTTTATGGTGATTTTTTGTGATCAATGCACAGAGGTTCTAGAAGCCAATTTCGCGGACATTTTACATGACAGACTATAACTTGTTATTTTTTTTAAATTCTCAAATATGAAGAGGAGGCGTTTCATTTTTCAATTTCTCAATAAATAATGGTGTTAACCGGTTCTATTTTTGCATGTATACTCATCTGATGCCCTAAGAACAGGATATGACGTCAAATCTTCAATCGGAGACACTGGAGATATTGGATAAGATACCTCCGTCGTCGGCTACGATTTTTTATCTCCGGCCCCAATGAACGTACAGAGCCCAAATTCAAAACACTTGAGCCAAAAGACCTATATAATTTAATAATTTTTTTTTCTGATCTATCATGTGAAGACAGGGTGTCAAAAAACTGAATTTTTTTCATTGTTTTAAGAATGTTTCTAAATCTTTAATGAATCTTTTTTAGAAAAGGTGGTTTTAAAAAAGTGCACATCACCCTCTTACAGGGTGCCCCAAAAATATTTTCCACTCATTTTAAAACTTCTAAGAGTTTTACCGTCAATAATGGTGTTAGCCGGTTCTAGTTTAATATGTATACTAATCTGATATTCTAGGAACAGGAAAATCAGTAATATCTGATGGCTCCCATTTTTCGACTCCGACCCAATGGACATACAGAGCCCAAAATCAAAACACAAACACCTAAGGACCTAAATGATTTAACAAAACATAAATAATTTATATTCTATCCTTGCACCCAACTGTCTCTGTAAATAACTTTTTTCATTCATTCATTCCATCAATCAATCAATCAATCATTCTATCAATCATTCATTTATTCCATCAATCAAGCATCAATCAATCTAGCATTTTGTTAATCCATCCTCCCTTACAAAAATAATCAAAATTAGCAATACAGGTGTCTTTACTTTTTAACATAAATAAATGAAAAAATTGTATGAAAATGATCTTCGATTTTATAATAATGATCCTTTATTTAATACCAAACAATTAGAGTTACATCTGTTACCAGGAAAATACTGCAAGGACTTAAGTCACAATGACAAGATATCTCTCATTGCAGCCTTACATCTAACGAAAACAGCAATAGAATACGATTTCTTTAAAGGGTATTCCTTAACTCAAAAACTGTCTACTGGTGTCAAGTACAAGAAGGTTGCTGACTGCTGTGCAAAAAAATTTTAAAACATCAACTGGCTAGATCCATTGAGGTAAGTTTTTAAATTTTCATTTATATCTTTTATCTTTTTTGGTACATGATTTTTGCTTTCATTTACTTCAGTTTCCCCAAAATTATATTTATAACTATTAGGCATGGAGCTGATGGCCCATTCCTACTACCAACCTGTTTCGTACCCCGTCTCTCCAGGAACAGGCAGCACTTGTAGGTGGGTTTATGTTTTCCTCAAATAAACTTGCCTCCAGGGGCGGATACAGGGGGGGGGGTGCGGGAGGACATTCGCCCCCCCCCCCTGAGTCTCGAGCTATTTTCAGAATAGCTTCTCAATAGCATGCTTAAGGGAAAGAAACCCTAGTGCAAAACAGGAAAAATATCTGTCTTAATAAACTATAATGTGTGAATAGTTAAAAATCTAGTTTTTTAGTCTTTAGTCATTAATTTTGACTCTTTTTAAGTCTTTTAAGTCAAAAAAAAATTTCGTCGCGATTTCTTGTTCCTAATTATGAATTTTTTTGTTCCTAAAAAATCTTGCCCCCCCCCCTCACTTAAATCCTGTATCCGCCCCTGCTTGCCTGAACATGATGCATTCTAATACATCATTTACTAATACTACATTTTACTACTTATACTTCGTATATCTATTAGAAGAGGGGGTGGGGGATAATTTTTAATAAAATGCAAGAACTTGCATCTATTTCAGACTACTTCCATAAATTATCAGAGCCGTCGGAAAAACCGTTATTTTTGACACCCTCTGTAAGTATTAAATAATTGAAAATTGACTTTTTATATTATTTTTTATCTACAAACAAATCCCTTTAAACCAGTAAATCATTAATATTTCAGGAATTGTCTGATTTATGTAAGGGAGGATGGATTAACAAAATGCAAGATTGATTGATGCTTGATTAATGGAATAAATGAATGATTGATAGAATGATTGATGGAATGAATGAATGAAAAAATGAGACAGTTAGGTGCAAGGACAGAACATTTATTATTTATATTTTTTTTTAATCATTTAGGTTCAAAGGCGTTTGTGTTTTGAATTTGGGCTCTGTATGTCCATTGAAGCCGGAGTCGAAAAATAGGAGCCATCAGAGGTACCTTATCTTCTGAACGTAGATAATTTATTTGACCTTTTATCCTATTCATAGAATATAAGATTAGTATACATGCAAAACTAGAACCGGCTAACATAATTATTGACGGTAAAACTCATTCAATTTAATAAACGAGTGGAAAATATTTTTGGGACACCCTGTTACTATTATTATTACCAATCGACCCACAGTCAAAGTATCATGGATGATGTGCACTATTTTTTTAAACCACCTTTTAAAATGATTCATAATTTTCAGTACCCTTTTTCTTTCGTTATTTTTGATCGGAAGTGCCAAAGAAAACATTCAAAAAAATGAAAAATTTTATTTTTTAACACGTACCCTGTCTTCGCATGATAGAATCGTTTTTTTAATCAAAAATTATAACGGTCATGTATAATTATAGGTGTATATGTTTTGAATTAGGGCTCTGTAAGATCATTGTAGCAAGAGATAAAAAAAATCGAAGCCGACGGAGGTATCTTATCCTTTATCTTCGGTTTCCGAACGGAGATATTGAAGATTTGGCGTCATATCCTGTTCCTAGAGCATCAGATGAGTATACATGCAAAAGTAGAAATCAAATTTTGATGAGATGTCTTTTCAAACATAGTAGAATTCAAAGAATTTTTTGACTATTTAACTTTCCCTAGGTAATTTACTTTTAACCCACAATACATTAAAAAATTAAAGTTTTCTGTGAAAAAAGCTTTTATTTATAGATTAAAAAGGGGTCAACCTGATCTATAAGAATAATTTTATTCTGAGCTCCAACTTCAAACTCTCGAGTAAACATTTCTGTCTATAACATATACGTTAAACTCTAGTTTACCGTAGAAATTTGTATAAAAAGGTTTTTCATGAAATCTCTTTAGCAAACTTAAACGAAGAGCTTCAATGACAAAAAGTTTGTACTTTAAAACTGCAACGCACGCCGGTTTCAAACTGTTAACACATTTCAGTACACCTACCCTTATAATCTTTTTCTCCCCCCCCCCCCTGCACTCAAAAAAAAATATACCTTTTTCAGCCAGCAAAGTTGTAATCTAACCAATATATGTTCTGTATTCGGTAATTTAACTGATAACAGAGAGAAAACAAGAGCTTGAGTGTCGAGTAAGTTTACCACCATATGCGCATTGCTTAGAAGTTGAAAACTGTCGTACCGTCACGCTCTTCTTGTCGTCTTTGATTTATCAAATAATCAATAAATCTGAGACGGAGGAGTACGGTGAGGTGGATTCTCATTTGAACTACTCCCGTTTGAACTATTGTTCATTTGAACTATTGTTCATTTGAACTACTGACATAACGTCATATCCTGTAGTTCAAATCAACACATTACTTGCTCATTTGAACTATTTTTCCACTATAATTAACAGTTTTTAAATTTTTTATGAAAATGTATAGGGACCATATGATAACATACACAGAAATGTTTCAAATGAACATAAATATAGTTCAAATTAACAAAAAAATAGTTCATGTGAACATAAAAATAGTTCAAATGAACATAAAAATAGTTCAAATGAACAATTTCTGGGGGATGAAAACTAGNTCTAATCCGAGCATGCCTCAAGAATATGTATCATCAAGCAAAGCTTCTGTAAAATCCATGGCTGATAAACTTCAAGGACCTTCTAATCAAGTAGAAAAAACAGAGGTTAGCGAAGTCAGAATAGAGAATATTGAAAAGTGTTCCTTAGCTTCACCTCCTCAGAGTAGAAAGCCCTATGTGATTCAAAATGCAGACAAAATAGTAATTATCGAACATTTTCATGGGAACAACTTTACAATGTAATTATGTAAACCCGAAAAGAATGATGTAATATAATATATTTGATGACAGCTCAGTAAAGCTGTATGTACATGTTTTGATCTTTCCTAGATCAAATATTAAACTAGGTGTAGTTTACTATTTTATTCAAAATTGATTGAGAGAGCGATAAATGTAAAAATAAAATTAAATTAGAGAACTATTTATTTGATAAATCTGTATGGATCACAGGGAGGATAATTACTTATCCTCCCTGTAAAGAGGGAGGATAAGTAATTATCCTCCCTGTAAAGAGGGAGGATAAGTAATTATCCTCCCTGGAAATAGGGAGGATAAGTAATTATCCTCCCTGGAAATAAAAAAGGAGGGAATTTAAGGTTGGTTATTTCGTTGAACAAGAGATTAAAGATTTAAATCCCTCTTAAAATGGAGGTTTACTTGAAATAACAACGACTTTGTATTTATATAAATAACTAGCTGAAGGGCGGCCGTGAAATTAAAAAAAAATGTTATAAAAAATCTATTTTTGAAAGATACAAATTTTAAAATTTTTTAGCCTATGTTACCCCAGGGTATCCATGGGTTCCCTAAAAAATGTCAGCCCATTCGGTCCAGCCGTTTGGCCAGCGTTAGCTGACGTATATAATATGAGCGAAGAGCTTTATTATATAGATGAAATACAATTAGAAGTTATCTAAAAGGAAAATGTTGATATTCACGCTTATTCATGATCTATAAACAACAAAAAATTAATTTCATACAATGTAAACAGAAAATTTGTCAGTAAAAAAACGTATGTATTCCATAGTTTTTCAAAATAATGATACAAATAATAGTTTTTGAATTTTATGCTAATTTCCACAATCTAAAATTTTCTAATCCTTAATTATATCTTTGCCCCTGATGGTGCAAATATTTATTATATCATATACTTAGACTATTTGATCTATTAGAGTTCAAAATATCAAAGACCTAAGACATCAGGAATTGCAAAAATATAGATTTGTAGCAAAATCTCAATTCCTTGATATCTTCCTTTGTTTAAGAGATCTAAATATGATTTTACACTCCTCCCCTTTCCATTAGCTCATACCCCCCCCCCCCCCCTAAATTATACTTCCTAAATGTGTCACAATGATAAATTCAGCGTTGAATGAGTCTTTAGTGTTGCAGTGTTTGTAATTTTAGGTTTTGAACATACCTATTTTTACCTATTATAATACGTAAATTTCATATCAAGCAATTTTTCTCCACAAGGTGAATTTTTTAATAGTATTGATATGGGAGAAATAAAACACAAAATTTTATATAATACAGTCGTAGTTGCATATATCAATACAACGAAGACGACTTTCGATTTCAATTTTGATTTATATAAAGCTTTAAAACAGCATGGATATCACATCAACTAAATGAAGCTGTCAATTAAAAAATCAATTATAATCGCCGACCACTGTAAATGCTTAAAAAATCTTATCATTCAGGAATAAATTGACGTTTTTGTTAAATTCAATGTCAGTACTCAGTATATAGTAATTTTTTCTTTAAATAGAAGTTCTGTACTGCAGCTTATGAAATAAAGGTATATAGGTAGGTATATTATAAATTGATGAAAAAACATCAACGTATAAATAACCCCGCAACAATATTTGTACACAAAAACCTTTACCATCTCTGGGTTGATATTAAACAGAGACTATAAACCAATTTATCCAAATCAGCTTGCATGAGCAATCTGTAATATTCGAATGTATCTAGCTAGATTCTAGAGGGGTACTTGACAAAACTGATTCTTTGGGTATGTTATAGTTTGAACTGGTCCTATCTATAAATCACGTTAACTAAAGTAATTTCATGTAAGATTGAAAACTTGCAGAGGTGCTACTAGGCCACAAAGTGCATTAGCAGTAACAACGCATAAATTAGTTTGCAGTGAAATGATCATGCTTATCCGACCTTAAAAATCGTTTTATGCAAACACTTACTCGTAAATTAGTGTTTTTAATTGCCCCGATATTGAACTTACTAATAGTCAATATTGATGATTTAAGTCTAAAAATCTGTATTTTTAGTTTTCACTTAAAGGCAGACAAAACCATATTGTTATACTGTTAAATCATTTCGACATTTTGCATATTTTTACATATCTTTAATCTCTTAATAGCTTTTAAATCAGAGTGTGTACAAAACGTAGATTATCAAAACGTTGAATAACAAAACGTCTAAATATCAAAACGTCGACTACTACGACTATTACCTAACCAAACTCAAAATAAAATAATGTGAGAGACAGCACAGTTATCAAAATTAAAGAGGTCGCAGCGCTCGGCCCCCTAGCCCATCCTAGCCTCAGCACTCGGCCCCCTAGCCCATCCTAGCCTCAGCACTCGACCCAGAAATTGTAACTGTCAACATTTTGTATTAGTCGACATATTGTAGCAGTTGACGTTTTGAAGTATTCGACATTTTTTAACTGTTGACCTTTTGTAGCAGTCGACGTTTTGTTAATCGACGTTTTGATAATCGACGTTTAGAAAATCGACGTTCAAAAAATCGACGTTTTGTATCCATATTTTATGGTCTGTGTGTTGAAATTCGAGTTAATGGCTTACAAAGATTTCAGAATAAAAAGATTAAGTTCTAAACAAAATGGCAACAATTATTTAATAACACATGTCTAAAAAAAATCTTATTTAAAAAATAAAACACTTATTTTGTAAATTTTCTAATACTTTAAAACATTTTCTTTGCAGTCTCATACCCTAACTTAATTAAACTTATTATTATTTGCAAAAGTAATTTTATTTTTATTATTAAAAGTAACGCTTCAATGGACAAGCTAAGCAGCCTAAAATCCGATATTTGAAATAAATAACATTAAAATATGCACCAATATACAGATTGGTAAAGTTTCATACATTTGTCCAGCTTTTGTTGATGTAATGCATTTAACATTAGCAGACAGCTCAAGTGTGGTACGGGTTTGAGAGGTCCGATGAACATCTGAAAAATATTTGTTGTAAAACTATAAATTGACAAATAAAATTACCTTTCCATTTCAGAATGCCATCAACGGTTCAAAGCTAGAAAAGATAACAAAGAACCAAGAAACATTAAAGAAGTGTTTCAGACTAAACATATATGTACGATTACTCCAGAAATTATTTAGAACTAACGAACGCTATTAGAAATTTGAATTTTGTTCTCTATTTTCATGTAGAATTCATCGTGTGACTATCCTAAAACTCATCAAGCACGTTATCAATTTTAGCCCAATAAAGGTTTAAAGGGCGCCTTAATAAATAGACGATAGCACTCTGAGATTTAAAACGCTTATATATTACTGTTTGTTTATTTTAATGGAACCCCTTTTTCGGTTAGGCGTGATACAAAAACACATAGTTCTAGTGCTGTAGCTTTCATAGTTTTAAAAATATTGCTGACAATGCTATTATAATTGTTTCATAGTTTTTAACTTTCTGTGAACTTATTTTGATATATCAGTTATATCTAGATATGTTTACTCATGAAAACAACAATTTTCATTTGCTTTTTATTTATTCAAAAAGGTTTTAAATTTATTGGTTATGCATATGATCTAAAATAGCTTTATATTTTATTATGATATACATAATACAAGGTGTCCCAATAAACATGGGAATTAAGTATCGTCTTTGGTCCGTGCGGCATTATACCGTTAACAAAATTTGAGAAGTATCTCAGTAAAAACAATTAACATTTAAAACTGCTAGACTTGGAAATTCCAAAATGTGGTCTACAAACTTAATTTTTAATTGTTTAAATGTTTGATGTGCCCGTCAATTGTAAATATATAAAGAAAGCAGACCACATTTTGAAGAGCTCAGAAGACATACAATCTTCTTGTGATACTCTTTTTGTCATTTTATGAACTATCGAAATTAAAGACGACTTCTAAGCCTACTCTCAATTTCCATGTTTATTCTTATGTATTATTCCTACATCAGAGTATTTTTACTCCGAGAACACAACTTTCATTTAAAAGGCTTTCAATTAAATGGGACTGTAAGCCTAATTTCAATTAAATGGGACTGTAAGCCTAATTTCAATTAAATGGGACTGTAAGCCTAATTTCAAAAACCAATATGCCAATTACTGATTCACAACGGTATCATCAAATCCCTTATCTGATCAATAATAAGATATTGTCATTTTCCTAGGTTTAAAAGTGTATATTTATATTCCTATGTTTTCCTGCAGTAGAAATGCACAAGTCACTGACATAGAGAAACCACAATTGAAAATAATAATTTATTAAAATTTTAAACTTTAATATCCTATTAATACTTGGTCAGAAAAAGCTTTTAAGGGTACCGATGTGAATTAGGCATTGCCATATTTACATGAAGGTTCACTTGAAATTACGCATATGCAGTAAGTTCTTAAATATGAAGTAAGGAGGACGCCGTAAACCCAAGGAAGATGGGCTTCTCCCGAAAGAAGGAACCATTTTGAAATAACTGGACCTACTCCAACCTGGATGGTATAGTTGATATTGTCCTATACGAAACAACCAACCCCGAGTTTGCAAGATTGACAAGATAGAACAAGAAATCGATCCTAAACCAGTGAACACCCTTTCTCCACCCACTATGATCATTCCAATGTTCATTTTCTGTCAGAATAAAAACTGTATAGTGTTTCCCACTGTATAGTGTAAACTGCCCCAAAATCAAATGGGTGTTATGTATCTGTTCAACATTTGTAATTTTAAGTAATAAAAAACCATTAAAGACCAGATGTATAACCATTTTTGACCAATAGTAACCAAAAAGAATATAAATATTTGTCACCAAAAATATAACCATTCTCGTAAATTCTATTGAGTTTTTGGTTAGTTATTTCAATTGGTTATATTGTTCTAAATTGTTAAAAATTTAAGTTATTTAGACGTAAAAATGTAAAATGCTTACGCTATAAGTGGCTGAATTAGAACAATTCTCTACTCATCATCTGAAAATATATCTACCTGAAATAAAGAAACTGAGTCTTTGCCACAAATTCAGATCTTTGCAACGTCTGATAGTGTAAACCCTCGATATTCTAAACTTAGATCATTTGATCTAACAGAACTTATGAATTGAAATATCTAAGGTCTACAAGATTACAAGATGATATGGATTAGAATATCAGAGTTTGTTACAAAGACTCAATTCCTTTGGTTACAATAAAACTGATTATATATCAAAACATTATAATATTAACAACAATCTCCAGTGCATTTACTTTTTTCTTGTTCCGAGTACCATGAAGTTTATCATATACTAAATCGATGAAAGGAATGAGTCTTTGCCAGAAACTCTGATTTTCCTATTCCTATGTAACTATTTCAGCCCAATGTCGTAGATATTTCAAACTATGAATTTAGTTAGATCAATTAATTTAAGTTTGGAATAACAAATGTCTACACCATCAGGTTGCCAAGATATAGGGATGACAAATATTTAAGTTTGTGGAAAAGACTCAATTACGACTATTTAATTTGTAAATGTAATGTTAAGTATACATAAAACATTTACAATATTATTTTTTAAATCATGTAGAGCTAGAAAATGAGGAATAAAGATAATCTTAATTTTCTCCGAGAGCTTTTATTTACTTTCTCAAACTTTTTAAATTCAACATTAGATAATATAATAAAAAAATGTAAAATAAAAATTCAGCCAATTTATTATATATTGAATTTAAGAATGAATTTATAGAAAACATTTCTACTTTATGGTTAATTTTTTACATAAATATGAATACCTTCAGGTCTAATTTGTCGAGATGCGCCGTATGGGGTCATCCCAGCTTGGCTAGCCCCCTTATTGCTTCCGTACTGTAATCCTATAACACTCTGACCAGCCTGATAGATAATAATAGGGTAGTGTAGAATATAAAATACACAATATATAACAAGATTATACATTTTTAGGTGGAAAACAAAATGTCTTAATAATACTTAGGATCTTTAGATACATGTTTAAAGGGTACTCAAGAAGAAAACATTGTAAAGAATCCCAAAGTTTCCCTTAAATGTACGTCAGGTATAAATGGCAGATAAACCAGCAGAATACCTTTACCCCTATAGTGGAAAACTTTGAAAGCGGGTCGTAAGTTTGTCCAATACCTTCAGAACATCGTCATCGAAGTTCCTTTTGTTCTCACTGGCAACTTTTACTCCTAGAACAGGTCCAGTCCAACCATTTTTCTGAGTCTACAATAAAAAAATTGCACTGTTTTATTTAATGATTTTTGGTCTATCAAGCCACAAAAGTCAATTAAGAAGTAAAAATAAATTTATAGTACAATCAAATTCTACAAAAGTTTAAGTTACTTATTTTCCAAGTAGTAGTAGTAGTAGTAGTCGCTTTATTGTAATTTGTAAAAATATAGAAAAAATAAGAAATTTCCAATTTGTTAAAAATATTTTCTCAGAAAAAAAGCATTCATACTGCAATTCTTTAAAAAAAAAGTTTTTTTGTGATTTTAATTTCCTTGTTTGCTTACCATGCCTCCCAAATTGTAAAGGTTGTCAACTACCATGTACAGGTTCTTGTTCTCGTACAAATCATTAACCTTAAAAATAATAATAATAGGAAAAATTTCAACCAAATTATTAAAATAATCAATCTCTCATAGTTTTGATTTTAGAGGGATAACTGATTTATAATTCTAGTCATGCTTAATGCTTATTAATATGTTGGAAATAGTTTCTTTATTTGAAATTTGTCCTTGACACAAGAAGAGCTTCTAAAATGTTGATTAAAAGTTTATAATATTTTTGCACAAATCTGATGCTGTAAAGTTTAGAACAACGTCCCGTGAACTGACAATAGTCTAGAACACAAAATAATGAACTTTTTAAAAGTTGGGATTTGCTTAAGAATTATTACGCATTGGAGTAGCTTTTGGGATTATTACCTGGAAGAGGTCTTGTTCCTTTAACCCGTACGCAACACACGCCTTCAGGTACATTTCAATATTCTCCCTCTGATTTATAAAGTTAAGTATTTATTGATTTAGTGTTTTCTTTATTCTGCAAAATAGTTTTTTTAACCTATTAAGTTAAGTTATGACGCCACTTTCTTATTAAAGATGATAAAACAACAGTGAATAAAACATATCGTTGAATTTAATATAGTTGCAAGGGACGTAAAAAGAAAATTAAAACAAAAGAAATTATTTTGAAAAATATTTTATCATATTATATAATATTTGTGAAAGCAACATAAATTCTAAATAAAGGAATTGAGTTTTTGCCACAAACTCAAATTTTCTAATCCTTATATCTTGGAAACCTAATGGTGGAAACCATTGATATTTCAAACTAAAGCTATTTGATCTAACAGAATTCATAGTTTGAAATATCTAACGTCTACGAAATTGGATTGCAAAGATACAAGTATTATAAAATCGGAGTTTGTGACAAAGACTCAATTCCTTTAACTGAACAGTTAAAATTAATCAAATTTGATCGTTATCCTTTTACAATTACAGTAGATACAGCCTAGTGGAAAACTTTCGATTAGATACTACTTTCTTATTGGAAAACTTTTGTTTCTTCTGTTCAATAGAAAAAGTAATATAAACAGGGATTAAAAAATAGATGATGAGTTCAAAGTCAAATTCAAAAGAATAGATTTAAATATAAAAAGCGACCCTTAATCATTTTTAAATTTATCGAATTTTTCAGATAAAAACCACTGAATCCAATAAAGTTATGTAATGAAAAATAAGAAGCAGAATTTAGATATTTAAGTTTATGACAATAATTTTTTACAAAGCAAAATTGTTAAATCGAATAAAAGTTGTATAACCTGTTTAAATGGTGCATTCATGGTATTGATCTTTTTTACAGATCCTGGTTCTATAGCATTGATAAGCCTGAAGAACTTTAAATTAGACAATAGACATTTCTTTTTGAACTATAGGTATTTTCTGAGAATGAGTGATTTGGAACCCCCCCCCCCCCTCCTAAAAATTTGTATGTAACCTCGAGAGACTTTATAAAAAATCTGTGCTAAGCGCTTGGCACTAAAATTGTCTAGACCCGACCTAAACCTCAAATAATATATAAAATCTTCAGTCAGAGGAACATTTTAAATCTTAAATTGGAAGTATTGGAAAACTTTCGATGAAAAGTCATTTATTAATTAATCTTTTATGCAAAATCTTTATATTATGCTAAGCAAAAAATGTCAAAATTTTAAAACGTTTAGTAATGAAATTTAAAAATTTTCTTTTAAAGGAATTGAGTTTTTGCGCCAAACTAAAATCTTTTGATCCCAATATCTTTGCAACCTGATGGTGCAAACCTTTGATATTTCAAACTTAGATTAATTTATCTATAAGTAATAATAGTTTGAAATATCTAAGGTCTACGACATTGGGTTACAAAGATATAGAGATTAGAAAATCAGAGTTTGTGACAAAAACTGAACTCCTTTACTTACTCGCATAGAACAGATCCGTCTTTCAGTATGTTTGCAAACTGGGTTTGGTCCTTCATATCTCCATCCTCTCCCAGTTTTTTACCAAGTATTTCCTGTACCCAAATCATGCACTCTCGAGCACGCTCAACGCTAAACTTGGCCTGGGACTGAAATTAGATTCATAAATGGTAAAAAATTTCTTGAAGAAAGATTTTTGATCAAAGCAATCCAAATGTTTAGCCGCTAAAGCATTAAAAAAGTAGATTAAAGCAACCCATCTAAAACCATAAGTGAAATAGTGGTCAATATTCATAACGAAAATTTATGTTCAAAGTATTATGGGTTCCTAGGTAATTGGGGCTTGAAATCCTTAAAAGGAATTGAGTCTTTGCCCCAAACTCTGATTTTGTAATCCATATATCTTTTCAGTCCAATTTCTTAGACCTAGGATATTTCAAACTATTAATTCTGTTTAATTAAATAATCTAAGTTTGAAATATCAAAGATCTACACCATTAGATGGCAAAGATATGAGGATTCGAAAATTTGAGTTTGTGGCATAGACTCAATGTGCTTTATATTAACCTCGAGGACCTTAGAAATAGATTGATTTTTACATGGCAGGAAAAGTTCAACTTCGAACATTGAATTGTTAATTGTCAGTTTAAGAATAAACAAATAAGAAAATGGATATAATGGCTACAATGTTTTAATAAACAAAAACATATCATTCACGCAGAGAGTGCTCCCAGAGCTGAGGAATGAATATAGCTTAGGTAAATGAAACTTTAATGGAGATGATATTTTACTGCTGGGGTTCTGGTATGAATATTGATCAGTTTTGACTTACCAATCTCAGATTTTTTTATTGGAAAAAATTAATGGTTTCTGTAACTTGTTTATTTTTCAAGTACCTTTTTTCAGGTTTTTTTCAAACAAACACACATTATAGTTTTATAAAGTTAGATTTAAATTGCATCAGAAATAGTAACAACATGCTTTATACATTAATCTTGAAAATAAATGAAAATATATAGACAAATATAGATAGACAAAATTGACAATAAATAAGTTTGCTTTTTGTAAAATTTTACTCAAATGCATGCTTTCAAGGTAGATCCAACGAATCTCAATATATAAAGAGCTATAGTTATCATGTGGAGACAAAGGCTCCTTCTGATGATTTTACTTTTAAATTGACTTTTGTGGCTTTATAAACCAAAAATCATCAAATAACTTTTCACAGTGCAAACCAGAACTTCAAATTTTAATTGGATTTAAGACTGTCAATTTTTGTTTATCCAAATCTTACCAATTTCTATAACTTTCAAGAATTATTCCAATCTTGTACAAAAAAGAGAAATGTTTTATTAAATTTTGAAGTTCTCTGTTTTATCTTTTTATCTATATCAGCACTGATTCACAAAACCAAAAAATTTTAATGAAATCCTTGAATTTCTGTGTTTGTTTGACATTCCAGAAAACATTGCTAAACTATTCAAATATAAAATACTTTCTTTATAAAATGTTATATACTAGACTTATAGGGCGCTTCGCGCCCATCTTCTAAATTAATTGTGACTATGTTCTCTTTGTGTACATCGTAAAACAAAACAAAAATAATTCACGGATTTTCACAAAAAAATTTCGTGGATTTTCAAAATTTTCAAAAATTTAATGAAGATCGAATTTTGATGGAGACAAATATTTGAAATTTTGATCATTCATAAACCTTCCCTGGGGTCCCCAGATGTCCCACAAAAAAATTTGGCCCGATCGGTTCAGCCGTTTTGACGTTTATTGGATACAAACAGACAGACAGACAGACAGACAAACAGACAGACAAGCCAAATTTATATATAGATTATATCCATGATATGACTGTTTTCTAAAGGATAGCAAAAGTCATTTTCTAAAGGTAGCAAAAAGTCATTTTAAAAGACACATTTTTTTCGGGTAACCAGTTGTAAAATTAATTATATTTCATGGGAAAACAAGCTATGATGAATTGAATACATAAATAAACTTGACAGGAACTAGCCTTAGAGGGCGCTTCGCGCCCATCTTCTAAATTAATTGTGAACATGTTCTCTTTGTGTACATCGTAAAACAAAACAAAAATAATTCGCGGATTTTCACAAAAAAATTTCGTGGATTTTCAAAATTTTCAAAAATTTAATGAAGATCGAATTTTGATGGAGACAAATATTTGAAATTTTGATCATTCATAAACCTTCCCTGGGGTCCCCAGATGTCCCACAAAAAAATTTGGCCCGATCGGTTCAGCCGTTTTGACGTTTATTGGGTACAAACAGACAGACAGACAGACAGACAAACAGACAGACAAGCCAAATTTATGACAGGAATATAGTCTTGGGCAGAAACTTTTGGTATTCTAATCCTTATCTTTATCGTAGACCTTAATTTCAAACTATGAATTCTGTTAGATATTGTTAAGATATTGACATTAGAAAATTTGGGGTTTCTATTAAATTTCAAACCATTATTGTTTGCACTGTGAAGAGAGCCAGAATGCGGTGCTAGGTGGCTTGGAGACTATTTCGCGGGCCGGGTTCATGTGTAGTTACTAACGTTTGTGAATAAGGTTTAAAACAAAGTCTAATATAATAATACAACTTTTGACGTGGCATCCCTCCAAATATCAAACATTATATGTAGTACTACAGGATATTTTCAGAAACCGATCAGCGAGAAAGTATTGAGAAATGTGATTAGGTTAAAGAACTTTACAATAGATGTTAACAGGTGCGCAACTAGGACTTTTCTGAAGGATCGATTTCAAAATAGATGTCTGCCAAATATATTTTTAAAAAGAAAATTTTCAACTACTTTTTATTGGGGAAAACACCCCTTTAAAGATGAGGGAAAGCTCGTTTTTTACCCACCACACCTGAATTTAACCTTTGCCCATAAATCCCAGGGTGGGGCAGGCCCCCCCTGGTATGCCCGGAAGGCAAGATTGTAAAGGAACATTTAAAAAATGTAATTGATACGTAAGTATCACTAAACTTAAATCAGATTCTCAATTTGTAATGTTTAGGGTAAGCTTTGTTAACATTTTTATATTACTATTATGAGACAGACGACTGTGTAATGTGGGGGGGGGGACCTTGAAACCTGTGAGGTTGTATACTCTATAGGATTGTCAGACTGAAACCTGCTCAAGGAAGCTTAAGAGAAGAACCGGTACCATGACTCATTCTCGTCACTTCCAATAGATGTATCTATCTAGCAGGCATTCCTCAATACAGTACGTAAATCGGACCATAAAAATGTTTTTATTTTGGTTTTTCAAGAGTTTTCTAATAATTTCTTTTCCCTGTGAAGGCGTGTACTCAGAAAAAAATTAGGATCCTGATAAAACTTTCGTTCTTTTATTGCTAAAAAAGTGCGATGTTTGCTGTTTGAACGACTTAACTAACAATTAAGAACTGCATTACAATTGTAGTGATATTTACTGGATCTGGCAGGGGGCCGTATTTATGTTATGTATATATTCTTTCTCTAACAGGAAACAAGAAAGATCCTCAGTCACTTTATAAACCAAAACTGTCAGATAAATGCAAATATAAAGTGGAGTTGTGTATGTCTCATATTATTTTACAACAAACATATACTACCAATGCTTACAAAATATGATAGTTAATACTGATTCGTAAAGCGAATAAAATTTTAGGGTAAACAATTCAAATACATACCTTCATGTGGCACTCTCTAGAGAGTCCGTAAGATGGACCGTGGTAGGCCATGTTTTATATTTATTGTGTGAGCTGTTGTGGCTGGTATGCAAGAGCACTGTATACTGATAAAGCTTTTAGTTGAACTCAGTCTGGATACAGGGTACAGGTGGCCCTCTTAGTTCATACACACTGACATACATATACATATATATATTTGTATATATATTTCAGGACTTGATCCTGGTTTACGCTCTCAAACCAAACTAATGGGTACCTGCCTATAAAATCCAAGACTATAATTTGACGACATCTTTTGTCGATTACTGATTAGCCAGCCAAGTTTCGCAAATTATCAATTTCTTTTTTAGTTTCTTACAAATTAATTAATTAATCACAATTAATCATTAAGCCACTGTCAAAAATATATCAATCAGGAACCGCCATATCTCATGCGTCAAATCTGTGTGCTGTAGTGGAGATCAAAAAAAGAATTCAGGGGCAACGCATCATTTTTGAGGGAAAAGGGCCCAATAGGTGCAATAAGAATATATTGCTATTGTATTTTCCATATTGGCTAGAAATCCAAAAATCATAAGTATTCGCTATAACTTAATATATATTAACTTGTTTTTGTTGGACTGTAATATCACATCAGAGCTTTAGTCCTTTCCCTTCAACTTCTTAGGGGGTTTGTTGTTTACATTCCTCCCACTGTGTGCTGTACATAATATGCGTATATCTGAGTTGGGCGTTCCTGTATATAGTTCCTTGGCCACTGTAAACTCGCCAGGACTCAGAAGGCAAAAGATCAAATAAATGCAACATTACTATGATCTTTGTGACCTTGCACTTCCTCTAATTTTTGTTTTAAGCAAAAAAAATTTGAGAAAATCAAATTATCCGAGCTGGAAATTTTTGTGTTTTTGTTTTTTACTTTAAATTCTTGAAGTGTTACAATCTTTTTCATGGCTTAATTTCATATCGTTGAACTGTCATCAACACAGCATTTTAAATGAACAATAATATCTGGAAACGAATTATCTTTTATTTATATAATATAATACATATATGTATCAGCTCTGTGTTGGATACCCTTAATCCTGATATCCACTGCAGACAATTTTGATTTCTACTTAATCCTCTCTTTTTGGATATCTGACCAATGAGAGGGCGGGAAAGTTAGTAAATTTTATTTCCCGGCTTTATGATTGGCTGTTCGGTTTCTGCAAACGGCATTCATGATTGGTTGAATTTTATACACTTTTCTGGATTTCTAACAAAGATTAAATTAATATGAAGATTAAAAAAAAGAGGAGATCAAGCATTGATCTTGATATCCACAATACAAGAGTTGCCAGTCCCAGTTACATAATAGAAATAAAGAACAGTTTTGTTCTTCTCAAAAGCTCTTCAAAAAGAGAAAATAGGATTGAAACATTAAAACCTTATGTCCAAAAAGTTCAGAAATGGTAAGGAGTAACGGGTCATATAAAGTCAGCCACCCCTCAGTAGACACCATCTCCGTTTTTTAAACACGTAAATAGACAACCTACATCGATTTTTCCCCTATATGACTGGTTGTGGCGGAGTTGCAGCTTCGCTCGCCATGAAACAAACAATAAACATTTTTATTTTAAAAATAGATCGGCTTGAGTTAACTTAAAAAAACAGATAATAGACAGGTCAAAAATGCGTTTCAGCAGTAATTTGTTAGAGTTAGGATTGTTATGGTTGTAGTAAATGCCATACTCTTAAAACTTCGTCCAGAAATGTATCAATTCAGGTACAACTTGTCATCTATAAATGTCAACCGGGACACAAATTCTTAAGCTATCAATGTCAAGCCAATGGACACAATCTTATCATCTCTGAATGTCAATACGGACACAAGCGTAGCTATCAACCAAGCTCTTTAACAATCAATGCCAAACCAATGAGCACAATCTCATCAGCTCTGAATGTCACACAGGGACACAAGCATAGGATTAAATTAGTTCTATCACTGTAATCAAAGCGGAGTCTATATCAACTAATGTTTATTTACAAATATATCTTACATGTAAGTTCTTATATGTATTTCCAATATATGCGCAGATATATATCATTGTATTTAAGCTAATCACAATACTTAGCTGCATTACAAGTTTTGAATATTTGAGGATTAGTGCAGTTAGATTTATGGACAATGAACAACGCAATTTATCTAGGGGCGTTCAAACTGTATTTATTACATGGCGGCTTCAGCTTAGGTAAAAATACCTTTAAAACAATTGTTCCAACTAAGTTTTAGAATGAAATAGAGTAGAGGAGGCTCATGTGTGGATCGACAGAACAGAATGGTCTAAAACGCATTTTTTGACTTAAACCAAATAAATTCTAGAGTAAAATCATACTGTAGATGTATCATATTGTTGAGCTAAAGGCCTCTATGGAAGATCAAATGGGCGAATTCCTGGGGGTTGATCCCTGGGCGTCTAAGAATATCAAGAGAATTTCCCAAAAGAGGGCGGGGCATCTATAAGTTCATCAAAGTTCGATTTCCCCACTCTCTCTACTGACGTAATCGACAATAATCCAAAATAGGTTTATTTCCAACCTAAAATAATTACATTTTAACAGTGAAATATTTTTATAAATCGTTTACATATATGGTTATGAATGGGTTTTAAAATATCCTACTAGTAGGTGAAAGTAGTTTAAATGGGGGTTAATCAGGAATAAAACATTTAAACTTCTGAAAATAAAAATCCGTTTGGTACACAATTTTGTTGTTTACTACAAAATCACGAATTTTAAGCTTTTGATGTATTTTTGTTCACTGCGCGAGTTGTTTTTATTTTGAAGGAGTCTAAGAAAGATTGGGTTTGGGTTTACCGGAGAATAATTTTAGTCAAATGACGACCTTACAGCGAATTAAGATATGGAGTAGAAACATACAGGGTGTCCCACGAAACATGACAATAGGAAGACGACTTGAAAGTCGTCTTTGGTATTTGAATTTATTTGTAACATTTAGTCTTCTATCTACTTTAACGTGCATGATTCTTGAAACAATTATCACATAATTCTCCTAGCCCTGGCATTTCCAAAAAGTGGTCTGCGTTTTTTGTGCTTTCAATATTACCGGAGATATAAAGAGTTTGGTTCAGATTTCAATTTTGTTAAATAAAAGCAAAATTGTAGAAATCTGAACGAAATTCTTCATATCTCGGGCAATATTGAAAGCACAAAAAAGGCAGACCACATTTTGGAAATGGCAGGACAAGGGAAATTTTGTGATTATTATTTCTAGAAATTTACTTCTAAAATTAGATTGACATATAAACACAGCAAATTATATCAAAAATCAAGACGACATTCAAGTCGTCCTGCATTCTGTCATGTTTCGTGGGACACTCTGTAAATGGTTTGAGATTTGTGATTTTATGACGCCGCTATAATATGCAGTCTTAAGCTCTCCAGAATGATCATAAAGGCTTTTTGACTTCAAATATGATTTTTAAAGCAAAGTATTCACATTTTTGACACATTGGTGTGTTGCTTGAAACATAAATATTCTGAGACATTTGAGATTTGAAGCCGCTACATTAGTCTTCAGCTCTTCTAAATGGTGAAAAAGCATTTTAGACGTATCTCAAAAACGGATTCCTAGATCCTAAAAAAAACATATTGTGTATTACAAATATCAAATGCATGAACAGAATAAAAAGTCAAAATTTGATGGCTTGGCAAATCATACATCTTTGTTAGGCTAATTTAAAATATGACAATTAAAATCAGAAATCCCTGTTGAGTCCTTTCCGAGAAAATCTATTTTTAAGAAATCGTAAAAATGAAATGCATTTTAAGGTCTTCTCGTTTTTTGTGATATTTTTTCACCGTAAAAGGCAGGGGCCACACATTTTATGATTTTTCTTAACATGTCATAAGACATATGTTGTAACAAAAAAGTTAACTGCCTGACTGCCTAAGTACTACATAAAAAAGTCCTTTTTTGTAGAGAAATCTGATAAAATCAAGCAAATTAGACTTTTTCGGACAGTATCTAGCCAGTCATAAATTTAACTTTGTGGCCTTACATTTTTACGGCTCAAAAAAAAACACAGAATAAACTAAATAAATCCTTGACAGTACAGTTATATTTAACTTTAGACCTATAAATGCACTTGATTTTTACAATTTCTTAAAAAGGATCTTTGTTTAAAATTTATGTGAATATTTTATAAAAGAGAAACAAAACCGTTTAGAAATAAGTTTTTTTTTTAAATTTACTTTGGTCTTATAAACCTATAAAATGTTTTTTTTTAAAGGAATTGAGTCTTTGCCGTAAACTCAAATTTACTAATCCCTTTATCTATGCAACCTGATGGTGTTACCCTTAGATATTTCAAACTCAGATTATTTGATTTAACATTATTCATAGTTTGAAATATTAAGGACTACGACATTAGGTTGCAAAGATATAGGGATTCAAATATCAGAGTTTGTGAAAAAACAAAAACTCAATTCCTTTAGATTTCAGAACCGTGGTCAGCATATATATCAATAGAAACTTGTTTACTGAAATGGTGATATCATACATTATGCTCTACACTTGAAACCTGCCCTAAAAATCACTTCAATATCCACCCTGTTCAAAACAACTATGACGCAAGCTTTCACTATGATAAGAATACTGGGTGATGAAACAGTTAACTTTGCCTTACTGCAATTTAAATTAGACAGGGAAAAAAATTGGCTCTGAAAGAATTCCATCACAAATGTTTTAATTGGTCATCCTTCGCCTTTTACCACAACACCCTTCTTTGCACCCCCTTGGGATATTCCTGACTACGGGCCTGATTGTGCCCATTATGCAATTTTGAAAAATGACAATTTCAGAAATCATTTTTTTACACTTTTTAATATGTCCTATAGTTTTCGAAAATTGAATTGAAAATAGAAGCCGACATTGTCTTAGAATGAATGGTTTGATACTAAACAGCTAAACCAATTTGTAGTCCCCACACAAATTTGCTTTGCAGCAATACTTTTGGTAAAAAACAGTCAGGGGAAAAACTAATTAATAATTTAATTATTGTAATCTGGAAAAAAAATATTAATTTTAATTTGCAAGTCACCCTGTACTCTGAACCCTGTACTCTGTACCCTGTACTTTGTACTCTGTACCCTTTACTCTGTACACTGTACTCTGTACTCTGTACTCTGTTTTTCTGTACCCTGTACTCTGTACCCTGCACTCTGTACCCTGTACTCTGTACCCTGTACTCTGTACCCTGTACCCTGTACTCTGTACCCTGAACTCTGTACCCTGTACTCTGTACTATGTACCCTTTACTCTGTACCCTGTACTCTGTACCCTGTTCTCTGTACCCTGTACTCTGTACCCTGTACCTTGTACTCCGTACCCTGTACTCTGTACCCTGCACCATATACTCTGTACCCTGTAAACTGTACCCTGTACTTTGTACCCTTACGCTGTACCCTGTACTCTGTGCCATGAACTCTGTACCCTGAACTCTGTACCCTGTGCTCTGTACCCTGTACTCTGTACCCTGTCCTCTGCACCATGTTCTCTGTACTCTGTACCTTGTGAAAGGGTTAATTAACAGATAATATAACAGTGTACTTAAAAATGAAAAGTGAAGAAAGTGCACCTAATAAAACTAGCAAATTTTGGGTAGAAACCGAAAAAACCCCAGCTTGATATAACAGAGATAGATCAAATAAGTGTACAACAGAATATGAAAGAATAGAATTAAAAAGAAAAATAAGGAAGAAGATGTATCCTCCACTGCAACAGGAACCCCTGCTTAGAGATTAATTGAGCGGGTCTGAGAAATATTATCATTTGTTCAATGATTCTTTAAGAAAGAGATTGAGTGCATCATTTCTTAGAAATAGATTTGGCAATACAAATTTGATCAATCTTTAAAAGAACTACCTTCACCGAAAAACTGTCTGAAATTGTACTATAATAGCTCCAAGGCGACCTTCTTATTAATTATTACAGTCGTGTTTTTGTTCATGAACTTATTGGTAAAAACATTACAATGTTGTTGACAGAAAAGTCAGCTAAATAAAAGAAATAACGGCCATTGGATAACTTTATTGAATTATTTTCAATATAAAATTTTTAAAATAGTTTCCTGTAGGAAGATTATCTTAAGTGGTTGGAAAATAAAAAGAAGGTACTATTGATGGATATGGTGATCATGATCATAGGGAACAGTTCATGTTGGTGGTAAGCAGGTCACCAATATCTTGACAGCAGGTTCACTACATCTAGGCTTCAGTCCCGGGGGGGGGGGGGAGATCGCAGTTTTACTATTGATGCTGGGGTTGAGGACTATGTCAGCTCAGGGCACGATAAGCATGGTATCGTTGTTGCTAGCATAAGGACTTCGTCAGCTCTTAGGTTGCACGATAAGTTTTGGAACATTGTTGGCTTAGATGTTGATATTCGCTGCAAGGCTAGATATCTGTAGCTCCATGAAGGAGTCAGGCGGGCCGGAGATGTTAAAGTAACGCTAATTCCACATTGATGGAACCGGAAAAGGATTTCTGTATCGAGAATATTACACGGTCGGTTGTAATACACAGGGTTCACCAAGGATCGTCTTCCTTAGTTTGAATTTGTTTAAAAAAATGTGTAAATAAATTTTTCTGTTAAAAATAAGAATATTATAAAGAAGACTGTTGAATTCAGGACTTTTGTAAGATCCCAATTTTCTAGATTCAGTCAAAACTTGTTATTTCCTAAATTGTGTGATGGATACAAATATAATACATATCTGGTATATACATGTTCTATTGTCTGATGGATACAAATATAATACATATCTGGTATATACATGTTCTATTGTCTGATGCATACAAATATAATACATATCTGGTATATACAAGTTCTATTGTCTGATGGATACCAATATAATACATATCTGGTATATACAAGTTTTATTTGCAGTCCAAGTGGTGAAGTTTCACGGCTCATTGAGTAACCCAAGAAGCAGTGTGAAGGGGAATATGAAAAACAATAAAGTTTATAATAAACTTTTATTATAATAAATAAAACTTAACAATTGTATTGGCGTCTATAGTTGGTTGCCACTTAATGATAAAATATCTCACTTAAGGTCGCTGAAAAATATGCTCAATATTTGTTTAAGTTTCTGCTCAAAATTGAATTATTTGGTTATTATGTTCCATCCATATAATGATATTTAATCTTTTTTGTTTGTTTATCTTCTTGTGATTTTTTACATTTTTTTAATTTTTTTAATCAATTTTGATGGTTATTATATCGTTAGAACTGACGAGGGTCTACCCAGACCGAAATATATTTTCAATAAATGTGGAACTAACATCTACTTTTTTACTCTACAGAGGTTTGGTCCATCACCATCACCGAGTTTTTAAATAACTTATAACTTCTTATTTTATTTCTTGATCAACTTAAAAGTAATTGAGTCTTCGCTACAAACTCTGATCTTTGCAACCCAATGTTGTAGACATTATGTGACATTTACTTTAGTTTGATACGAGGCATCAGCAACAGGACCTTGTCTGCACACCATGTCTACTCAGACCTGTACCATAGTTCTCTTCTTCTTACCCGTATTCACTCCGAGTAAACACCCCTATACCTTCATGTTTGTGATCCCTGGAAGTGAACAAATGAACGTCTGTGTTTGCCCTGTTGATAATCGTTTTGGATCATTTTTAACAAAATTTGATAAAACTGTATATTATGTTTCTTTTATTACACTTTGCAATATATTTATTCTAAAAAAACGGAAACCCGATCCAATAACATTTTTGCATCATTTTCAAATCGTTTTTGGATCGTTTTTGGATCGTTTTTTTGCATATATTTTCTGCAAGGGTAAAAAAGTGCATAAGATAAGCTAATGTTTAGAATAATTTTTTTTGAATTTGCTCTTCTTACACTATGCCAAATTTTGACTCTTAAAGAAGATATAGGCTTAAAAACGGCCCAACTGAAGGCACATCACTAATTTAAACCTCTGCAAATACTGCTCCACAGAATTCTCATCCCAGCTTTAAAAATCAAATATTTTGACATGTAATTTGTCGAAATTTTTTCTAATAATTCAATATTTCAAATTTTATTTTTTAATCAACATTAAATATAATCTAAATACAAACTAAAACAAATGAATCATTGAAAGATTTACTAAAAATAAAGAAAGGGAAATTTTATACAAGTTTGCAAAATTGCACTCGTTTCTTTTACAGCATACGTTACAAGTATAAGAGTCGTTATACTTTTCTCGTTCACATTCGTCTTTTTCATCATCGTTTCCATGTATCTCAGGCATTGAACAAGGACTTAAAGCGCAACCTTTCGTCACCGTTATCTTTCCATATGCTAAAAAATAAAAATATTGAGTCTTTGTCACAAACTCTGATTTTCTATTCCATATATTTTTGCAACCTTATATATTTCAAACTATGAATTATGTTAGATCAAATAATCTAAGATTGAAATATTATAGGCTTACACTATCCGATTGCAAAGATATAAAGATTTGAAAATTTGAGTCTGTGGCAATTTAAAATTGTTTTGCTACATGAAATGTTTTCTTATCTGTAGTAAAATACAGTTTCACTACGGTGGTCTCAAAAGCGCTGAGATTTAAACGTAATGGTATGTACGTATGAGGGGAAAACTTGTTTCTTTATTAATTATTAAAAAAACTTATTCTTATAATCATTTACAGCTGCATGCGCACTTACTCATTGCGATTTTGTAAAACAAGCCAAACAATTAACCACAATCAACACAAAACAAAAGTAAGTAATTTCCCTTAAAACAGTTACGTAGCAGGCCTTCTGGCCAGGAGTTTTTCAAGATAGGTGGAGGACAGAAAGTTTCTAAACTGAAGACCTTCAACAAGGTCAAAATTAATAAATCTATAAAAACTGTATTTTTAACATTATAGTTTATTATTGATAGATCTATTTACCCTGTTTTCAATACATTTTCTTTCTCTTACGTGATATTAATCGAAGTTAATTGCTTAAAAAAATTGCTTTTCAATAATTCCTTTTTTAGAGAAAAAATTGTCATATAATTCTGTTCAGAATATATGTTATGTTGAGATCTAAGTTAAACCATAGATGAATGTATTAAGAAGTTTTGGCTTGCATGAATAGCAAAAATTTGTTTTTCTACAGAGAAAATGGCTTCAAAAGAATGCTTAAATGCATGTAAAAGCTCAGGAAAAGCTGAAGCATGAAAACTTTAGTTTTCCAAAAACCTCCTTAAAAATTCCTTGCAAGCTGTAGGATATGTACAAGCAGCTTTTCTTCAACCTAGCAATATTTTTTTTTAATTTCAATTTGTCTTTAAGAGAGTTAATTAAAATCATTAAAAGGATAAGTTTCTCAAAATAAAGACTGCCAATTAATTTATTTAAAAACCTCTCAAAATTTTAATTTGAAGAAGGAATTATTCTTAACGCATAATATGATTTTTATTTGCCTATCCCCCCCCCCTTCTTTTCTTTCTCTCTCTCAGTTTTCGTTTTCTTCTTTTTATTTGTCCATTCTCTTTTGTTTAAGAAAATTTGCCCCCCCCCCCCTCAGCTACGGGCCTGTTACGTTGTAGTGTCAAATGAAAATGATGAAGATGTGCTCTGTGTAAATAGCATTTACTACATCAGGAATGAAGTTAGGATGTGTAATCAAATTAGTTTCATGGTATAGAATATATCTTTATTAGATTGTAATGTGAGGATAATATAGTATAGTTCAGTATGAGCTATAGAACAAAGTCGTTTTTCCTCCCATAAGACCGCTGTGCAGTGCACAGCGGTCAGCCACATGAAACATACTTTTTTTTCTGTCAAATGTATTATGTAGGGTTTCCAGAAAAAAAATTCTGCTACAGATTAGAATATTCCAATAATGTGCTTTAAAGATGGTTTAATTCCCATAAAAGAACAACATGCAGGAACATCTCCATATAAAGGGTTACACTCAAAGGTATGCATGAAGAGAACTCCAGGGCTATAGCTATGTAAGTTTAATGCAAACCAAGAAAAACATAGTTTCTAAATGAAAAAAAGTTTTAATTTAGGTGAAAATGCTAAATCTTATTTGAGAAAATTTAAATTAATTTTGTAGTGTATGGCTTCAGCATTCTCACTAATTCACTATTCACGCAAACAATGCAAAACTCAATTAATTTTTTCTCCTTTTTAATCTAGATACCTTTAACATTTACGCTGGTTTGACAGCTGTCATATGCTTGATCTTTAGGACACTCAGCAATAAGTCTTTCATTCCTAAAAATTTCTAAGCGTAAAAGTAAAAAAATCTTTAAAACATTGATTATTATGATAATTTAGATAGTACAAAATAACAAATAACATTATCTCCTTTGCCCATGTAAGTCCTTTTTTAATAATACCTACAGTCTTCAAAGGCAGTGTTCCCTTCACATGTGCCGATGTAGCATCTAATAGGTTCCAGTATGCTTTCTCGTCCCTTAGCAATTCCAAAACCTAAAAAGTAAGTAAGATACATGAAAAATGTTAATAGATTAAAATATCTTTGCAAAAAAGAAACAAATTTGTAGTTGAATAAAGTAAAAGATTTCCCCATATACGTTTTCCTTCCAGCCCTCCCCGAACCAGACTTAAGACTTAAATAAACCCATTGCTTTGCTGCTTCTATCTCGTTGATTTTTCTGCCAAATATAAACCAATGAACTCTCCCATTTTTTCTTCCCATTTTCTTTTGATCAATAATAAGTCCGGACTTTTTTTTACAGTATTGCCTATTCTTACTTAAATCATTTTTCAACTTTCTTTAATACTGACAATCTTCAAATTTGAAAATATTTTTCGTTTTTTATTAGTTGTTTGTCTTCAATTAAGTTGTAATGAAATTCAAATAAAGTTAAAGAACTCTAAAAGAGATTCCATCGAAAGCAAATTCTTGGGAAAGTTCCGCTCAAATTAACATTTAATGGAATACATTGATCAGTAAATTAGTGGAGTATTGACAAAAGCTCAGCAAAATTTACTACAATACTACTGTTTTCTTCTCGAACCTTAGTGTACACCGTACATGGATTAAACGAGACTGAAAAACCGACCAACTCGTGACCTATAGTCTCACAGGGGGCGGTTATTAATTTGATCATGTAAAATGCCATAACCTATAAAAGCTCGTTGTGCTGATCAATGAACAAGTTTCGAATGACTTTTTGTATTCTATCGTATACAGGTTTTAATACTTGACCTGTAATAAAGCGTGTAAATACTAAATAGTCTTGTCAAAATCATAGAAAAAAGCTTTATTTCTAGACTTAAATCTTAGATAAGAAAAGTTAAAGTTATTCGTATCCTTTACACCTTAAAACAATTAAAAAGTATTTATTTTATTACCTGATAAAATAATAAGCAGAAAAATTGTGTATTTCTTCATGATTGTAGTTTTTGTTTTAGTTTAATCTTGTACTCTGCATTTTTGCTATCTAAAATACGAGGAATATTTAAAGGTATTTTAGTAACAAACCCTCAATGGTACAGAACATTTCTTATAGTGATATTTATCTAATATATTAAATTTATATTTTCCTAATCAAGCTCTATTTGTTTGGTATTTTAAGAATTTTAAGAACAAAACTACGCAAACTGGCTTCCCAAAAAACGCAAAAATTATTAATCCAATGAATGGTAGTGGATCATAAATAGGAAATAGTTTGGAAAAGTAAAATTAGGTATTCAGACAATGTGCTCAGAAATTAGGCAGATGACATAAAAGACGTCAGCGGGTGTATTAGTGGGAAAAGTTTTTAAAATGATGACAGTCAGAAACCTATACCAATGACCCTATAGCTCCTCAGTTACTGTTTATACAATTGGCTATTTTTTTTCTTGAATACTGTAGAGGAAAGACATATTGCAAATATAAAAGAGATGAAATTAGTATTCCCATAGAATACCGATTTATTCTTATTATCTTAATTATAATATCCACATTACTGTTACTATAACAGATGGAGGATTCCCAGTTCAGATAACTTCTTTTTTCTTCCTGAATAAAGCAATTTACCATGTTCAAATACGAGGAAAAAGAAATATTTAGACATGAAAATTTATTAAATATACGTATTTGGTTTTAAATTTCAATAATGTTCTGTCCGTATTAACCAAATATTGAAAGCTTCTTTCATCTAGATTTTGTGTGGTACCTCACATTATTCGGGGGAAGGTTTATGGATGATCAAAATTTCAAAAATTTGCCTGCAAAAAATTCGATTTTCATAAAATTTTTTAATATCCACGAAATATTTTTTTACTCCGCGAACTTTTTTTTGTTTTTCTTTTACAATTTTTACAAAGAGAAAATGTTTACAATTAAAATAGAAGATGGACGCTAAGCGCCCTTAATGCCTAGTATATATATATATACGTCGCTTGTCTGTTTGTTTGTTTGTAACCGATAAACGTCAAAACGGCTGAATCGATTGGGTTCAAATTTTTTGTGGGACCTTGCATAATCCTAGGGAAGGTTTATAAATATTTAGTTTTTAAAAATAATTGCTTTAAAAAAATCGAATTTTTCAAAATCCACGAAATAAAAATCGATAAAACAGCAACAATAAAAAGTTAAAATCGGAGATGGGCGCGAAGCGCCCTGTATGCCTAGTACTAATATAAAATATTTATACTACTATTACTAAAACTAATACTAATACTAATAATACTTACACTAATACTATAAATACTAATACTAAGACTAACACTAATACTAATACTTATACTAATACTAAAACTAATACTAATACTAATACTAATACTAATACTAATACTAATACTAATACAAATACTAATATACTTCTACTAATACTAATACTAATAATAACACTAGTTCTAATACTTATACTATTACTAATACTAATACTAATATTAATACTAATACTAATACTAATACTAATACTATACACTAATACTAATACTGATACTAATACTAATACTAATACTAATACTAATACTGATATTGATATAATACTTTTACTAAAACAAATTCTAATACTAGATCTCATGCTTGATCTTGTGTAAATAACAAAATGTGCAGAATTTCGGACAGACTTCTCATTATTAAGAGGAAATTGAGTTTTGAGTGCTTTGTTTCATGGAACCTGATCTGACTAGAATTTACTTCTCCCCTGATGTGTTTACTACGACTATGAAAACGGATTCTGAAAGAGCAGATTATATATTCAACGTTTAAATTAGAGTTATGACACATATTTAAAACTGTTTTTCATTTTTTTGTTCAATAAAGATATCTATTAGATATCAGCTTGGAAACCCAGTTTTGACTGTATTAGAATTAATAAGAAGTCACTCAACTTAAATTTTTTAATAAAGCTAAGAACGAAAGTTGTTCTATTGAGTTCCCCGACCAAAATTTGATTCTTTTTGTTCAAGATTTCAAGAATTATTTTATAAAAGTATTTCAGAATGTTTAATAGTAATGTGAAAGTTTTATATCTAGTTATAATTCCGGTACTGAACTCTAAATCTTCTGTTTCTAGCCATTGTATTACAATCAGAGTAAAGGCTGAGAACTAAATCCTCCTTTAAACCTGACGAGAATTCATTAACAGGCAGATGGTGAGCTGAACAAACTTTAGCAACAATAATAAAAACAAAAATAAAACACAGGACAAAAATAATCTTACAACATGTGCATTTGTGCATTGTGAAAATATTGTTTTATTTTCAGGATAAAAACTGACTATTAAATACTTTCTCCACCTTCTCTGCTTCTTGAAGACATGTCTATAACCTCGTTAAAAACAAAAGAAAAACATAAACATTTTTATATATAGATATAACTTTATGTACGTGATCAAGTGACATAATTTTTATTGAAAGCCTAGAATTTTTTAAAATATAAAATTTTGAGATTGATTACGGATTGGATTAGGGTAAGTTTAGGCGGAAAGTTGAAAGAATGTGATATGATGAGTTGAAACCAGATCCTGAATCAGAACTTAAGAAAGAACCATCAAAACACGACGAAAGAACCTTTTTAAGAATTTGGGTAAGTATGTTTTTGTCAATAAAAAAAAAACAGTAAAGAATGTTAGTGATATTGGGAAAAATTTAGTTTTGCAAATATTATGTAAAAAAAGCTATGGATTTTCGACAATAATAAATGAATGATAACGAAGGATTATAGATCTTGTGATAGATTTACATTTGTATATATTTACATAAATATACATTTATATTGATTTATGATCTCAACTAACCAAAAATGCCTTTAAGAAATACGCCAAACTAAACAAAACTATTTTTCAGAGAAAATAATTTTAGACTAACAGTATCTCGGAAATACAAAGATCTAAATGAAGCTAAAAAAAATGTAAAAAAAAACTATAATTTTTCCTAAATCTACAAAATATGAAAGCAAAAACCTCGCCATGTTGATTTTCCTTCCTCACTCTATACTTTGTTTTTATATAAACTTTGACTCGATGATTACCAGAGTATGTATCATTTACAATGTTTGTTTATTTATTTTTTCATTATTTAATTGTTTTGAGTTATGTTTGTAACATGATCATTTATCTAAAATAAAATCGAAAAAAAGGACAAAATTGATTGTTTCCCGAAAAAACCTTTCTTTCACAAATTGCAAGAATTCATGGAGATGAAGACCTTGCGATTTGCCCGTATTCAAATTTATTATCCCTCTGTGTCCAGTAAATCCATCCATAAACTTATAATGGACCTAACTCTAGTTTGGGAGAAGAGAAGACAGGGTTTGAGCATGGTAAAGGAAAAGGGTTATGAAAGGAAAAAAATTTATGAATTAATAACAATACAGATGGAACACTAGATGTCGTCTTTTCAAGATTTAGGGGTTTTTCGTTCACGATAACTCTGAGGCAGAAGCCCGAAGGAGTTACGCGCATGCCGCGTTAAAATACAATACAGAGAGAGAACATGCGCGTAACTCCTTTGCGCTCCTGTCTATGCTTTATTGTAAACGAAATACTCCTAAATCTTGAAAAGACGACATCTAGTGTTCTATCTCTATTGCTATTAATCTATGGTTAGACCTTAGTAGTTGGATGACGACAGATAAAGACTTTTATGCTTTGTAATAGGGATTAGGTATTTGTATTTGTTTTTACTCCTGTGCACCTCATCTATCTTTCGTAGAGTACTTTAACCGAGGGAAGAAAAAAAACAATTAAAGAAAAACACCAACGTACAACAAGTTATGAAACTATAAAGGGCAAGAATTGGATCAAGACAAAATATGTGTCTATTGATTTTTACTTAATTATCATTATTGAATAATCGATAATTCGATTGATACGCTTTTGCAAGGTTTAAGAAAGAAATTTTGAATGTTGAGAATTAAAATATTTAGAACAAATCTAGAAAATAGGCACTTACTCACTTAACGAGAAAGATTAACTCTATAGCGGGAACTGCTTTAAAAAGTGTGATATTTAAGATATTATCAAAGTATTGAACCAGTGAAGCTAGAACCAGTCCTCTGAATAAGAGAGAAGAGAACTGCGGGAAAAGAGAATCTATGGAGATGTATCCGGGCTCGGAGACTTTGTCCTCGGATCCCATGGTTATATATATATATAAAACTACTCTCACAACTCAGGTATACCCCAACTAAAAAAGCAATTAAAAATTAAATTTTCATATTTGTTTTATTTTATTTTAATATGTTTCTAAAAGTTTGGCAAAAAATTTAGTTAGAAAAAATTGAATGAAAATGTAATTTTTTTGGTCAGCATTTTCAATTGCATGCTTGTTAAATTCAAAATTCCTGTCATTATTTTACTTTTTTTAAATTTTAAATTCAATTTATTTCAATATGCAATGTTATAAATACTAAAAGCATTATAAATTTACATTTTAGGTTTGAAAACTAAATCTATTTTCAAACCAGTAAGTGTATATTCTCGTAGAATTACATTGAATACGATATTTAAATTTGAAAATAGTCAATTGCTTCTTCACATATACTTTTAGTGATTTTTGTTGGCTTTTACTTAAAATCTATAAAATACATACATATATACAGGGTTGCAGTGTTCACATTTATGCTAAAAAATATTAAAATGTAATTATCAAAGCGCTAAAAAAAATGGTATATAGAAGTAATTCCGCGAAATATTTTTTTATATTTTTTCTTTAGATATTAATTGGAAAATATTTATGCTATTCCAAAATTTCTTAAAAATATTGACAAATGAACAGGATATGACAAATATCTGCGAAAAATTATTAGTTCAAATTTGCGCCAAATCTTAAAAATATAACATCAAAATATATTTACTGTATTCAAATTCTTCCATATTACATTTTAATTAACAAAAAACAGTTACATTGTAAAATTTGTTTTAAAAAATGCTGATAAACTGTTTTTACAAATAAAAATAATTAATTTAAAAAAAGATTTGGTAAGATTTGGAAAGGACT